CTTTCGCAATACCATTAACAATAACGGATGATAAGACTGTGAATCTGGTGTTTGGATCGCTATTTTCAATATTCAATGCGCTTCAGGTTTGATTATAAACTATATATACACTGATATTTATTCTTTGATTTACGCAGTGTAAATTATTGTTGTTGTGAGTAAATGGCTTGTAGCCTCAGCCCTCAAGTAATGTACCGATCGATCACAAATTTTCAGCTAAAAAGATGAATGAAGCAGCTTGAAGGCCATTACTTTTTATATTATTCCGATTTTTCTCTGAGTGCTGTAGCGCCTATTATTTCACCCATGATTTTGCTGATTCATTTTAATTAATAGGAACAATTTTTAGGACGTATGAGTACATTTTATTCCGCTTGCTCGCCCGGCGACCTCTTTGTCTAATTCCCGTGCTTAAGTAAGGCGGTATCGGTACCGATGCGGATCTTCTTTTTCATGTATTTGAACATTGTCTCGTTTTTTTTATTCAAACATTCGCTTCCATACACTCTATTTTCGCTATAGTTCAAAGGTGACAAAATAACTGTACACTGAGATGCCACATATTTTCGTTACGATATACACATACGTCCACGACAAGACGTATACGTTGATATTTATTTCCCATGTACGGACGTATGGCGACTCGGAAGTCTGAATAAGCACAGCATGCGATTGATGGAAAATAAAAACAAGAAAGCGATGTTTTAAAGAATATTAACTCTTACTAATCAATCATATTAGAACCATATTATATAAGCCCATACCTAGCATTCCAGCTATATCGGGATTTAAATTATTCCATTTTAATCGCAGGGTCTTTTTATATTTCTTTTTTTCTGCGTGAGACGGAAGGACGTTCGCGAGAAATGGGTCGGAGCCATTCGGAATAAAATGTCATTCTTGAAGAATCGAGGCTTGCTAAAGGAAGAGGGTGAGATACATATCTATATATAAAGTTCATAATGCTATTATTAAGTTAAAATTATTGTGAATAAAATAACTAATTCACGAAACACTAAGATAATTATAAGTTGCGGTTACGCGAGACTAACTCCCTTCTTCTTCTGCGACAGTGGAAATTTATTGTAATACATTTTTGCTAACTACAATATTAGTGTAAGTTAAATAGTAGTAAAACTACATAATACTTTGACTTCGGCGCTAGATCAAGCTCGAACAGGACAAAACGGCAACTCACCAACACTCGGGGACAACATAGCATTTCAAAGCAAGACAGGTTCGTTTTTCCCTATATATAGTTACGTACATCTTTGTAAAGCGTATGTTTGACCATTTCCCATTGTTTGCTAACTACAATATTAGTGTAAGTTAAATAGTAGTAAAACTACATAATACTTTGACTTCGGCGCTAGATCAAGCTCGAACAGGACAAAACGGCAACTCACCAACACTCGGGGACAACATAGCATTTCAAAGCAAGACAGGTTCGTTTTTCCCTATATATAGTTACGTACATCTTTGTAAAGCGTATGTTTGACCATTTCCCATTGTTTGTCCGATTTTGTCTCTAATCTATGCGTGTCGCTCTATTTTTAAGTAGCTGGTCTGAGTGTACTGCCAAGTAAGGGACATATGTTTATCTTTTCCAGTGAGTTCCACTGCTCCAAGAGACTCAAAAGTTGGAAAGATCGACATGAGAGTCACTCCTGTATAATGGATCTGTCCTTTCTCAGAGCCATGGACAAGCTTTGTTTTGGTTTTTCATTTGATACTAAAGCGATAAGACATTGTTTTGATTTCGTTTATTAAGCATGAGATTCATCAAGTGGTAGGATTCAAAGGTCTAATAACGTGTTCTTATTTCTATAGACCAAATAACAGAAATTTCATTTTAGAGAATGTATATTATGTATCTCACTACGTAATCCGCATCATCATGACATGCTTTACATAAATCTAATATACAACCTTCTGAAAATTGCATGGATGTTTTGTATATTTAACTACGTTTAAATATGGAGAGAAAACTATCCTATCTGAAAATTATATAAACATTTATCACATCAAACAAGTCAAGTCGACCTAAAAGTGTAAAACCTAATTGCTTCTTATGTACATACGGTAGTCGCGTCTAAGTCTATTTTCTGGATCTGTTGAACGCAATGAGTTTAACGGTAAATTAAAATTTATTCGAATTATATAGCTTTAAACCTTATGTTTTCACTCGTGTACAGAAATGGGTTATTCCGCTTACACCAGTGGTTCCCAAAGGGTGCGCCGCAACGATTTGCTAGGTGCGCCGCAAAATTTTACAGAATTGTATTAAAAGTAACTAATATATGCTTGAATATTTTACATATTGTATTTATTATAAATGTTATTGTTTCTTGACGGTTCCGGTTACTTTATGTTACGTATGCTTATTTGCTTCTTTTTACGTAACTGTTACGTAATAATGAGATGAGAATAGATACTATATATGAGATAAGGCAGAGATAAGGAAGAAGAATAGTTCTAGTTCGAAAATACGGCAGCGAAATTATGATGAAAGTTATCTCAAGTTCGGATTTACGTTCGTGGAGAAGGATGGATGTCAGCTGCCGAAATGCGTTATTTGCTGTTGAGACTAGTCTATGCACAAATCAACGATTGGTATATCGGGTTCTTTTGGATTAGTTCAATTTAAAATCATTGTATCCGTTCCAACATTAATATATATCGAATTTCCATGAACGACCACCATTCCAAAAGGTGCAGCAGTCCCGTCTTTTCTGCGCTCTGTTCCATCAATCCACAACTAGATTCATAAAAAGATCGAAAGCTCGCAAAACACCCCTGACAGATCGTCCACCATTTAAACAATCTAATCTTTCATTCTTAAACTTCTTTAATTCCGGTGGATGTGCTTTGATCATGCTGATATTACGTGATTCAAATCGTACGGTAGAACAGAGTAATTTCGTCTATTTGGACTCCTTCTGCAAACGATAGGACCGCTTTTTAATAAAAGGTCGAAAAACTAATCCAGAAACTTCTCAATTTTGTTGCATTTTCCTACTCCGTTTCTTCAACGAAATATCACGAAGTAATATAACATACTGAAAACGTAACTTGTTGCTGGAGCATAATGTAGCTATGAGACGTCGACAAATATTACTTACCTACAAGGATAACGGTCTTTTTCCTGGTGTTTCAAAACCATCATCAGTCAGAGAAAACCAGTGAAAGGAGAATATAGATATTTATCACTGACAGCTTCTTTTTAAACTAGGTGAAGATTTAAACAAATATATATACTTATGTAGAATGAGCGTATTATGGGCTTGCTGTGGTTTCCATCGAACAATAAGAAAATAAAATTGGTCAGTTCTAGTTTGAACACTGTTCGCAGGTTCGAATCCCGCGGGGTAATTATGTGCGAGAGGTTTACTGGACTCCCCGTCACCATCGGGTGGTTCAAGTGATCGCTGGTTGGTTATGGCCTCCTCCACCCTTGATTGTGTCCAAGTTTCTGAAACAAATACAAGGCTAACTAATCCCATACGCGTATAACCGGGATAAACATATAAATCATATCCAACATAAGAACACGATTACACGAGCACATGACATTAGAAAGCATGGTAATATATTTCCAAGCAAAATTGAAAAACACCAATCAAACACAAAAGAATATCGCTTATGAACCCGGACGAGAAAGGAACATTTTAGGGATTAGAAAAAAAAAATGTGGATTTCAAAACGGCGTTACCAGCTGGGCTTAGCAATACATATCAATATCCATAAAAGTTTCAAATCTACCAATTATAAATTCTCGGACATCTGATGAATATCACAGAGAGACAATCAAACATAAATAAAACTACTGTTTGGCACATTATAATTTGTTTAAGAAAAACAAACCAATAAGGCATTGCAATATTGATATATATATATATAGTCATGACTGATAATATTGGATTTAAAAGTTGCAGATTATGCTGGGAAAATGAAAACCTCCACATGAAATTCTAATTATGGAGTGAGTATTCGAAGCACGTCAAAATTTCCTAGAGAAACTCAAAAATATTAGGTTGACTGAGTTCTTCTAACAGTCTATAAAACAGAGGTAGGCAATTATTTTCTCAGTGGGCCAGTTACAGATAAGAGACTTATTTACTGGGCTATAGGCTTAGAACTCAATATGAAAAACTATAAATGAAAAACAGTCCATTTACAAAAGCTATTCCAATAGCTAAGTTGACGTTTATATAATAATAAGAAGCACAATGCAACAATCGGGTGTTATTTTCATCGATATTTTCAATGAAAATTGATATTCATAAAAACTATAGTATCAATTTCAGCAGACACAAGTGGGCCGGATGAAACACTCTGGTGGGCTGAATCCAGCCCGTGGGCCGTAATTTGCTCACCTCTGCTATGAAAGAAGGAATGATTCGCGACAGTTTTTGCTATCAAAAATTGATTTCAGTTTCAGTAGAGATACTTACGAGAATAATAAGCAAATAATATTTCTACAAATTCAATCTATGGACCTTTCCCCGAGCATCGACTTCCTTGTTTACTTCGTGACATTGGCCAATCAGCAAGATGGAAAAAGTGACGTAACAATGCCCCCTTTTTGCATCCGCTCAGACACTTTTCTCACTCAGACAGATTTTCAAGCGTGGTTGTAAACATTACCTCGTTTTCGCGTTTTTGAACTCTATTCGTTAGTTTTCAGTTGTGTTTCGGAAACTTAAATAAAAATCAGATAATTCAATGATCACTCTGTCTTCCTAGGAGTTTTAATTTAATTGCAGTAATAAAAATTAGTGTAGAAATAGCTGTGATAGACTAGCCTGAAATTCTTTACCGGTACTTTGAAAAAACCGATTTGTTGTGTGCAATGAATCATAATGATGGTTTGAAACACATACCCCATTTTACAGGCGCCAACTCGCAAAAGCACTCCTAAAATAGCACTGCAAATTTTGCAATGGTGAGGTATAGGAAAAATTTTCCGGGGGTCAAAGGTCGGGGAAAGGTTCATTGGATCATATTACATACATCGAGGATAAACAGCTCTTTAACAAACTGCAAATTTCAGTTTTCAGAAAGTTACATTCTTTATGATTTCAGTAATATTATGAGCATAGAATAAACATGCATAATAGAAATATTCTGTTGAATGATTGATTTACTTCAAATATGAATCAAATTGTACAATTCATTGCTAGTGTGATAGCTTAGATGCGTTAAGATGGATGTGTGAAATTCAAATTATGTTTTATAAAACAAAACTACATGAAACGTTTAAGGTGAAATGAAAAATTCTAGACAACAAAAAAATATTTATGTTTCCTATCACAAAACAAATATCAAACACTACCAAGCAAAGAAAAATTAGTAAAAATCAGCACACTCAATTCTATGGAAAGAAGGACTGTCTAGAAAACAAAATATAAATTACTGAAATTTGCTAGAAAAAAAATTAAAAAAACAACATTTTACACTTTATCGCCAATATAACATCTCTGCTAACATTTACTACAATATATTTAAAAATACAACTCTAAACACAGAAGAAAAAAAATAGAATTTTTTTGTATTTATCATGAGGGAGAGGAAAGCTGGTTGAGACTGATAATTAATTATACGACGAACCATGGGCTCGGCTCCTATTAGTCCATTCGGGAATGCGAATAGTTAATAAGGTATTTGGGTACTCCCGTAGTATGTGTATCAGTTTAGGTTTAGGCCATAATTTTATTCCGATTTTTCTTATTTTGGTTCTATTACGAGTTCGGGGACTGTTTGTGTTAGCCAAGTGAATATACCCTCTGCCCATAGGTTTCAGTCCTGTTACACAACTTGATGTAAAGTAGGCAAACAAAATTAGTTACCTCCATATAGGTACAAATGCCACTGAAGTGCGGTATTTGTTCCAGATGCATTGTGTGCAATCTGTAAATCTAACAATAAATAATAACATTATTTAAACTAGTTTAGGAAGATTTCTGATCTTTTCGAAGTCTAAAAATTTATCAGATTCTTTTTGATTTCTGTCTTGTAAATGTTGTAAAAAATGCGGAATGTTTTCATTTCTTTTATTCTTTGTTTCTTCTTTTTCCTTGAAAGCATCTGTCACTCTTGAAGTTAGAACAGGCTCTTCCTCACCTTCATCGTCACTATGTTGTTGTCTTGTAACTGTGAGAAAGAGTAGGATACATTTGTCAGTCACGAGACCATTGGGAAAGTGTCTTGCAACCTGACCATAAATTTATTCGATTCGTAATATTTTTGTTTGCTTTAGAAAATATTGACCACAAAATCACAGGCATTAGCATATTGGCTAGAGTTGGCATTCTCACCCATTACCACCTCATTTACATCTTGGCAAGTTTTAAAAGTAAAATCTCCCGCTTTGTAATCTATCATCTTGTAGTATCTTGTAATATTTAAGTTACTGCGTATGCAGATTTAAGATCCTTTTTTAATTATTGTCCTTGTCTAGAAAAGGTTCCAATAGTCAAACGAGAATATCGGTTGGAAACCGAAGACTTATCGATCGATAGTTAGGGGATCCCCCAAAACAGAAACTGCAGTTTCGATTCATCTGCTCTTGTAACTTGCGCACTGCGCATCGCACACACACACTCGGCGGGTCTCAAAAATCTCTCGCTTTACAAAAATCTAGATCACTATATCAATAATTGATTGATAACTCACTAATTATACGACATAATTCACCCAAAATCGATAGGATTCTGGTCCGAGATAAGATGAATGCACATGCAAAATCTGGAGCAGATTCAATCTTGCTTTCGTGAGATATCGCGTGCATCTAACAGACAAACATACAAATACCTATCAACATACTTACCGATTAAAATCGATAAGTAATAAGGTGGATGAATAGTTTAGATAGAAGAATAAAAGGATACACTAACTTTAAAGCCCGACCCCATTACTTTCATTTATAATTGTTATGAGCAATACACCATTTAAAAACTATAAAACAATCAGTAAATTTACCCAATTCCTGACTGTTTTTTGAGAAGTCAATTTCTTGAACATCTTCTAATTCTTGATCATGTATGGCACGGATTCGTTTTAACTTAGATGAAGTAGGTGGAGATGTTCTGGGTCTTCTATGTTCCGTAGTCACTGAGTTTCTTGATGTTGGCTGACCTAAGTCAGGTTGAGAAATTAGTTTACAACAATGATGAAATAGTTTGGACTTGAAATTCTTACTTAAACACAGGACAAAACAACTGCCCTGGATAAGCCCCTATTGCCCTACACTATATTTTGTTCTGTATTGCTGAGAAATATATACTTGATGTTAACAATTACTTGATACTCTTGGCGATGAAGACAGTCTACGCTTCCCTTGATTTTGATTTCCGTATCCACCAGGGTGTAAGAACTCTGGCTGATTACGAGAAAATTCAGATTCCGAACGAGATCTGAAATGATGGCGAGGCCAGGTGCCAGCTAGAAAGTCTTCTTCTTCTTGTGGCTATGAGAAAAACACAGTAAACGATTGAAATAAATCTAAATGTAGGTCGCAGGACATTCAAGAAAAGGACATCATTGGTAATACTCGTAATTTTCCCAGTTTTGTATAAATCACCAATTTTCTCCAGAGTAACGTCGGACTGGGGACCAAAACAATGGTCAGACTGACCAGGTTTTGAACCTAAAACCTTACCTTCTTTGTCAACGAAGTTAGAACAGCGCATTCATAAAATTCTTTAATATCGAAAATGACATTCGATTATCTCCACAGTTCCATATTAAACTACTAATATCCTGAGGTCTCATAGTTCAAAGAAAATAAAATCTTCATCCAAACGACTTAGCCTAAATTGTGCATATCGGTACATAACAAACCTCCTCTTGCCCAGAGTGTGTTCCTCTGTGTGTATGAGGAGGTTGGTATTGGTTTTGTACATTGCCACTACAACCTGGTGTCTGAGTCAACTTTTTACCATCAGCGAGCGCTTGAAGCAGTTTGGGAGATAACACCTAGAATTTGATAAAACACGATGTAAACAAATGTAAACGGTAAGTGCTGCTCCGTCATTAACCCCTTAATTGCATGGGTGATTCTATCTGGATCGAATATTTACATTGCATTAGCATGGCTACCCAAGATTGAAACCATAAACATAAAACATGATTCGGATATTCCAGTATTATAAGAACATGACAATTATATACAATATATGGGGTACAATTTTGGGTACTCCTGAAGGATGTTAAACAAGATGGCGTACACCAAAACTTAGTATGTGTACCAGGTTAGAGTAGGGCCATAATTTTATTCCAATTTTCCTTATTTTAGTTTTATTACGAGTTCAGGGACTAGCCAAGTGGCTCCCGTAGTATTTGTACCTGAAATTATGGCTTAACCCTAACCTGGTACACATACTATGTTCCGGTGCCCGCCATCTTGGTTCACATACTTCGAGGGTACCCAATTTTAAGTGTGAAAAAATATATGAAAATGGTTAAGAGTAATGTAGATCAGAAATAAAATTGGATTGTGTTCGTAAATCCGAAAAATAGTGCATTGAGTACCGGTAATACACATGCAAGATCTTCAGTCTTCCTACTCAAACACAGTATTTCTATTGCATGATTGCTCGGCAGTGTGGCCCATTGTGCTGAGCGAAAGAAATACGCTCGTCACAGCACCTCTGATTACCCTGCATGGGTTCCCAGATTCGAATCCCATATGGGGTAAGTATGTGCAAGATGATTGTTAGACTCCCTGCCGCCGTAGGGTGGTTCATGTAACTGCTGGTCAGTTATGGCTTCCTCCACCATCAAATCTATGCTTCTGAAATCAACTAACTAGCTAACTCATCCCACACCCGACATGGACTGGTAATCAGGCGAGAGTCCTTGATCGCCATATGATTAAGCTGTATTAACATCTTTCTTCTCCCCCGGGATAAATATGGTAATCTTATCCTATTTCAAACAAAGGGATTGTTTCAGATATTTTCAGGCATTCTTATTTGACTTAGAAAAACTAGTCTGTTGACGTCTCATATATTACCTGAGAAATCTCGTTATCTTGCTTTGAATTATTTTTCACAGGTTGCAACAAATTTCTCGGTGAGGGATCTCGTGATTTTGAATGACGATTATCTCCTTTTCTTGAATTTGGTCTGAATATTATAAATGCCCGTTCAATAAATAAGTATATTTTTGATTTTTAAACTCTATATTTTTATTGCAATACTTCGTGACCAGCTTAATTCTCTGTAATATTTTCAAAAAATAAACTTCAATATTTTGTCTTTATGTTATATCAAATCCATATCGACCAAAAAATATATTGGTTGACGATATAAAATTAACAAAAAAAGACGAACACACAAACCTAGGGAAGGCTCCCTCTTTTGTTCTTCTGTCAGGTTGTGTATGAGGAGGCATAATACGTTCAGTAGAATCACGATCATCAGTCGGTGAGTTGAATTGTGAGTGATGTTGCCTGGATTGAAATAAGGACAAATAAACTACACTAAATCATGTATTTTTAACAGCTAATTGAAGCTGATTTTATTATGAAAAGCAAAATCAAAACATTATAGAGTGAATTAGGTCTCACAACCTGTCATATTTATGAAATAAGACATAAATTAAGATGTATATGTGTGAAATGATAATCGTGTGCAGCCATTTGGTTCGCAACATTCAATAATTACAGGAGTGAAAAAAACAATGCAAAGCTACAAAAAATAAAAGTATAATATACTAGTAAAGGCTGCAGCTTTTCTTCGTAAATCTTTTAAATGACATCATATTTATTCCATAGATGAGAAAAATTGACAAGACGACTTGATCATATATGATGTACCACAGATTCTTGTTCAGCTCCTAACCCATGTTAGGTATGGGATTAGCAAACCAGGTATTCGCAACCGACAAGCATACGTTCAACTAACTAGCATACTATGGTGAGGATGAGGAGGCCCTCATCTCCAGCAAAACAGTAAGAGGTGCGACCGAAAGCGTGATCTAATTCTTAGCACGATGCGCCAACCGTTTTTAAAAAATATATAAGTTGTCAGCTAGTAAGCTCACCTTTCTGATATAGATGTTAGTCTATCTCTACTGCTCCCAGTGTTTGTACTTCTTGTTCCACTCCTCGAGTCTCTTGTTCCAGACGATGGAGTTTGTTGCCTATGGCGACCAAGATCATCCAGGAATGGTAAAATCATGTCAAGAGTGTCTCCGAGGTTCATTTTGAGCTCTGAAAACCCTGGTTCTGGTTGAGGGAACTCGGGATATGTTTCATTTTGCTTCTCAGATTTTTCCTGAAAGGAACAAAATGAAGTTGGATGAAATTTACAAAAAAAAAAAACTACTGATGGCTCACATAAGTGCAAAATATTGCACACAATTTATTGCATCTTGGATGATACAGATGTGTTAGAGGTCATGTTATGAGGGATTCACAGCTTATTTATATTTAATTTGAAATAATAAAAAGACTGCCGATCTAGCCTGAAGCAGCTTAAGAGATGATTCACTCGATAATTGTTGATTTATTGATTTCAAATTTATTAGATAGCAATACACACTTGTATTCTCAACAAGTATCTAGTCGCATGTTTAAAAGAGTATTCTTGAAACAAAAAAATGTAATTACTTACTTGTTGAGGTTTATTCTCTTCCGAATATAAGTTGGGTCTGAAATAAGAATTAAAACTTACATTATAAGAAGAATGAGCCGGAACAAAAAATTCGAAGTGCCTATGGATTGGGCAGGCCTGGAAGGATATCACCAACAAAGAATTTAAAATGTCTTGCTACTTCATGTGACCCAGCATGATAAAGATGAAACAAATAAAATAATCTGATCCACAGTACCCAATGAGAAGTATGAAAGTCATAAGTAATAATAAAGGATAAAAAATATGCTCTCCTAGTTTTTGTAGTTGGCATTCCCTAAGTGGTTATATAGCATCCCACGGTGTACTAGCTATATAATACATATGAAAAATCTTAGACTGGAAAAACCTTATATACCTTACCTTATGAATAATATATATGAGAAAATTGTTAAACTATTAAAACCTTATATACCTTACCTTATGAATAATATATATGAGAAAATTGTTAAACTATTACCTGTATCCTTTTAACACAGGACTTTCACTTGAGCTTGGTTGATTATTCCTGTTATTCACTGTTGTAAACAATGAGAAATGTTATATTTTGTGTCACTTCGTTAGTAATAAATATAGAGCAGTGATGGGCAATTACTTTCCTACATAGGCCACTTACAGATCATAGACTAGGTTACTGGGCCAAACGTGTAAAACTCAAAATGAAATTATGAATGAAAAACGGTATTTACAAATACCTAGCGAAATAGCAATCGCCTGCCTGCTAGTTTCACTGATGTAATGCAATAGATATTTTTGTTGAAGGTGAAATTTATATCCATGAAAACTATAGTCATAATTTCAGTAAAAACAAGTAGGCCAGATGAAAGACTTTGGTGGACTTTCAATAGGCGATACAAAGTTTAAAATACCTGGTGTAGTTGGTCGGTGATCACGAGAAGCATTGTTTTCCTGAAAGAAAATATATTTGTTTATTCTTAAAGGCAGTGTATAAATTCTCCATAAAATTTGACGGTATAAAAATTATATCTTCTCACACTCACCTCATCCTCACTCTCTTCATCATCTTCTTCTCCTTCTATTAGTCCATATTTTTCCATGTATTTTCTGGAATAAAATTTATCAAATATTATTCCATTGATATCGAGTAATATGAAGGTATGGATAGTAGAAAATCCTTGAATCCCACGTGGGATACTGGTAAATATGTGCGAGAAGATTGCTGGAATCCTCACTGCCATAGGGTGGTTCACATAACAACTGTTCCGTTACAGCTTCCTCTACCATTAAGTCCATGCATCTGATATAAATAACTGGCTAAATAATCCCATACTCGTCATGAACTGGTATCGGGATTAGAGGCCGTTGTTCGCCATATGATTGAGTCGTCTTATCGGCATTTATCTCCCCCAAGATAATTATGTAAATCCTACATACTAGTAACAGTCTTATCCAAGGGGAACGCAAGCAAAAATTTTCAATTTGATTAGGACAGTAAATAAGTTTACTGTTTTGAATAGCGAAAAACTTGTTGATTATAATAGCAACAAACACCTTATTGTCTGGCAGTATTTGGTAAAGAAATATCACTATCCCACTATCCAGGGTAGGCTGTCTCGAAATTTCAGACTTTCAATGGCGATAAATAGAGTCAAAATGATCTATTAGGTGTTTTTAACAATATTTTCAAGGAGGCTTGCATATGCCAAAATTTATTTTTTTTAAAAATTTGATTTCAAAGCTGGAGTGTAGTCAACATTTTTCTCACCCAGATTAATTTGTTTCAGTCAGGAATTGCAAGCCAAATATAAACTTTTCCTTATCCCCAATCACTGGTTCAAGATATGGATTATGATAAGCAATGGTTGAAGTTACAAAGAGTTGAATCTCAATGACTAGATTATATTCGAAAGAAGATTTGACCAAAATGAAAATACAAATCACTAAGTGTGTTTATAAAACAAACCATTTATTCAAAACATACCTTGTTGCTAGAGACATATTACATGGCGACACCAAACTCATTCCTGGCAAATTCTTCTCACCGAGTTTACGAACATTTGCACCAAATATGTCATGGATTGCTAACTTTTCTCCAGAACTCGAACTCTGAAATATTATGAAAAGGAAATTCTTCACATTAAAAACCGTGACTTCAACAAAAAAGTAAAACTTGTAAAATATAAAACAACACTAACTCATTCATTTTGATAAAACCAAATAAGTTACAAACTGTATAGGAAAAAAGATTTTAAGCTTGCCCACCACCTCAAGATTAATAAATTGTAACGGAAGAAATATTAGAATCCTCCAAAAAATGACAGCTATTATCAAATCTTCGAAGCAATTTTTGCAAAAATATAGCTTCACAGAGTCTTTTTTAGAAAAATTTGCTCAAGGCAAGGAAATGTGCACTCACTCAGAATTAATTGAGACTGATTTCTGAGTAAAGTTATGGGCGATCACTACGTCAAGAACTACTGGAAATACACAGAATTACTAATAAAAAAAATCAGTCCATAGACTCAATACCTTCGATTTGAGAGGAGAAAATATAGATGAAGTATTCTTGCCAAGTTTTGATAAAGCAGCAATTTCTTCAAGTTGATCATTTGATAAATATTTGAGTGCAATTGCATTCGCATGCATACTTAGATCAGTTGAAGATGGGCCTGGCAAAAAAGGAAAAAGTGATTGATTCTCAATTAACAACGTTTTTTTATGTCTTTCACAGCAGAAAATGCTCCGTTTGAATAACGACTAATATGAAAAGAACTAGAATTTTGTTAAAACTGGAATCTTTCCAGTGATTTGGCAAGAATGGGATTAGAACATAAGATTTTTAATCTACAATGCCACCAAACATAGTTGATCCCAATTCTTCGAGTATTATTACATCGCGCCCATAAAAATTGCAATTTAACAATCAGTGATGATTCATTTAGATCAGGGGTGTGCAAGATTCTTTCTCGTCGGGCCATATAACCAACTTCAGACATCTAGCAAAGCCACACAAAAAATAAATTTTTTCATGTATACAACAAATTAAAAAAATTTCAAATTGCAAAATATTATTTTTTTAACATATCAGTGGAACACTTAAAATTTTGAGTTCGAACAACAGTTGCTAACAAGAGAAAAGAATGTGGCTATTGCTACAGGCAAAACGACGAAAAGTCAAAGCAGCGACAAGAGCAAAAAACGAAGTATTTCAACCTATGTGAGCACCTTTTCAAACACAAACTGTAGAATGAGGATTTTATGCTTGGTGGGGAAAATTTGAGTGTTGACAAAGGCCACACTAAATGGCTTGGCGGGCCGGGTTGTGGCCCATCGCTTATGGCCGCTTGTTGCACACCCGTAATTTAGATGATTCTAGCCAATTCGAATCTTTGATAGATAGTGAGTGACTCGAGCATACCCAACAGTAACACTGCTAAAAAGGTCAAAATAATTTTTATCAATAAAGCCTATAAAATGATAGGCATGGTCTGGGTTTGTAACTTTGAGCTCGATCAGACATCTCAATTAGATACAGAAATCAAACTAATAATAATCTAGAAATATTACCTGGAAACAATGTATTCGACGTTGAACCTCCAGCCATAATGGAAAGATAATTCAATCGAGGTATCAATGGTTCAGGTAAAGTGCTGGAAATAATTAAAACATAGATAAGCAAGACAAACAACCAAGATATATCATAAAAAATTACAAATTTATGTGACAATCAAAAACTATAGGTATGTTATTTAACTTACTATGAATATTCATCTTTTGAAGATTTCTTCCTGTCGTTAGAAGCAACAGCAAAACTCAATGCATTTACGGTTTCGTCATCAAATTTTACTCCCATTTTACGAAGCTGTTTTCTTGTTGCTTTGGCAACTCTGTCTTCTCTAGATTGTCTATAAAATGAAAAATCAAATTTTGGTTAAAATATTTTTCATAAGCCCAAGGGTGGAAATTAGGAAAATACTATATAACAATACAATATTGGGCAAGAAAAGTACAGAAATGTTTTTCCCTGCGAGCGCAAATCAATGAAGAATGTTTACAGATGAACTATATATATAACAGTGAGTTCAGTAAATAAATAAATTAAGTGGTGATAAAACGCTACTGAAACTTACTGTATCTTTTTGGACTTTTTCTTTACACCTCTCTGTGGTGTTGATGCAGCTGAATTCTCTGAACTGATTTCACTTTTTCCATCAATATCTGCTTTCTTTAACATATCACGAACCTAGCAATATGAAGTGGAATTTTTTTTTGCCTATTTCAAGGATGTTTCCACAAATTGGTACTTACAAACTGGTTTACATGTTTATAACCATCATTTTGATTGTAAATATTTACTCTCCTGTTTTTTAGAAGTATTAATAGCAAATTTGGCACAGGTTAGCTCAAGTTTCACGAGACAACTTTTGAAGTACTGCAATGGAACTAAGCCTCCCAGAAGGACAAAATGACTATAAAATTATTTTATCTATACTTAAATTTTGGAAACACAAATGAAAAAGTAACAAAAGGTAGTAAACCACAAAAACAAGTTAGCGTTTGATGTATTACAGTGCTCAAAAATTTGTCGTAGTAAATAAGCGCCAGAGCAGCTGTTGCAAAGAATATTGTGAGGTAAAATAAATTTAAAAATGTTAGTTAAAAGCTTGGCATGGTTGGTTTATGATAAACAAAATATAGAAAAATATTCTTCCATACTTGGCTGAGAAGATTTTTCATAAAATGTTCATCTTTAGGTTCAGTTTCTTCTTCTGTTTCTTCCAACGATTGATTCAAATTGATGGGAGGAACGATACACATACTTGCACTCTCGCCTTTAAATGAAAAAAAATTGTATTTCCAAATTATCTATGGCATCTTATAGGAGTTTAATGTCCATTTTTTTTGTCTTCTGATGCCCAAATCGCGGTCCTGTTTTCAAGTCTTTTAATATTATTTTTCAACAAAATGACCAATTTCAGCTGGTGCCTCTTCTTGAAAGAGATTGGGACCATGCTAAGCATTAAGAACACGCTTCCCATCACACCTCTGATTACCTTGCGTGGGTTTCCAGGTTCGAATCTTGTAGGAGATAACTATGTGTGAGAGGATTGCTACACTCCCCAACAGTCGTAGGTGATTTATGTGGGTGTTAATCGGTTACGGTTTCTCCACCTTTGATTCCATACATCTAAAACAAATAACTTGCTAACTAATCCCACACCCAATATGAACTGGACATGAGAAAGTGGACATTAGAAAATCCTATCCTAACTAAAAATGAAGATGACAGAAGTGTCAAAGATCCCAGAAAGATGATTCACTCACTCACTCATTATTGAGTAACTCACCAAGAACAGGACTATCTTGGGCGCTCCATATTCCACCAGCTACTTTGCTCGTTGGAGTATTAAATGACGATTGCTCCGTACTAGTTTCAAGTAACGGTAAATCAACAGCTCGTAAGCTTGAAGCTAGACTTCTTGTGTCACAATCATCTTCTATATTTGCTGAAGCAATTTCACGTAGGTTTGTTTCATCCAGATGGATACTGGCAAACTCTGATGCAGGATATTTTTCAGTGCATTGGCTTTCACATCTAGAAAAAAGGGGAAGGAAATTGGATGATTGATTGACAATTTAAAAAAGGGCTCTTGAAACTGGGGGTCCAACCACCCGATGGGTCGTGAAAGGTCTCAGTGGGGGTTGCAGTAAAATCTTTTTTGACACTTACCGGTATGTTAAAACAAAATATCACTCAAATTTGAAAGATTTAGAACCAATGCTGAGACCCGCCATCACCGAAAGAGAGCAAAGATTCGATTTAAGTGCGAAAATATGCAAGCACATGATATTGAAGGTAGTGTCAATTTTATTATTTACTATTTTCAGTATTATTAAATGTTATTTATTTTTTTTAGTTCCTGGAGGGTCGCGAAAAAATTTGGCCGTGCAAAGTGCGGGTCAGGCTGAAAAATGTATGAAAAACACCAAAACAATTAGGGACATCAATCTCTAGGGGAAAAAAAATGATGATGACTTTTTGTTCATAAATATTCTATTATGTCACCAGCTCATCAGGATAAGAAAATTCAGAAATGCAAAAAAAAATTTGAGCAATTAATTCTGTGTGTAGCCAAATTTTATCAGCATGATACCTCAAAGCATTGATCCTGTTGATAGTAGGAACATGATCATCTTTATTTTCTAATTCTTGTTGTTTTTGACTCATGCTCTCTTCTGTCTGATCAACATTATTCTCTTCTATATTTTGTTGGATCGATTGATTATTACTAGTTGATGACATACTTGAGAAAGGTGTGGTGTGATTTGATAATGATGATGGAACTATAATGAAATATTACGAATCAGTATAAACAAGAAACTCTATTTCTCTGGTTGTGAGCCATTATTCAAACTAACATAAAAACCAGCCGCAACCAGGAAAATATGTTTATAATTATGAAAAGATTTTATACAAATTTATGTGATCTACTGGTATATCATCGGTTTCACAAGCTATTCTCACAAAGCTAAAATCAAGTATGTCTCGATACTCTCGAACTTTGTATGGCGCGTGCACCAGCACGTCTTAAATCTTTTTCAGATTTTGCCCACTTTCCTGATTTTTCGTACATTTATGTGTTTTGTTGTATTGGAAAATCGAAATAAACACTTACACTTACTTTTTTGGCAATCAAAAAAGCAATTCTCATCATATATACAAAATGTTTCATTTTGCTTTCAAATACTTAACATCAGCTTGATACATCTCAGTAACATGCATTCCAGCCCTAAGAATTATACTTGCCGTATTTTACGGACCATAAGGGGCACATGGTTTTAAAATGCACTGTCAATAAATTGCTTAAGTTCGGTTTTTATTCACACGTTAGGCGCACCGGACTATAAGGCGCAACCCGTACTGGTATTGAGTATAGGCATTAAAGCACTACCGAATCCATACATTATAAGGAGCGCAATCGATTTTTGAGAAAAATAAACTATTTAAAGTGTGCCTTATGGTCCGTAAATTACCGTATATAAAAAAGCAAGAAAGGTACCTTTTGTCTGACTTTCTTTTTCCATGTTTGTTTCATTGTCATCTGATAGTACATACAAGCTTTGGCCAGTATTGACACCCATGCTGATTTTTTCACTCACATTTGTTGGAGGTTCTGGCTCTATAAAATCGAAATTAGTCTTTGCAAAAGCCACATAATATGAGAATTTTATATGTGGATTATATTAGATCGATTGTAATGCACAGATAACAGCTGTGGGTGCAATGGCCCAGAAGAGAGTAGACTGTGTGCAACCTTTATTACAAGCGAAACCGCTCACACCTTTATTCAACATAGGTTGTCTAGAGTTGTAGGCACAAAAATTTGTTTTGGTTAATAATCTTATGACATGTGTTGTTCGCTTCATACAAGCTAGCTGTTGAGCATTATAATGTCATAGATAATAAATTGGACTCAGGTATAGGCTTTGCAATGCAAAGGGATTACTCTCATCCGACGCATATACCAGATTAAACCAAACTAAAAACTAGTTTCGCAGACGACACTCTAATCAAAATTGGCACTCTCAGCGGGTCATACAATTTTTCTTTGCGGGCCACACGTAGCCTGAGGGCCGCAGGTTACGCACCCCTGCCCTATAGGACAAAGTGTCTAACTTATTAATTATGTTGACATTGCAGGTTAAAAATCACAAGTTCAAATCCCACGCATACCACCCCACTCAGGGTGTAATAAAATAGGTAAGAAATACTGAATCGGAAAGATCCCAGTCTTCCTAATATATAATAGCTTGTACGATATCATCTGCTGCTTATACAATGCCCTTCATAGAGAAGCGCAGTTGATAACGAAAAGAGAAATATTTCATAGAAAAGTGTTTAGAAGTCATAGAAGTTTTTAGAAAAGTTAAAATATCTCATTCATGTTTATAGGTCAAAGGACTCAGGATCAGGAGCATTGGGAGTTTGCTACAATTTGATAATTCACCTGTGCCTGTGCTCGTTTCTGTCGTAGTCGTTACAATTTTTTCCTTCTTACCATCGCCAGTCTCTTGCATGGATAGAAGTTTTTGAATTTGAGCTTGTAGTTGTTTTAATTGTGCATCCTGGTGCATTAAAAGTTGATACGCTTCAGGCGGAAGCTGTTTCATCCAAAGTGGAGAATCTGCCTGTAAACCTGCGACTTGGGAGGGATGCTGGCACTCTTCTTGTTGCTTTTGTACCATAGCTTGTGGGTGTGAAACGGGTAAAGATTGGGGTTTGCCAGATGCAGAGTAAGGTGTGGGTAAATGGGGTGAAATTTGGGGGTCTGTTGTCATACTTGGGGTTGAGAGAAGGTTTACAGAGTTTGTGTATTGGGGCATGGGTGCATGTGAAAAGTCATATGACGTTTTGGGTAAATTCTGTTGGGTAGGGTTGGTTGTATATGTAGGCGGTAAAGATGTACGTGGGATGTATTGTATGTCTGGGTGTATTTGTGGGTAAGGTTGAGGTACTGTATTACGGATAGACCCCGCTGAGATTTGATATTGAAATGCAGGGTTTTGGGGGTATGGGTGAGGAGTATATTGACCCATTGGTGCAATATTCAAGGGCAATCTTTGTCCCTGTGTTTGCATTGGTGTTGAGCTATGCAACGCTTGATAAGACAAGATAGGACGTGAAGCTCCATGGTATACATGTGGTTGAGGCATATTCTTATGAGAACCCCGTATACAGTCAGATGCACTACGGCTACGACGCTGCATTGGTTCATGATTAGGATATGAATGTGTCTGTCCATCAGAGTTAACGCCAGTATTCATTCTTGTTCCTGGCATCGGGTGGCGGTAGTGATCGCCCGGGGGTTTTAGTGGCCCTGAGGGACGTCTATCTTGAGGTGATATTCCGCGATTGTTTGCATTTAAGTTGTTGATGTTTTTGAGAGGTGAACGAATTCCTGGAGAATTGTGATTGTGAATCTTTTCTGAAGTTACCCTTCTCTGTAATAGAAATAAATGATGAGTTGTAAGTCATTTGCTCAAATGAGGAAATATATCTAGAAAATGGAAAGGATGGAAATGGAAAATATCTATATAAATTTGTGCATAATCATTTGGTTAACTCATTTTGTGGATTTAAAATAAAATATTATTCTATTTCCCCGTTGCAATTTTGAATAAAGAACCTTAATTTCAATTCTATAATTTACTAAAATAAGACTATTTTGACAAATCTGGAATTTTGTTTAGACTATATCATGCATATCTCTGCATTACAGATTGATAATTTCATAGGCAAATACAAATACTCATCACTGCACCAAGTATTCTATAAAATGTTCCCACATAAACTACGCAAAATTACGTTGTTAACCACAACTTATCTGAATGTGATATCTGAAGCTGCTTCCTTTGGCAAAATTTAGCTAAAACAATTGCTATTTTGATTTATGAAAATTATACAATTGGAAAAACACCTTAATGAGGTGATATGAAGGCTGAATGTCATTAAAGGAGAGTAAAATAAAAACAAAAATCTCACTTTGGTTGGACTTTTAGATGATTGGCGGGAACTTTGCGATGGAACTTGATAATTTTCATCGAATATAATTGACAGCTCTGGAACAGATGGTTTTATCAAGCTTGGTGATTGGTGGATAGTTGAGGGGTGTGGTGAGGGCAACGGCATGGGCATAGAATCCTGAAAGACTTCTGAATCGTCGACCGCGAGTGAAAAACTGACACCATTTGTAAAATTTCGGTTCCGGCTACCACTGGAACGCCTTCTGCTCTCGGAGTTGTTCCGTAGGATGGACTGAGGAATGGATGAACCCTTTGAACAAAAATTCGCAGAAAATTGTTAAGAGGCAATGCTTGAAGAGTTGTCAGAGTGAAAAAAATGTGAGTAGATGTTAAAATTTCGATTGTTGTGTTACAACTTACAACTGATTTATACTGATTATTATAGTGAAAACAAAGAAGTCAATACCCAGGGAAACATTAATACCTTCTTTGGTTGTCGTCCTCTAAGACGTTCCTCTCTCTCTTTCCTATCGCTGTCAACTTCATCATTAACAAGCAATGCTTTCTTTTTTGGCACAACAAATGATTCAATGCTTTCTACAGCTTCTTGAAACAATTCTCTTTCTTTAAAAACACCTTCAGGTAAATCACCTGATGTAGATTGAAGACGAAATTCAAGAACTTTTTCAGAATTTCCAGATTGCTTGGAAACTTGGATACATTGCTGAATATAAAGAAGAAAAATACAAAATATTATATTTAAGCCAGTTAGTTTCCTTCAACTCCATTATCAGTTCAAAAGTGATACATCAATAATAAAAAGATGATTAAGTATGTGACTGTGGGGAATAAAAAAGAACCAATATTTACGTTCAAAATGTCCAATTTTTCTGAATAATTATGAAACAGGAGGGCATGTGTTTGTTTACCCATAAATGAAAAGTGAAAATAATATCCCATATATCCAATATTGGAACCGTTTTAACAAAGAAATAAACAGTGAACAATATCTTTGATTGTATCATGAAGGCAATAAAATAGTTGTCTTACTCCTAGTGAATGTTTCTAAGCTAAATTACTAGTTTTTCTGCGCTTTCTATATTACCTGAGCATGCAGAAGATCAAAGTTCAATTTGTCATCATATTTAACTTGGAAAAACAAAGGAGATGAACTTGTAACTGAGTAGAGAACGAGTAAAAATTGACCTCCAGGCATGATTCTGAACAAAAAAAGAAAGATATTTTCAATAAGGTAAGAAATTGCTGAAAAGTGTGAGCAATCGAAAAGATACATACTTTCAAGAGGACTGAAAAGAATATATGAATGGTCTAGAAGAGAGATTAAAGCATGGATTCAGGATCTATGCTCAGCTCGAAAGGTTCGAGATTTTCAAAGTAATTGTTCCATACATATGCATGGCTGCTTTCCAGAGCCTTGTTAATAGCAGAGATGTGGAACACTCAATGAAGAAATGTACAACTATTTTTCCAATGCAGGCGATCAATTTGTCACACCTACAGTGACTTAGCCAATATTTAATTGAAAAGGAGTGTCCGGAATTATCAGAAGCCTGACTAATGTATATATATATATATATACAAATATTATTCAAAATCAATAAAATCACTCATTTCACTTTTATTTTCATTGAAAACAAAACTATGCAATGTGACACTAACACCTAATAATTTTGTACCATTAAGTGTTTTTCTTTTCATGGTTTGAAATAAAATTGTCTGGCAAAATCTGACCAAATATATATTTTGCCATTTGCAGTTGAACCACATAGAATAAAATGTTCAAATCAAATTTATTGTCAACTAAATCTTGCTTACCTTTCATAAATGTCAGCACAGTGTAAATATCTCATACAAGCAAGCCATACATTAGGATTATGAACTGATACGACTCCACTAATCCATATTCCTACTGTAGGGATAGAACGAGATTTTGGATCAGAATCGAGAAGTAGAAGAAGTTTCCGAGACTGATTCATACTCAGGTAACTGAAAAAAAAAGGTTCTTATTATATAATGATTAGCAAGTAGGGCTGGGCATTTCGAATCAAATAGTAAATTATTCGAATCGGTTCAGAGCTAAATTTCGAATCGCCGCCATCTTGTTTTTATCTTTCCGCTAATGGTCGAGGTGAATTCCCCAATTTTTTTTTCATTGGAGTCATATTTTTTCAACGAAATTCTAACATATGACTATTTTCTGTAGTGAGTTATTGATAAAACGTGTTTGTTATTCTGTGTGAGCGCTCAGTAATCTATCTGGGTGATTTATTCTATGTCTTCGGTAATTCATGTGTTGAGAGGACTAATTACTATAATAAAATCGCTTACAATTATATATTTTCAAGTATTCGAGATTCGATTCGATTCGAAAAATATTATTCGATTCGATTCTGAAATCACAAGGTATTCGGATTGGAGCATATTTTTTTCTCTCGATACAAGCTTCAATAAAATAGGGATGCTATGGTAATTATGCTTTATTTTACAATGATTACCTTATTGCACTTTGTCATAGTAAACTCCATTTTCCCAAAACTAAGACAATGTAATTCACTAAAAATCAGCTGTTGTACAATATAACCTAGCCATCAACAAACACTTCTTTAAATACACTTCATTTATAGTCTATATCTCTATATAACAGCAGTAACACAGTATGCAATGCACAACAAAAACAGAAATCTCATAGATGAAACAACCTACCCTGTCTTTGATGAATGCTGTATACTAGAAAGATTCAGGGGTCCTGATAAATTTTTTGCGAGAGCAGTTGGTATGATTGGTACAGGCTTGATCGGTGTAGAATGGAAAGAATTTGATATACATGGAGTTACCCATTGTAATAACATGTCTACGTCATCAGGCTGGGAATCTGAAAATAAATCATTGTGGTAAAATGACAATTCAATATGAACTATATTTCAAAGTCAGTAGTCTGCAACACTAGGGTTGAGGGTGGAGCCTGTTTGTGACGAATTCATTAATAAAAGGAAGTATACTTTCCAGACTAAATGCTTCTGTAAATTTTTCAAACCAAGAAAAAACGAAATTTCTGTCAGACGTTATATAAAAGAGAGATAGATTAAAAGGTTATGTGAAAAGTGTTTTCGAAGGCCGGTTTGTGAAAAATTTTCAGGTTCGAATCGGTCTTGAGGCGGAAAAGACTGCCGGTTTCTGATCTAAGTGACAAAAGAGTTAGGTATGATTAACTATATCTAGTTGTAAATAAATGGAAAATTGGTGTATTTTTGTTTCTCTGATACCTAGATATTAAACTTGCTGTCAAAGAGGCAAGAAAAATCATTTGGATACTGGCTGAATTCAAACTCCTTAAATACACAATCCGTCCATCTTCCAGAATTACACAAAAAAATATATTACCATAAAACTTAAATCTCTATTTTCCTGTAAGTATCTGAAACTTTAAAAAAAAAATTACTAAATGAATAATTTGATAAAGCGAGGTCCCGAAAAAAAAATCCTTACCTTTTGAATAATAACAATGAAGTCGGATTGGAAACAGCGAAGTATTTTCAACTGAAAGTCTTGTTGATACTTGGTGGTGAAGCAACTGGAACATTTGTTTTTTTATTAATTGAAGCAATATATTGTAGTCAAATAAATACAAGTTTTAGATGTGAAGAAAATCAGTTCTGGGGAACCTGAGTTTGGTATGTTTTAATTGATATTGGAGTTTGGAATGTCAAGCGCCCATCAATATCAAGCTATCCAAATGCAAACAGTTATATATTTGATAATCAATTTTACTTTCTCAAAGGAAAATTTAATTTTTCACATTTTATGCATGAAATGTTAATTTTGTCATTAATTAAAGGTAGGCTAATGAACTATACAATGATAGTTTCGATGTTATACTGCGCTTATTTTTAAGGTACTTCATATTTCGAAACCCACTTCATGCCATTACCTTGAACGTATTCCGATAGTCGTTCACAGAAAAAACACTCGTTGAATCGAGAGATTGAGGGAATTGTTGAGTGAAAATCATTGGAATAACAACATCTCCCGGTAAAGGGGTGGAAGGAGCCTTATTTCCATCACTACGAATTGTCCCAGGATCAAATCGATCAAGGTTTATCACAATTCCCCTCTCATCTGAAGAAATAAAAATATTCATGAATGCTGAGTGCCAAACAAAGTGCGTCATGAATGGACATGTTTATTCAATCCCCTTATTAAATCCCTTTTTTACTCTGTATTTCTAACATCTACTATTTTCAATGAATTTCCTTCTTTAAGTATAAAATATACAGTATGTCATAAAATGTGTGCATCTTTACCAAGAAATTTTATTTTGCTGTACAACCGACATGTTTACTCATCCCACTAATAAACCCATTTTTTACTCTGTAATGACCATTTTCAACGAATTCTTTTTAATATAAAAAATACAGTATAGTATAGAAAAGAGATTAAATTTTGCCTTTCTTATACTAGTTATAAATATAAAAACTACTACTTTCTCATTTTCCTTACTACTATTTTTAAAATGTACTAACAGGTCAAAATCACCTGTGTTGGCGCTAAATTTAAACTATAAACTGTTATGCATTATATTTTCCACCGATAACCGTCATAATGAAAAGTAGGTGTCCATAAAATTACATAAAATTATGGCCCAGTCCTAGTGGTTAGAATTTAGGTCGTAACAACGTTTGCATCAAAGACTGATGTTTTCAACCTTGCCCATCTCCGTAACGATGATGTAATAAATTGGGCAGGCAATGTCTGAATGTCAAACAAAGAAATTGATAAATCCAATAAATGTCTGCTTACCCATTACCTTGTTCTGAGTGAATATTTGGATACACCTAATGAAAAAATTATAAATACCCATAACGTACCATCCGTATATGCAGTAGTTCCCATTAGAAATCCGGTGAACTGATTCATATTATCATCTTCCTCAACTGCAGATTGAGTAGCATGTCGATGTGCGAGCCTCAAACATCTTTCCAGACAAAGCAATGAGATTGAATGAAAATGCTGCGTTCCAAATAATATCGATTCTCCACATGGCATCATGTCCCTGGTTGATAATAACAAACTTCAGAAAAAATGTCATGTGAACAATTAAAGTTCATTGCTGAGCAGGATTTCACAACAATAAATTTAAGAATAAAATCGATTAAATGGGAAAAGCCTTAAAAACGAGGGGAAAAAGTTCATTCAACAATTCCATAATACAGTAATATCTGAACATTGAAGAGGTAAATATCTGCATATTTCAGTATTCAGATATCAGGATATCCTAAAGCAATTTCTACATAAAACTTAGTCCAGTAGTCTGTTTGTGCTACAGTTTCTTAAATTGTTATAAAACAACAAAAACTGAAAAATGAGATTACCAAGTACAGATTGACAGAAGTCAGGAAGCATCATATATTAGAATACTGGAATATCTGTATACAAAACAGATAAAACCATAAAAAACAATAAAGTAATATCTGAATATAGCATATTTACCACAGGTCAGTTTTCGAGTTAGGAAAACGTAGTTTTTCTGGAGGATCTTGAACAATCTTTCTGTTATTTCCCAAGCCTGTAGTATTTTGAAGTGAAGAAAAATAAGACGATGGATTTGGGCGATCTGTCAGCAAAGGCTGCTTCATCCTTGCTCTTCAATTTTATTAAATTCCTTTCTCTGCATTGACTAATAAATTACACCGCATTTGATGGTTAAACAAATCATTATAATTACATAAACATGTTCTAAATAAATGGCCACAAAGCCCCAACATCAACGCTAAATATCGTTCATTGCGACAACGTGAAATCTGATGGTGTGAAAAGATCGGTTGCAAATCTAACGTCATTTTGGAAATGGTGTTCCCATTTTATATTTAAATTTGATTCCTTTTGAGTTTCTTCATTTTAAATTATTGTAAAATATAAAAATACAATTTAAATTAAGTTTTACGTAGATATAATTATATATATATTTAAAAAATATATGTAAAAGATGAAAATATTAAAATTAAGTAGTTACAGTGATTACTTGAGTGAACACTATTATTACTATTATTTACAAAGTAAATTTTGAACAAACCGCTCACATTCTGTCGTTATTCATGCGTATCAAAATTATGACGTCAATTACAAGAAGATAAATCGCGTATTTATCTCTTTAACTTAATCGTCGTTGATACATTGTGCCATATTTATCGAAAAAATTAATAAATACGCAGTAAATAGACGCATTCCAGCAATAGAACTAATTTTCCACAAAGTTTGGTTTTCACAAATGTCGAGAGCAAAGTGCCCGCGAAATTATGAGGTCAAAGGCCAGTTTCCAATTTTCTGTTTATCTCGAATTCGACATTTACCACGTATCCTTATACTGTTTTAAATATGAATATATTTTAAACCTCTGGAGGTAGACATAGCTTATTCTGGTACGGTATCTTAGACTTCATTATAGTTTAACTATAATCAGCGTAACTGGCGATATAATGATTATAGACTATAAGGTAAGAAAGGAATGCAGTAATTTTTCAAAATGCTAACCCAAATCTGCAAATATCAGAATATCAACATATAGAGGACTTGCACGGGTCACGTGACATTGTTACTGGACGGCAATAAAACAAAAACGTCCATTTGGCTCCTGTCAGTTGCAAGTCGGATTATACGTTTGCGTTTTGTTTGGTTGTTGAAAATGGTTATTTCGTTGTTCTGTTGGCTGTACGTATAGTATAGACATTGTCGAAATGGACCTTCAGTAATATTCCACTGATTTCAAAAGATCCTGAACGTCGCGCAATGTGGATATCATCTATTGCCTATTGGCAGAACTGCTTGGTGTCAAGTCCACAAGCCATCTTACTTGTGTTTCACTGTTTGCGGACAGAACTTCGTTGATGGTGAGTGATAGTGTGCCGTTATCAATTACTGTGAGGACGAGGTATTGTTTCCTGATTAGCAGGTAATCTATTACTAAGTGTGAAAGGTTGAATAGATAACTAAAGTTTAACACCACTGGTCATGCAAAAAATAACCAGAATTCAATTTAATTCGCTATCTAGGAACACGCTCGCCACCGAATCTCTGATCACCCTGGTAGTTTCACAGGTTTCAATCTCATGCGGGGATAGTTATTTGCTAGAGGATTGCAGCTCCACTCCCACCGAGGGTGGTTCACATGACCGCTGATCGGTTACGACCATTCCCCACCATCCAAGTCCATGCTTCTGAAAACAAATAACTGGCTCCCCCCCAGATAAATCCCATCCTAATGGTGCTTGTACAACTGATTCAAAATGTCTTTTTATTGTCATTGGTAAAAAAGATATGCTACCCGGAATCAAATTCATTTACGACTAGTGGCTGTGGTGGGATATGGACATAAATTTCACCCGGGCTGGGCATTTCGAATCGAATAGTAAATTATTCGAATCGGTTCAGACTGGAATTTCGAATCGCCGCCATCTTGTTTTTATCTTTCCGCTAATGGTCGAGGTGAATTCCCCAATTTTTTTTTCATTGAAGTCATATTTTTTCAACGAAATTCTAACATATGACTATTTTCTGTAGTGAGTTATTGATAAAACGTGTTTGTTATTCTGTGTGAACGCTCAGTAATCTATCTGAGTGATTTATTCTATGTCTTCAGTAATTCATTTGTTGAGGGGACCAATTACTATGATAAAGTCGCTTACAATTTTATATTTTCAAGTATTCGATATTCGATTCGAAAAAATTATTCGATTCGATTCTGAAATCACAAGGTATTTGAAAATGCCCAGCCCTAAATTTCACACTCCTTGATCGTTAGATTTTATGAAAACTCCTATCTGTATCCATTATATTACAGATATGGGTGCGACCATGGAATAGATTGATGGCAAAGTATAAGTTGCAACAAGACCACAGTGGCACAAGACCTCAGCTTGCGTGACTTGATAATACATCCTCAGTATCCATTTATTGATGCTTATCGTAATGACAAAGTAACTTGTCATTACTGTGGATTGGTGGAGATAAAGTGTCCATTGTGCTTTAACGAAATCATCTTCAAGACACCCTATCAAGAAAAAAAAATTGTTTCGGTGGGTCTGGTCGTGAAGGTTTCAGTCTAACGTTGGACACCGATACTACAACCAGATACAGTTGCCAATGAAACTTGAGCGAGGCGTAATATTGCGACTTTGTGATCTGAAAGGAAATTCTGATGGGTAGCCAGCTAGCCGCAACCTTTTTTTTAAAGAATATTATGAGATACGACTTAAGAGTCTAAACTTTTATTTGAGAGGGGTGTAACCCAAGCTAATTTGCAAATAGTATTCATGGTACCAAATGTATCACACACTTTACAGTAATTATGAATTATATTTGAAAAATAAAGCACATCAAATGTATTTTTAAAAAACAATTGGTTTTATCTGCAGATACTAGGTTGATATTGAGATTGACCATTTCAATGCTAAATTTTCTTTAGTCAAAAGGCACACTTGATTCGCAAAAATTTGTGAATGCGCACAGTACACCAATTCGTCTAATGTTTTGATTCCATAGGCAGGAGGTTGTGGATCGGTGCTGCTCAGGATGCGATTTTTTGCCTCTAAATGCATATTACGTGTATTTTCACATGAATCCATCGTGCTCAGATTCGACTGTTTTCAAGGTCTGAAGGCTCCAACAGCCTTATTTTATGGGTACACAAGAGAATTTTCAGTGTGGCATGCATGGGTCAGTTGGAGTCACTAACCTCAAGATATCTATAAGCAAGGATAAGATAACCTGGAAGTAACATTCCATAATTTAGAGTAAAAAATGTATCTGCCTCCACAGCCCTTTCAAATGGAAGATATGATGCCTCGGGGGTAATTTCTATCAAATATTTTACAGTATTATGGTTCTAGTGAAAAGGGGTGTAGGCGGCTTTTTTTTAAAGTGTGGTAGGTCTAGTCGAAAGACACATTAAATGTTTATGCTAACAACTGCGAATTAATATTGCAACGCATACAAGTTAACAGAATTTGTTGAAATGGTTCTGCCTTTTTCCTTTCTTCAAAATCCTCCTTTTTCTAACTATTCTCTTCTTCTCTGGGGATGGCGAAAATTCAAATATCGATGGGACATGTAAGCAGCTGATAATGGGTTATCTTCCCTTTTTCCTGAAAATAAATTAAACACTAATCATCATTTGACAGTGCCAAGTTTGTGTATCAGATCACTAATAAATTACCTGCTAACTACCAAAACAATCAGACAACACCTTCTGACCATTAATGAAGATTTCTTTCAATTTAAAACGCAACTATGCCTACCAATGTGGGTAGTTTTCAGGATAGAATTTATCTGTGGTTGGGGACAGATTGCAAGGTGCAACATCGTACGATTACCATTCTATGTCGGGATTAGTTAGCCAGTTATTTGTTTTAGAAGCATGGACTTGATGGTGGGGGATGTCGTAATCGACCAGCGGTCGTGTGAACCACCCTTAGTGGGAGGAGAGCTGCAATCTCCTCGTCCCCTCGCACATAACTATCCCCGCATGGGATTGGAACCTGTGAAACTCCCAGGGGGATCAGAGATGCGGTGGCGAGCGTATTCTCAGATAGAGAATTCAATTGAATTCTGGTTATTTTTTGCATTAGCACTGGCATTAAACTTTAGTTATATATTTAAATTTTCACACTTACTAATAGATTACCTGCTAACTAGGGAAACAATACCTTATGGCAATTATTGATTAATACCTTACACGAGTCAAGTCTGCAAGTAGGCCTAAGCCTACCAATAACAGTAGTTTGTCATCTGCTTTCCATTGAAATGAGGGAGCTTATGAATATTTAAAAAAATTGATAACGGCACATCATGACTCATCATCAACGAAGTGCTGTCCGCAAACAGTGAAACACGAGTAAGATGGCTTCTGGACTTGACACCAAGCAGTCCTGTCAATAGATGATATCCACATTGCACGACGTTCCGGATCTTTTGAAAACAGTGGAATATAGCTGAAGATCCAATTCGTTGTCTATACTATACGTACAGCCAGCGGAACAATACGAAATAACCATTTTCAACAGCCAAACAAAACGGAAACGTATAATCCGACTTGCAACTGACAGGAGCCAAATGGACGTTTTTGTTTTATTGCCGTCCAGCAACAAGGTCACGTGACCCGTGCAAGTCCTCTATAGACTAGACATATGCAGATACACATAGAAAAATTGGCTGTAATGAAATAACTCTGCTGTTACTGTATTCGTTTTTTTCATTTTTAAGGGCTTATTCATCGCTGTCATTTTTTATTTTATATTCTCTTTATTAATTAATTATATTGAATAATCCACATTGTGAAACCATAAGAAGGGAATGACAGAAATAAATAAAAATTGAAATCAGAAAAATGGTTTTTATAAAACCAGGCACTTTTAGAATGCGCTTATTTGTAGTTTTTTGCGCAATTTCATTTTACTGATATTGAGGGACAACAATGTCCAGACGTCCCCTGTTTTTTCATCGACAAAATGAGATTCTCTGAAACGACACAATGTCCTTCGATTTGTAAAGAGTGCCGTACTGACTATATAAAATTGGTAGAAATGTTTCTTTATTGCGATATAGCTGTATAGAGATGCACTAACTTATTCCAGGTCTAATAAAATTGAAACCCCAATGAACTACGGAAAAAATGATAAAAAAATCCCAAGTCCTGAAATAGTGCCTGATACGAGCCTACTTATAAACTGTTTGTTTATTACACACACAAATTATGGGGATAAATAAACCTAAGATGATACCTATACTAAGTGTCACTGCTGTATTTCTGCATTCAGGCATTTGTTGCATGCTTTATTTGCCTTTTTCTTCAGTTCTCCTACAGTCCTAGGGCCCAGAAGCTTGAATTTATATCCAGATCTCAGAGAAATATAAGAATATCTTTTGTTCATGTTTATCATATTGCAGTATTGTTCAAAGCATTATCTAAAAATCTGAATTTAACCTTACCTTGGTACAATGGTATAGACAAGTTTAAATTTAGTTATTTCATGTTCCATATTATTTCTAAAGTTTGAATGTGCAAATAATCTAGAGTGGATTGATTTCGACTTGAAAATTTCAAAATGGAGAATTTGCTCAAAGCTGAGTTGAATTTTTCGTTTGTAAAAAGTACGGGACAGGGCGGAGGGGGATGCATTAGTAGTGGAAACGTCTATGATACAGATAAAGGGAAAATATTTGTGAAAGATAATACGAAGTCTGGAGCAAAACTTATGTTTGATGGAGAGTATACTGGACTGAGAGCCATTGCGGAAACAAATACTATCCGTGTTCCAAAGCCATTCAAAGTGATAAAAAGGTCACATGGTGCAATTTTAGTCATGGAATATTTAAATATGCATTCTTTGCATGGTCATGCGAAGGAACTGGGAAGAAAAATGGCCGAATTGCATCTTAGCAATGCAAAAAATGAACGACTGCAGGAACAAGAAAGTTCCTATGTAGGGAAATCATCATCAAATTTTGTGACAAAATTTGGTTTTGATACGACAACATGTTGTGGGTATTTGCCTCTGGTGAATGACTGGTGCAATAATTGGGTAAATTTTTATCTTCAAAATCGTTTGAAACCACAACTTGACATGGTGGAACAGAAATATCACGACAGTGAAGCTAGAAAACTGTGGCCAGATGTTGAACATAATTTCCCTAAGTTATTTCCGAGTTCGCTGAAAATCAAACCTGCTTTATTGCACGGTGACTTGTGGGGTGGAAATGCAGCAGAACTTGAAAACGAACCTTGTATTTTTGATCCAGGAGCATTCTATGGCCACTCTGAGTTTGATCTAGCAATTTCTCATATGTTTGGTGGTTTTCCGTCATCGTTTTTCAGTGAATATCATTCTTTGATTCCTAAAGCTGAAGGGTTTAATGAACGATTAAAAGCATATCAACTTTTTCATTATTTAAATCATTGGAATCATTTTGGTGGGGGATATCGAGAATCTTCATTGTCAATTATGAGAAATCTTGCAAAATTGTAATCTACTATGATTCTACAATGTTTTCAAAGTGATTTCTTATTTCAATTTTTTGATATGATACCAGCTTTATAAGCTAACCTTCATCTTTGAGGTATATTCATAAATCTTGATTAAATTGTTGTGCATGTTTGTTAACATTTTTGCCATGTCTTTTCTTATTTAACTTCACTGTGATTTCTGTTCAATAATGGTTTGGATAAAATGGGATGGGATTCTGTGCTACTAAAGTATGCTGAACTGTTGAGTTGAGTTGACAATTCAGTATCACTTTTTTTCCAAAATTATTCAAATGTTGATTATTTTGCCTGTGTATCATTCCATATAAATAATTGTCTAATATTGATAATTTTGAAACAGATATTTTTTCATCATTTATTTCAGAGTGCAAATCTAAAATTTATGAGATACATTTAAACATAATATTGAGTATATGAATATTGAAATCAATTGTATGGAAAAAAAATTTTTTTCATGGGAATTTATTCCGCCGAGATAAAGTTCATTATTAGTTTAATTTTATTTATTTTCGCTAAATTTTCATTCTCCACTTTCTGTGCTTACAATTTCAGAAACTAAGTAGTACTTTCAATAAATATCTACATGTCACAATGTTAATTGCTGATCCTGTGAAAGATTTTTATCGAAAGATTCTCCATGAACGAGTTCTCTTACTTGTAGCCTTGGATGTCGATGCACTCGCTGCATGTAAGATTTTACAGGCATTATTCAAATCTGATCATGTGCAATATACATTGGTACCCGTGGAGAATCAAGTCGACGTGGAGAAAGCATTCAATGACCACAAAGATCAATATAATAATGTTATAATGTTGAATTGTGGAGGAAATATCGATCTGTTGGAAATTCTAGAACCTCCAGACGAAGTTACTATTTATGTCATTGACAGTCATAGACCTGTTGATTTGGTAAATTTTTATTGTGAACGACAAGTGTATTTACTTATGAAGCACGAACATGACGAGCTTGCGGCGATTCCAGACTATGATGATCTTTATAAAGAGGAAGATTCAGATGCAGAGAAAGATTCTGGAGCTGAATCTGATGATCCTACGCAACAGAGTTCCAAGAGGAGAAGGTTCGATGAGGATGTTCTTGAAAAAAGAAGAGAGAGGCGTCACTGGGAGGAAAAAAGAAAGGAAATTTTATTTGAATACGAAGAGTTTTCTTATAATGGTACATCTGTTGCCTTGTTGATGTACGAACTCGCGTGGAAAATGTCTAAAGACAACAATGACACCTTGTGGTGGGGAATCATCGGTGTTACGGACCAATTTCAAAACAAAAAAATTGGGCGTGATAAGTATGTTTCTAGCGTTCTCGAACTTCAAGGTCATATGTCAAGGTTGAATCACAGATTTGAGGACGAAGAAAATTCAACTTCTATCAATTGTATGAAAATAAATTTCGAACATGATCTTGACGTTGCACTTTATCGCCATTGGTCATTATTCGAGAGCCTATGTCACTCACCATCAACTGCAACAGTCTTCAAAGTCTGGACAAATAACGGAATGAAACGATTGCATCAATTTCTAGCAGAAATGGGAATTCCTTTAACACAATGTAAACAAAATTATAACTTCATGGATACAAAGGTCAGAGAAAATTTACCTTCTCTAGTTGAGGAGGCTGCTCAAAAATTTGGCCTCACAAACATAAGATATCAATCATTCTCCGCACAGTTTGGATATAATCATAAAATGTGCGCCAGTGATATGGTTTATTCAGTCAGTGCAATTTTAGAAAATGATGAAACGGAAAATGAAGAAACTTGTAATAATTTCGTTGATGCTTTAGATGCATTGTCAAAAATAAACTCTGAATCGCTTATAAAAGGCATCAAGTTAGCAAAAGAGCAACTTGAAGCTATGAAAAATCATGTTAGTTCATTTATTGACATTGGACAGGTAATGAGTTACGGACCTTTCCTTTACTCTTATGTTAAAGAAGGTGGACCCGATGTGAAATACTTTAGCCATCCTATATACTTGAATTACTTCACCCACCATCTTTTGCACTCTTATCTGCGATCTCTCGGAAAAACAAAACGCGATAAGGCAAAAAATTTACCGCTTGTCATGTGCGCTCCTTTGAATGCTGAGCAGGGATTATCAATACTAATTGGTGTACCACCTCTAGCTGAAGATTCACGCAAAAATCTTTTTGGTCGAGCTTTTTTACACTCCGCTGAAAGAACAAACTCACAAACTGCTCATGATTATTTTGATCCTTGTATTATGACTTTGAAAACAGAAGATAGGAGTAAATTTTTAGATGCCCTGATTACTATTATGTCCTAGAATCACAATATTGAATTGTTCTTTCTCACATTTTTATGTTCCATAAGCTATATTGTTTCTTATATTATGTTCTGTAGGTCTGTGTTATTTGTTTTACTACCCCTATTTTTCTATGTATTCAATAGTTTTGTATTTGTATTCAATTGCCCTATTGAAATCATAAAGTCCGATTTGAATATTGGCGAAGGACAAGTATTATCAGAAAGTCTTGTTTTTATGATTTTCTGTATCCTCAATTTGAAAACCCCCAGCAGAAGCAGTCTCTGATGCATACAAAACAAATTTGCGGTTCTTAACCCACCCCCTAGTCACATGCCTTGGTGAAAATTATGCTTGAAGTTGAATTTTCTGCTCATTTCTGACTCTGATGAATGTTCACTAAGGTATGCAAACAAATATTGTTTACCAGCATTGAAATGTTTGCACTATGCTTGCTTGCGTGAGGTATTTCTATAAAAAAATTTGCCATTATCATTGGACTTATGTCAATGTGTTTTGTTCGAATATTATTTGAAATGGAAGATATTTTGAAGCAAGAACTAGACCTTTCATGGATCCACTTCACAGGAGAGACAGGCAGTGGAGAAATATGCACTGGAAAAGCTTACAACACTAATAAGGGGAAAATATTTGTAAAGCATTATGAACGAAGCACTGCAATGGCAATGTTTGAAGGTGAATGTGCTGGCTTACAAACTATTGGGGATACTAAAATTATTAAAGTTCCCAAATATAAAAAGATTGTTCAATTAGACGATGGAAGTGCATTACTGGCATTAGAGTTTCTTAATATGAAGCCGCTCGAGAAACATGCCAAATTAATGGGACAAAAACTAGCAGAGCTACATCTACTTAATGCCAAAAAAATTGCAAAAATGGAGAAAAATGAATCATACGTCAGAAAGATGGATAATACTGTTGTTGTACAAAACTTTGGATTTGATACTGTCACTTATAATGGCCATTTGAGACAGACGAATACTTGGTGTAGCGATTGGTTGTCGTTTTTCGTACAACAGAGATTGAAACCCCATATAGACGAGTTAGAAATAAAATATGGGCATTGTGAAGCTCTATCACTTTGGCCAATTGTTGAAAGAAATATTCCTAAGCTTTTTCCTAAAGGATTAAAAATCACACCATCTCTTTTACATGGTGACCTATGGTATGGAAACGCAGGAGAATTAGAAAACGAGCCCTGTGTTTTTGATCCTATCGCTTTTTATGGACATTCTGAATATGATTTATCTATGCCTCATGTTTTTGGTGGATTTTCTGAACTCTTTTTTGACGAGTATCATAGGTTTCTACCTAAAGCTCAAGATTTTGATAAGAGAGAGAAATTATATTTATTGTTGTTATATCTTAATCATTGGAATCAACTTGGTCCAGTACATGATGGACGTCAATATCGTGAAAATGCACTGAAATATATGAGATATCTTGCTAATCTGTAAATGTTTCTTGATAAAACTTTGTATGAATCCAAATCCATACTTTTCTTTTGTAATACGCATCCCAATTAAGGCAAATTTTAGCTAATGCTTCACCATTCAACATGGAATTTACTGCTTGAATATATGTTCTGAAACACGAATTGTCAGGGCTTTGAGGGTGATGGAAACTGATCCGCTTTGAAACATGATCAATCAACTGACATGTCTGTTTCAAATAGGATTGACAAGACAGCCAGCTACTGATATATATATTCGAGGCTTGAATGTTTTTTTGAAATGATCAGAAAATTTATTGTTTTTTTTATTGCTTAATCAATTTTTACACTCTAGGCATAGGGTTTGAATTCCAGAATTTCAACTATGGTGATTAATCTAGCGTAAAATGCTATCAATAGGCTACTGTGCCCACAAGTTATGGTGATAAAATAAATATTTCTGTGTCTTTACTGTCTTTAAAATTTAATTTATTCCCAGCAAATTTCAATGTGATGAAATATCAGTAATTCTGGAAGCCAATGTAGTAGTTGTTTTACAAAATTTTCTATATTTTCATGTATTTGTGTAATGCATTTATCTAATATTCAACTGTACTCTTTTGCTTAGTGACAATATACATAACAATAATATTCTTCGCAATGCCACCAACAGAAGATGAAGAAACTGCAATGGACACATCTGAGGATACTGAAAAATTTGTGAGGCCAATATGCCTACGTAAAGACTGCTCTGAGCGTTTTCGAAGAAGAAATTTGCCTTGCGAAAAACAGTATGCCAACATGTACTTTGTAAGAAGTAACCTCATGAAGAAGAGACTCGAGATTGCGGCTGAAGCTAAGTGGGGTGACGAGTATCCCGTACGGCAATTAGCAAAAGTTAAACTGAATGAAAAATGCTGTGTTATTGGAATTTTGTTCAAGCATATGGATTTACAACCAAGTATTTTGAAAGAGGTCTGTCTTGATTTTTCTCAAAGCAGCGAGTATTTGCTGATGTATAAAGCAGTGCTGCACAGTCGGAGTTTGAATTTTAGACTTACCGGTAATTATAATAGTCGCAGCCAAAATTTGCAACGACACCAAAAAGCACCAAATTGACTTGGCATTCTTAACATACAATTGGAGAAAGTTTGCATATTTCAAAGTTTTTGTGGTCAAAATTTTTTGGTTTTCTTGGAGCTGCAGTCGAAGAATTTTGTCAACCTGAAGTCCGATTGAGTATGACTCATGATTGGAGTCCGAGTTTAGTATAAAATTTCCCAGAAGTCTTGTATAAAATACAGATCGAAAATTCCCTTTTCTGGAGTATGTCGTATGTGAATATTATGTTATTAATAACAACAAATTTTATTTTCAAAAATTTACTCATTGTAATGCGTTGATCTGATGACATTCCTATAATATTGTAGGCAGTGTGAAAATTACCTCACTCAACAAAGTAATCAATGTTCTCGATTTTTTACTCGTTACAGGTAAGTGAGGAGCACAATTTACAAATCCAACCTACTCGAGAAAAATTTGTCTCAGAAAATGATAGTTTAATTCTCGAAGACACTTTGCAAAGAATATCGCTCAGTGGAAACATAGATCCACAAACATCATACACTGGAACAGTCGTGGCATTAGCAGGAATCGAAGATAAAGCAGGACAGTTTCGTGTTGATGATTTTACCTTCGCTGGAATTGGGAAACAAGAACCACCACCAAAGTTAGATGAAGATAGGTATGCTAGATTTGAATAGTTTGGAGTTACTTCGAATTGTGTTGCACATTGAAGGTTCCTTGTCTCATTACTGAATCTTTCGTTCTTTTTGAGCACAGCCACAGAGGAACAAAAAATATTAAAGTAGTGAGATATAAGGGAATTCGATTTTATTTTTGGAATTATTAAGAGTGCTCACTGACACATTTTTCACCTGTCCTTGTTGTCACAATTGGTTCAGCCTAAAAAAACTAAGCGTTAGAAGATAAATTAATCACAATAAATATATTAAACTTATTTGACCAATTGCAAAATCGATGCATATTCGAAACATCCCACTAACTGGTTTCTATTGAATAGTTGTATCCCGTAAACTTCATTGTTGTTTTCTACATTTACCCAGGTTTGTTTTACTACTCTCTGGTCTGGGACTTGGAGCTAAGAATGAAAAACTACTTTCAATACAATTAATGATTGATTATATTATTGGTTTACTTGGAGAACCATCAGATCAGAAATCAAGTTCATCCATTGTTCATGTCATTATTGCAGGTTAGTTCTCACAATGTAAAAGCTAGGGTCTTCCTGGATTATGCTATTCTTTCGCGTCATTCCAGGCAATTCACTCAGTGTTGAGACACAGGATAAAGACTCTCAAAAACGTGCAAAGTATTTAACAATTAAAGAGGAAGCGCAGAGTGTTGCTGCAATGCAAACATTGGATGATTTTCTTGTACAACTCTTACCTCAGATCAGTGTGGATGTCATGAGCGGTGGGTCTTTTTGTTGTCCATCAGATTAAATCGAGTTTTAAAAATAACGCTTTCAAATCTGGAATTTGCAACCTATTCTTAGATTCTATGAGTAGGGACTTCTCTTTAGAAATCAATATGGCTCCGAGAAGTCATTACTCATAGAATCTAAAAATAGGTTACATATTCCAGATTTGAAAGTATTTGATTAGAACCTGTAAATTGATGTCGTTTTGCACAATATATGGCTCCAATTCTCATCTCCTCCAATACTTTTACATTTTGTTGACATCTTTACTCGTGACAGTGGATTCGCTGATACATAAGAAGCTATTATTTTTGTATTATTACTCCCAGGGTGAGCTGGTGGGCAAGAGATTTGGACATGATTAATCAAAATTACGATACAGTCAGATTAAACCTTCTAACCACCGTGCCATTGCACCAAACATATTTCTGCTTTCATGTGAATCGGTACAAATTTTGTTTACCTATTTTACATCAAGTTGTGTAAAGGGACTGAAACCTGTGCGCAGGACGTATATTCACTTGACTAACACAGACGGTCCTCGAACTATAATAAGGAAAATCGTAATTAAAGTATGACCTAACCTAACCCGGTACACATACTACTGGAGTACAGAATTTTTTTCATCATAATCATGTTATAGTTTCGCATTTTTTTCATACACACATTTTTACTATGATGTACATACTTTTCAGGTGAATATGATCCGACAAACTTTATGTTACCACAGCAACCATTACATAGTTGCATGTTTCCAAAATCAGGATCTTATAGAACAAGCACATTTAAGACTGTCACTAACCCTTATGAGTGTGAGATCGAAGGAGTAAAAATTCTTGGTACATCAGGACAAAACATCAAAAACCTTCAGCAATTTGGAAATGAAAATGACTCAATGAAACTACTGGAACAGACACTATCCAGTGCACATCTTGCACCAACTGCACCTGATTCACTGGGTTGTTTTCCTTATTATGAAAACGACCCCTTTATCATCCCAGAAGACAATTTTCCACATGTTTATTTCGCAGGGAATCAAGAGACTTACGGTGCAAAAACCATCACTGGTAACGATGGTCAGTCAGTTTTGGCGATAAGTGTGCCGAGCTTTGATAAAACTGAGACAGCAGTTTTACTGAATTTACGTACTTTGACTTGCGAACCAATAACGTTTGGAGATTTTTGGGATTCTTCAGAGCCTGAAAAATGATGTGTGGTCAAACATTTTATCCCTTAATGATGAGCTATTTCCCAAATTTAGCGGTCATTCAAGATACTCATTTGTGCAAAGAATCTCAATAAAAACACATTGACTGTTAATTAATCAGAAAAAAATCTGTTGATGTCAAAGACACAGTATGGAACAAAATTTCCTCACATTAATATGAAGTTAGGCTTGTTTCATTACGACTCTGAATGCCTCAAACTAGTTTGCAGTATTTGGTGAAGGTACATACCTAGAATGACAGGTTGTGATGAAAAGTAATTGTAAACTGATTGAATATTCTCAGAATTCCAGTCCCAGCTGTTACACACTTCTATTCACATTATAGAATCTAGATCAGGTTGTTATCAATATCGTCACTAGTTAACATTTATTTATAAATATACCACATGCTTACTACATTCACTGCCAATACATTTTGAAGACTTATGATCTATAGAAGTTTTAGTGAGGCAATTGAATTGGGGCCCTCGAATAACGACCTGCTTTGCCAACTACCACAAATGACTGGACTAGGGTCATATGATATGAAATCTGGTTTACCAATGTGCTTTTCACTTCTAGCTTGTCTGAGAGATATTTGGAAACTAGCCTTCTACGTGAAGAAAAATAGCAAGGTGCGCATTTATCAGGTATTCTATTTCAAGTAACACACCTTCTACCATTTACCTTTACCATTGTCTAACTTATGAATAATGATACAACTGTCTGATATTCAAGATTTTAATGGTAAGCAATGGCGATAAGTAACAAGATTGCAAGTACAGCATTTAGCTGTGAATTGTGGGCTATGAAGACCACGATTGCTCAATTTTAATGATTATATTTATTGAAATTGTTTTAAAGCCACATGCTATAGAACAGATGAGGAATAACTGTCCCTAATGGCGCCGATTCACAGTTGCTCAGTCTAAGACCTAATCTGTTCATCTCGAAAAAGAGATTCGTGATAGTACTGTTTAAAGCCATCTGCAGCGATGGGATTCAAAAGCGGGTTATCTTTTGTATCAAACTCACCACAATAAGGTTCAGAAAATTTGTGTCTCGCTATGTAAACTGCATTAACAGAACATACTTTAAAAAACTAATGCATAACTCTGGATGCCAAATTTCACACTAGTTGTCAGATGCGATGTGCATAAATCATTTGCTGTGGTTGTCTAAAACAAGACGGCGAACCACCTGGATCTCACCAGTTTTAAAAAGTGAAAAATAGTGGGTAGTTGGTTAATTGGCACATTATATTAACCTCAGAACCAGCTACTACTTCATACTACAGAGGTCCGAGGTCATGTTCATAGAAAATTTTGCACAAGATAAATTGAAAGAAGTGTTTATTTCATTTGAATCACTAATGAAAAAGTAAACATACAATATAGCTGAATAATAGCAAGAAACAAAATTTGATGCTCATACAAACGATGGCATAAGTTTATAAACGACTGCGGTCAAAATATATTGCATAAACTGTATATAACAAGACATTTGATTTTCAAGTTAGTGAAAACAATTACTATGAGCGTTTTTTTTGCACATGAGTGTCTAGGTTAACAACCTAAATTAAATTTAGAAATTTGCGATCATGATACACTATTGAAGAAATTTTGGTTTTTAGACTAAAGGTCTAAAGCAGGGCTGTGCAAAGTGCGGCCCGCGGGCCAAATGCAGCCTGCAAAGGAAAATTGTGCGGCCCGCGGAGGCAACTGGAGAGCAGTTTAAAAAAAATTATTATTAAAAGATACAAAAGCTAACAATTTAGGCGTTTTAACTTATCATTTCTGCAAGGACTCCTAATGATGACATGAGATCAATAACAAAAAGACATCATTTTGTGCCTGCAACTAATAGAAAGCTGTATTTGAAGGCTGTGTTGAATGTAGGTGCGGCCCGCGGTTTCACCCGGTTATTGATATTTGGCCCGCCTGCGAAAAAGGTTGCACACCCCTGGTCTAAAGGATGATCAGTCATCCACACTTGTGGTAGATATCAAAGCACCAGTCATGTCTACCGTAGCATTATACACAGTCAAATCTTCAGCACCCTGGAAATGAAAAGAATTTAGTATGAATCCTGACAAATGGAGAATTATTTCATAGAGCCAGACAGCAGTTTTATGTTATTTTCATGACATAATCAACTTTCATGAGATCAGAGCATGCGGATCTTCACATAACTAGCTGGTTTGCAGTCATGTCAAGAGTCATGTGTAGATATATTATAGCTTATAATCGAAAAGTAGAATTCAGTCTTTCAACAGCACTCAATCTTACCTAGTGGTGGGATTCAAAATTTTGGAAAAAGCTGTAGTTTTGTATCGAGCTCACTAATAAAACAGGTCGGATCATTCCATGAAATGAATGTGTGCCACTACATAAGCTGCATTACCATGACACACTTTTCGTAAATTTTATATTTTAACTTTTGAAATGCCAAATATAACTTGTGTTGTCAGCTGTGTGTGCGTAAACCATTTGTTGCATTCATACAACATTTGAAACAAAAAACAAGCACGGGTTTGATGTAAACTCCCTGTATCCTACCACTGCTCCCTTTTATTGCAGTCCTAATGAAAGAATATTTGCATACGAAATGGTTTCTATTTGCTATTTTCACTACTATAATATTTCAGTTCCGATTGAGTTGAGAAAATGTGGACTTCGACAAACTTTGCAAAAAATAAGCAGCCCTCACCTTTATATGTTTTACTAGATCATATATGAACTCTTTAGTCTGTGGTTCCTTCAATAAAACACACAGAAAACCTCCACCTCCTGCGCCAGCGAGCGTTTGTCCTAAGGAATAAGGTTGCAGGACTTTCATTATCTCTGTACAAGATGCTGGTTCACAACCTGGCGCCATTATTTTCTTTTGCTTCCAGTATTCATTAATGCATTCACCCACTGCTCCAATGTCACCTATAAAAAAAATAATAGAATTTACATATTTATCCAGAGGTGAGGAAAGCCAATAAGGAGACGACTTGATCATATAGTAAACCATTTCCGTCCAAAGCCGTAGCTGACCAGTGGTTACGTGACCAACCTATGGCGACGGTGAATCCAGCAATCCTCACCAAATAATTATCCCCAAAGATTAGAACCTGCGAACCCATGCAGGGTAATCAGAGGTGGAGAGTGTATTCATACCATGAACAGTGAGAGAAATGAAAAGCATCATTATATAAGGATACATGTCCAACAGTTACAATATGTGTCCAAACCTGCACGGTGCAATGTTGCTAGATAATTTTGTGTATATGGCTAAATAGCAACCCACTTTCTCCTAAATTCTTCTCTTTTTTTTTAAATTCCCCCGGCTCGCATTTAATAAGTAAACTAACACAAAATAATTGAATCCCTCAATGTTGACAAAAAAGTCACGTTATGGTCATTTATGTGTATAAAAGTAAGCTTCCACATCGATTTGATTAAATGTGCATGCTATATGAAAAATTTCTATGTCATAAACGGTGTTAAAGTGAAGTGTGATTGACTAGACTTTCGTTAAGTTAACGTATTTAAAATTCTGCGTACAACTGTTTTTAGTTAACAAAAGATGATAACTAGGAAAATCAAAATCAACAATATGTGTCAATATATAAGTTGCAATCAAAAATCAACTAAAAACTAGTAAAGAAGCAATTTAAAATTTTTTTGAAAGTTTGTAATATTAATTTGAAGACAAATTTCTGAATAGTATTTTTATTACCTTTTAAAAATGATTCCTCACAATTAAGAGCATTGTTGACAAGATTTTTACAATTCTTGATAATTTTTGGAGTTTTAGTATACCAGTTCCGTAGGACATCCTGAAATAACAATTTGTTGCTTAAGATATTAAAAAAAAAATTAATCAATTATTTCTTATTTACAACAATCATACCAAAACTTCCTATTAATTTAATCAAAATAAGGATACATAAGTCAGACCTTAAAATTTCGCTGTTATGAAGAATATAATCCTGATATTTATCAATTTTAAAAAATCAAGTTTTGTATATGCGTCATTCTATACCACAATGTAGGTAAATGTAGAACAGTCATGTAGAAATGCCAAGTTATACAATGAATTTAATTTTTATCTGAAGTGCTGAAGTTGAATATTTTGCTTGTATAGCTTGAAAATTACTCTCACATTTCTCCCCCTGTACTTGATGAAGTTCTAATATTCATAAGTTCCTTATTGTTATTACAATACCTATTTATGCATACACCATACCTCTCCAAATGTTGAAGTGTGACTTTCTCATAATACTATGTCATGCATTTCAGACAGGCCTAATTTCCAAAACCATTCATACTATTACACCCAATACCTGCAACATGTTTCTAGCAAGTCTTGTTTTTCCAGTATATATCAGTTTTAGTCTTTCTTCAAATTTCCCAAGGAAATCTTTACTGACCGCTGAGAAAGTAATTAGTTGTAGTCAATAACTAGTATCCTTGACAAAAACTTTGGGTATAAATATCGCAAGCAAGTACTGTACAGAGTCATGTTGACTGACTTGATGGCCAGGGGGGTTAATCATCTATTATACATAATGCATTTCAAATAATATTTTTAAACAAGAAATGTGTCATGAATCAGACATGCTCAAAAGTTGATCACAGTGCAGATAAGTGAATGTATATTTTTTATTTCGAATATTTTCACATCTTTGCATCGAGTCGGGAATTGGACGAAGTATACTATTTTTCTCCAATCAGATGTTAAATGTTCAACTATATTAGACAAACCAACTTTTATTGTATTCGAATAGCTGTTTCATTTTGGACTATCTGTGATACTATTTTGTAGTAATAGTTCAATACAATTGGATCACAATTCCTACTACATAACTGGGCCAGATTTTAACAAGTTAAAAAAAATTGTTTTTCAAAAAAACAGAAATACACAAGACAAAATGAGTTTAACAGGTCTATTTTCTTTCACATGTTACAACAATTAATCATCGGATGCCAAAGTTTAGATTGTTCAAAATGTTCTTTATTTTTAGGAGCAACAACCAAGTCCATCTACCATATCACCCCAACTGATGAACATCAGAATAGCCCTACCCTGATAATGGAAGAAGTCGAGTAAAGTTGCGAACCACTAACTGTCACGCTTCGTTAGAAAATTGCAGGCTTTTAGAGATAGGGTAAAGTAAACTGAAAACCTATCTCACCAATTGGTTTCATTCCTATTTTCAGAGGAAGTTCATTCTTTGAAAAACATCGCTTGATACCACCTACCATTCCTAAAAATATGAAGTAATGAAACGATTTATCAATTCGGAGATTTTACAATCAAATTACAGTAGATTGCAGACAATCATAATCCTTTGAGCGCTGCCCCTGACTACAACGATATATCAGTAATCAAACATAATTTGTTTGAGATAGGTGTTTGACTACCAATTCGCTACAGTACCACAACTTTTTCGCCATAAGAAACAATGGTAAATATTTTCTTCACTTCTTCTATTTATTACGGTACTCGTTTTTTAGAAGCATGATCAACGGCAAGAAAGGCACTAAATTACAACAATTTCTCAACACATAATATCCAGGTAACATTCTGACCCAAATTGATGCCTGTTGAATTGTCGAGAGGCAGCCAAGACGTGCGGTTTTTGGTCGACTACCGAGATATCTATGTATGTTCCTTTCACAGGGTAAACATCTTGGATTCGAACCTTTTCACCCACTATCTCATCCCTCATGTAGTGAATTGGATAGGAGGCTCAGTGGTTCTCAACCTTTTTTCTTTCGAAGCCCATTTTTGTTGCACAAAAAATTGTACTTCGGCCCATTTACTTTCTCATGCAAGGGGAGAAATACAGGAAAAACAAGAAATTGTTTTTACAAAGATAGTCACTTTGAGTAATTAAAATGAGAATTACCACCCAGAGCCAAAAAGCAGCAGAATCATTTATTTCAATAAAAGTTTGACTAATTTATCAATAACTCTGGCAATGTTTCTGTAGCCAGAAGTGGGCCATGATCTAACGGCTGAGAACCAGTTGTATAGGCAGAGCCTAGTTTCCAGTCCTTTTAAAAATAGTCGTTCATATTATAACAGTTGCTTGTACATAGCCTTGTTTAAAGCGAAAACACTTCATAAAAAAATCGAAAGAAATTACAACAAATACCTCCGACTTGATCCTGCCAACCTCCACCTGTTGTCATCAATTGTTCAACCATCAATACTGCATGCATGACACAATCTAAATCAGCAACATGGCCTCCAGAATAAAGCAAAACCGTGATAATTGCACCTGTCAGGTAAGAAATAATAACTACCGGTACTTATGCTGTGAAGTCCGAGGGAAATTTATTATCCCCTGGTTGATTAACATTCAAAGTTGAATTGTCACCCAAATCCAGTTTTAAGAAATATTAGAATCCAGCTTCATGAAAACTGAATTTTGATAGCAAATATTTGGCATATGCAAACCTTCTTCGTCTGTTGAAATCAATTATCGTATGTAAATCAAATTTCACTTTAATTACACCATTAGAGATCTGAAATTCTAACTCTGACAAATTCAATTTCTGAGTTTGGCTAACTAGAATTAGAACTCGAAAGGAAATTTAAGATTGATCCATTAGTTGGGCAAAAAAGTTCTTTTTTCCTAACAACAACAAGATTTTAACAAACTTTCCATAGATCCATTTTGTGTCAAATTATACAATCGAATTTGAAACCAACAATGATAAAATCAAGACAGTAAATTTTCATATTTGTAAAATTGATTGAATAATCTTTCTGCACAATCTACCTGCAAGAATACTACTTGTTCCGAGTCCGGATCCTCGAGGTAAGTCTGACCAGGTTTGAATTTCTAGTCCTCCGCCATATCTGTATACATAGAAAAAAATGAGAAAATATTTTATATTTTCAAGTTAATTAACTTCCTTCCATGACCGATTGTTCAATGGACAGTATTTTATTTTGGTGTAGACGGAAGTCGATAAGGTGGCTGAATCTTATGGTACACTATAATCCTTTATCTAGTCACCATTCCATATCAGGTATGGGAATACTAAAGGAATTATTCATTTCAGATGCAAGGATCTGATGGTTGACTATCATGCTGGTTCCAGAGAGAAACAACTAGATTTTGGATTAAAATATTTTTTAAGCATTAATCATTGGGTGACATTACTTAGGATTCTCATTAAAACTTTCATCTATAGGTTCACTAAGAAGTCACTATAATTTTATAGGAAAAATGAAAATCATCAAAAATAAATGAATTCGAAATTCCCAACCTTTCCAGTAATTGTTCTTCCAGTGATAACTTGGAATCCAATGAAACAATTCCAGCAAATACGAAACAGGCTTTTAATAATGCATCTGGAATAATAATATTCATTTTGGAATATCTTTCGTGTTGTGATTATCTCGTGAAATTGTCTCGCGCAGCTTGAATAAGTTGGCGTAATCAATAGTAAACAAACTGCTTTACAATTCCAAAGCGACTTATATTATCAGCTGCTCGTCGTTCGGCCATAGCGCAATGTATTTATTTATCATTTGACAATGCAGTAAACATACTGCTTTACTATTCGAAAGAGACTTATATTATCAGCCGCTGGTCGATCGTCATTAGTAATGAAATAGCGCAATGTATTCAATTAGCATTTGACGATGCCCGCGAATATTTATTTTTGACTTACTATACAGCTCTCAGCACTCGTGAACTTATTCCTGACATTAGCTTATTATCTGAAAAGCGACCTAAATTTTATGTCGTTCGTTCGTCCCCATATCTTTTGAATTCTATCATCAATCACAACTGTTTTGAGTAAATTACGAATTACGTTTATGGATAGAAAACTATTGCCATCTCGCTGAAATTACTTTCTTTTAAGTAATAATGTATTCTTTGTATGTTTCTTAGCTTTCAAATACTTACAGACACAAAACTTGTAGAATTTAAAATATGCCAAAGAAAAATGACACGCTACCGCAATTACAAACACTCGGACAAGCATATATCAAGCTTGAAAACGATGCAAAAGTGTCTTCTTGATTTTTGTTTTGACATACGTCCACGATAAAACGTATACGTATCGGATATTAACTCTTACTAACTAGTCATAGTAGAGCCATATTGTTATAGGCGCTTACCTGCTCTCCCGGCAAAATTGGGTACAATATACATAAAATAATATAGACTTTGCCAGGGTTCGAATTGCCTGGCCCACGTGCTGTGTTATTCAGAGTGGAAAAATACGAATTTGCAGGGTGACATTAAATGGTGCAATAAAAGGTTACGCTTGTCTCCAAAAAAATTGACATACCCTGGGCTTGTGGTCGGCAGTAATCTCGGAACTTTTCAATATCATAACAAGGGTTAGAGAAAGACACTTTATCTTTTTTTATTACTGTTGTCATCGAAATCATTGGCTCTTTGATAACTTTTACTCGTGCACCAACTGGACGTTCATTTTCTAATAAAAAAAAATAAAAAAAACAGAAATCAATAGATTTTCATTTAATGGTAAAAGACATGACACTGTGGAAGAGGGCAGAAAATGAAGCCATGATTTGATGAGAACCTTTTTATTCCAAATAGCCCAATTCTGGTACTTGAAATTTAAATTACAGTTCAAACTGTAACAACATAAACAAGAAAGTAAGCTCAAATAAACGCTATATAAAAGTTGGCTAGCAATGAAAATGAAACAGCAAAATTTTGTGTAAAATATTCAGTCCCATATGGCTTGAAGAAAATTGAAATTGAAAAATAAAAGGAAAATCATTCCGGAGGCGTCAACCCTATTTGACTGTAATTTCCATTCGATTGGCTTATCAGTTTAAAAAAAAGCAACCCAGACAGACAGACAACCACAATACCAGATTGGATTTAGGGAAAGAGTGATTGCTATTAAACCATAGTGAGTACATACATATCTTCCAAGAATGTATATTACTTACTTTCAAGTGTAATTACTATAACAAGAATGTATCTGGTGAAAAAATATTCATTTCAACTTACCAAGCAATAGAGCAACGTTTACGACAGACCCACCATTTTCATAACATATTGGAGGCGTATCTGACCAACCACCAGAGAGATCTATTCTTGTAGGACATTCACAAGACAACCATAAACCCTTCTTAAGCACATTCCCTGGTAGAGTCCTAAAAAAGAATACAATACTTTTTATTCCGTCAATGGATAATAGTGGTGAAAGGAAAAAAAATTGATGACAAATTAAACATTTAAAAATGAGGAACGCATTCTCCCAAGCATCAAACAATTATTTATTTCCACAACAGTGTCCAATCAGCAATGAGCTGACATCCAAGAAACATTTGAAATTTTGTGGTCGCTCGGAAACTTTTATCACCCAGACAGATCTTCGAGCATGAATGGGAGTATTTTCTTGTTTTCATGGATTTGCTTTGCGGTTTGTCAGTTTTTAGATATGCTGTGAAAATTTAGCTATAAATCTCAGCTCAGCTATAACTCCTATTCCAAGGAGTTTTAGAATTGTTGCAGCAACTGAAAATTTGTCCCACAAAAATTGCGATAGATTAGGCTAAAATTAGCTATCAGTACTTTTGAATGCCAAGAGGTTAAATATTTTGAATCTCAATGATGCTGCGATGAAATAACATCGAAAGTTTTGTGTAAAGAACAGGAAGAATTATCCTTTTTGATCAAAAAACTTTCAAAAATCTTTGCTTTTATATATCAAAGAGCAATAAGAGTGGTTACATTAAGTCCGATAAATGAATATTCAATACCTTATAAACTTAACTACAGTTGTGCAGGCATGCTTGATAAAAATATGTTCTGCTCTTTCATAATGTCTTGCAGCCCGTATTAATAAATCTGGATTATGTAGCCAGTGAGATCTGATCTCTGCCAATGCAAGGATGCCATCTGAAACAAATAAAATTAGGTGATTAGACTAACACAAATATATATCTTTGAGGTTTTGTCTGGCCAAAGTTAACTAACAAATAAAGAAGTTTGTCTGAGAAAGCCTGATTTTGAACAGCCAAAAATCACAAATGTATATTTGTGTTAGCGTGTAGCAAGAATCTTGAATCCTTGTAAAACGGTCGATTTCAATCTTGAATCCATACACACAATGACACCAGTTTCAATAAAACATTATTGGTGGGATAAAATTTGGGAATGCGGATATTTCAACCAACATAGATATAATTTAAATCATAATTTCAAACTACATCTTACTAGGTTCACACTGAATTTACAGATATTTGAATTCCTAAACTTCAATTTCAGTTGAGCCCCGGAAAAATTAAGTAGTACGTCATAAAGAAATGATTTACTAAACCCAATTGTAATAAGTTGATTATTTTGACATCATAATTAGCGTAAAACGCCATACATGAATGCTGAAAACAGGTATTAAAGCATGAAAGCAAACAAAATCTAAAATAAATTTTTGTCAAAATTATAAAAGTGATGTGCTTGCGAACCCATGAAAGAAATATTGACTGCAAAAATTCTGTGTGATATAATCCATCGTGCACCTTAGGAACAATAAATGTGATTCTGCTCAAGCACATAAATTCTAAATCAGTATTGTAAAATACCTTTCAATTGATTTTTCTCCAGTAATAGTAAAGCTTTCTTCCAATCCTTGTTTGCAGCAGGCCCACTTCGTAGTCCAGCATGTTCACCAGCCATTAAAGCGAGAACCTCGGCAATGCATGAAAACACTCGAGCACAAAGATGTGGTTTTTCAAGAGAAACACACTCCAGAGCAGCTGAAATAGAGTCATTTTATTCTAACAATATAATACCGAATAATGAATACAATGCCTTATTAGCATGATTGTTTAAAAAAAAGAGGTTGAAAATCTAAATTACAAAAATCAAAAACTTGCCGATCACATCACTTTGTGAGCCGATCAAAACACATCTTTAGCCAATCAGATCACTTTTTGAGCCGATCAAATCACATTTTTAGCCAATCAAATCACTTTTTGAGTCGATCAAATCACTTTTTGAGTCGATCAAATCACTTTTTTAGTCGATCAAATCACTTTTTTAACCCGATCAAATCACATTTTGAGCCAATCGAATCACTTTTTAAGCCGATCAAATCACATTTTGAGCCGATCAAATCACTTTTTGAGTCGATCAAAACACATCTTTAGCCAATCAGATCACTTTTTGAGCCGATCAAATCACATTTTTAGCCAATCAAATCACTTTTTGAGTCGATCAAATCACTTTTTTAGTCGATCAAATCACTTTTTTAACCCGATCAAATCACATTTTGAGCCGATCGAATCACTTTTTAAGCCGATCAAATCACATTTTGAGCCGATCAAATCACTTTTTGAGTCGATCAAATCACATATAAGCCAATTAAATCACATTTTTATCCAATCAAATCACTTTTTAAGCTGATTAAAATCAATTTTAAGCTGATCCAATTACATTTTTAGCTGATCAAATCACAACTGATATGTGATAGGCTACATCTAAATGATGGGATGTTCAAATTTTCCCATTGGCCACCCGAATCTATCAATTTAATTTTAATTTAAATGTCCTGTTTGTTTACTATAAGTCAAAATCAGTATTCATAAAACAATAAAAATATCTTTACCTTCATCTAAGACTGCCAATAACATTTGATGCATCCCAGAATTGACTCCAAGTACATAAAGTGAATGGATATGTGTTTCTTTATTGTGTATTAAATTTTGTTTCAACTTTGCACAAGATACCTGAACAAAATATTGAAACACAATTATGGTTGAGAATTTAAAAATTTCAACAGTCATGAGTTGAGTCAACAGTAGAGTCATGCGCACTTACTCAGTGGTAATAGATTGCTGATTATGAAAATTTGACAATGATAACTACAGAATCAGTTTTCGGTCGAAATATATTGTTCACGATTTTATTGCAAAATCGTACATTCAATGTCACCAACAAGTGCGCGGTTGACGATGTATTTCTTTATGATATCTCAAAGTGGAATTTCACATCGAACACTGAAAATTTGTCACATAAATGAAAATTAATAACGAAATCGGGTTTTACTAAAATGCTTCCATACATCCGAACCACGCTGCATATCTCTTGCAGCAGAGTGATCATGAAACTATCTCGATTCGTGAATAATTTTAAGCGATGCCGGGATAAGATCTCATAAAATTGCTTTGTAACCGTTGTGACGCAACAAGCTAAATTTATAGATTATTATGTAAAACAACACGCTGCAGTTAACTGGTTACCAGGTTAATTTTAACCGGTTAACGATTAAAAGGAGACGAATAGGGCAACTCTGGAACATGAAATTTTTGCGACAACAGGAATATCATGGTGCATTAGGTGCCAGTACATACCGTTTGACTTGAGACAAGACTCGAGAGAAAAAACCAATAACTGGGATTTTCGAAATAAAAATCTAGGCACAAAAAGTAAATTAGTCATCTTGAATACCCCATTTTTGTGTGAACTCTATGGAATCCCTGACTAAAGATTTTTCAATAAATACTCAATTCAAAAAAGGTTTTGATCAACCGTAACCAAAAATCACTATTATAAGCTATTTTCCATAGCTCCTACATACCTTCACTGACAACTCTCTTCTATAAGTAAACTCAGCATTGTGATCAGTTTGCTCCAACAAATCATAAATTGAAAACCTCCAAGACGATTTCCATTTCTGATACTGCTTCACTAGAAAAAAACAAAGATACAATCTCCAGGAAGCAAAAATTTGAATTCCTAATTCCCAAGATTTATATAGTGTGGTCCTACAACTAGCAGTTCTAAATTTGCACCACATAGCTTGGCTGGCATAGCTGTGGTATCGAAGCCGTTTTTTCAATCTCTCCGATGGCAGGGTGAAAATTTTGAATTCCGTGGTGTTGGAACTGAAGCTGCTCAATGACGATGAAATAATAAAAAAATTTGCTTCGGCTTGGGACCAACGTTGTCATGCATAATCCTACGCGCACAAACGGTGTTCCATGGGTTTCTAACTCATTACTGATTTTCTTGAGCAATATTCAATAAATTTAATATGCAAATGCTCTATAAATTCTCCATGATACAAGTTCAACTAGAAGTCATATATATATTCAAAATAATGATAAGAGAATATAGAATTGAATACGAAAATTCGAGAAGGTAAGCAGTGTAGAATGTGTAGAAGGTAATTGAATTGGAGAATGCGGCTTAAATGCTCAGTTGTCCGGACACTCGGGCGATACCGATACCGTCTGATCGTACCCGGTACCCAGCATACAGTCACTCATGAAACGAGTGGGAGATACGGATAGTCTAGTAGAATATGGTGAATCGAGGGATAGATTGAAATAAATGGTTGAGCCCGTGCGATTTATCTTTCGTCTGGATCGGTACATAACGGCTATCAGGTCTAACCATAATCGCCTTCCAGCCTCAGGGTTGTACGATCAGACAGTAGTAGCTAGAGCCGACGGACCAGTCTGACTAGGCTGCTTTATGCACACAGTCCTTTTCTAATAATTCAAGTCTGTGCTAGTTGAGCAGCATTCTCCAATTCAATTACTTTCTACACGTAAAAACAAATTTCCTGAATTTTCGTACTCAATTCTGCATTCTCTTATCATCAATATAAATATATTACTTCTAATTGTTATAAGTTATTTACTTCGCCGTTTGTGTGCGTAGGATTATGCATAACCACGTTGGTCCCAAGCAGAATCAAATTTTCTCAAAATGAAAACGCGTGACAACGATGGGCCACGAGGCGGCCCATCGTTGTCAACCTTTTTATTTTCTTTTTATTCACGTTTTTTTTTTTTTTCAATTTTTTATTTTCGTTTTTATTTTTTAATTTTTTTTTAAATTTTTTTTTTAAATTTTACGCGTGACAACGATGGGCCACCATACTCATCCTTCCAAAAAATAGACTCACATTTGACAGATTCTCTCAGAAGACAAAGTGTATCTTGGATATCTATGGTATCTCTAGCATGAAGTACAGGAAACAACTTGGCAGTGAAAAATGTCTTGTGATTCAGTCTAAAAATGTTTTATTGATGTTTCATCAGCATTGTGAGCAAATTCATTTAGTTCCTAGTGCTAATTACCAGTATGTATTTATTGTTTATCAGTGGGCTCGACAGTATGACATACTTTACTAAGTGTTAGGAACAAGCTTGCCATTGCACCCCTGATTACCCTGTATAATTCGCAGGACCTGTGATGGGATAAATATGTGCGCGAGGAGTCAAAAGATAAGTGTATAATGAACATGGGAAAAAGTCTGAATTGGGGGAAAAGTTCCAGGAACCTATGCTGTGAAGTCTATTCCATTTGTTTACATTATAACTCTACAATTATCTCATATATCAAAACTAGCTCTCATCATATTCTACAATCTACAGCAGGGGTAGGGAAACTATGGCCGATGGGCTGGATCGGCCTACCGAAGTGTTTGGTCTACGATAATACTGTCATAATGATCCCGATTGTTACGTTGTGCTTCTTCTTATTATATGAGTCTATAGCCTATAGCTGTTGTAAATAAACTGTTCTTAATTCTTAGTTTTTCATTTTAAGTTTTGAGCCTCCGGCCCAGTCTATGTTCTATAACTGGCCAACTCAAAAAAGTGATTGCAATATTTAATAAATCAAGTCTAAGTTTACCTTTCATCTTGAGGAAGGAGATTGAGATAGCTGAAATAATGTCAAAAGAAAATTGTTGAAAGTTAAAAAAAGAAAAACTTTGAAAACAATTTTGAAATTTCAGTTGGAATATTTAATTTGATTGATTTTGAAATACATGATTTTCAAAATTAAAAAATGTTTGCATTTTTAAATGTCAGTTTTTTCAAAATTTGATTAGCGATATATCATTTACATGTGTTTATAACAGACACAAGCAAACTTATTTATCAATGTGTAGTTATAAATAATAATCTATCAGAGTTCTCATTTACCCTTTGCAAATTTTCAATGAAAACTTTACCAACTATACCGTACAGACAGTCAATTACAGTCTGTAAATAAATTATGAAAAAGGACACAAGGCTGGACAGTATTTTCGCAATGAGATCACAATAAAATATATTATTCAACTGAGGAAATTAGAATAAAATGTTTCAATTACAATGAAGTGATCAAAAAAGAACTATTTCAGTTCCTACCTTGGGGGTAGTGGAGTTGCTTCTCCAATCAAAGTTCTCAAAATATCATCACGTAAAACAAATTTATCTTTCTTTTCTGAGACAGAGGATTCATTCATTATTGAGTTTATATCGTCAGAAATCTAATAAAATAATTAAAATTGATTCAATTTTCTGAAATGTGCTATATATTGGCTCAGAACAAGGATTACAACAGCTTCAGCTACCATTCAAATGTAGTTAGTACGGATGATCTTCCATGTTCATTCCAGCAAACCCAAACCATCAGTACCTCATATATAGAGCCTTGTTCAGAGCAAAGTGGTGAAACAAAACAAAGATAGGATTGATATTGTATCTGTAATGAGAGTGAAAGACATGTTTGTGGTGCAAGCCATGGATTGGTCTCTACAAGATTAGTAAGAATTCTGTACATGTTTCAAAAGTTGCCTTACACTGATTTTATTGCAGTTCCAAACACAGCAGAATATCTTTCGTGCTCCAGAACCAGCAATCTTCATATTGAACCCTAGTTACCAATAAATAAATAAAGCTGATAAATTGCAATTGTGATTTTATGTATTGGCAGAATAATTATGTTGTAATTACAGCTCTCCATCTACTTGAAATTAGAATGTTTACTAACAAGTGAAATGTATGACAGAGCTAATAATTTTGAATTTTTTGTCACTCTGAATAAGGCTACGTATGGGCAGTTACTCAGAAAAGACTTTGTCGATTTGACACGACCAAATCAGTAAAGTTGAAAAATTTGTGCTCTATACCCAATATTAATGACTTGCAGCACACAAATAAACCAGTATACTCAAATAACAAAATACTTGCAGGAGTTTTAGAGTAATAACTGTTTATATAAGAGTAAATCTAATCTAGGCATTTGTACAAACAAGTAATTCGTGCAATATGAAAATTCTTAGCATATAACATCATCTCACCCATAACAAAGCTATTATCTGGTATTTTATCAACAAGTTCACATGATTCTCCATCAAGTCCAATGATGACACAATTTCTTCCAATTTTTACTGAGCTCTGTAGCAAAAAGAAATAAACATAAAAAGTTATTAAATCGATATTTTTAAAAAGCATTTTACAAAAATCACTCTGAATAGAGCTACAGATATGTAGCCACAATCATAAATACAACTGAGATTAATTTGGAAGGGCCGGTATTTTCCTCAGTTGATGAAAAGTCTATTCAATTTATTATAGTCAGGAATATGAAATTCTTTATTGTTATTCAGACATAAGACAAATAAATATGGAAAACCTAGGGTATAACCGTAAAAAAAAATCCTAATTTGTTCAATATAATATAAGTCATGAACTAATTCAACTATAATGTCACACATCCTGATATATATATTCACTATCGGGATAAGGCTTCAATAGTGTTGTATTTTAAATTAAGTACAGATACCTTCAAGTGTGAATGAGCAATAAAAGACCCATCTTCCACAATTGATTTTTCACTGACTAGTGAATTGATGAGCATGCAATCTTTTGCTACAACACAAGTATCCTGAAAAAATTACTATTTTAAACTTGAGAAATTGAAAAGGTAAATTATAATTTAGAAGCCTAAAAATTGAGCAATTCAATAAGTCTAATTTTGTAAAGAGACATGTCAGTCCAGTGGGTCCCATCTTTTTGATATATTCTTCCTCCGCCTGTCCTAAAACTCTTTATTCCTCCATCACTACGTGTAGAAACTCACTAGTGATATGAACAATTTGCACTCTTGGTTTTGTATATTTTCAAGAGTTTATAATGTAGAGCCATGTATATGTATAACATTAATACTAACAACTAAACGGTATTAGTAATACTAATGACAATACAACGCAAAAATTTCTGTGCCAAAATAACAAAAATTATATTCGAGGAGAAATTCTTTTCCACTGTTTTAATCTATTTGAAACATTTGCATATCAAAATCGATGTCGAAATACCCCCCAAAATTGACATAATAATTTAGGTCAAAACTAAGGTACATCTCCAGTAATATTATATAGCCTATAAAAGTAAGAGCGTTTTATTTTAAAATTCTGAAAAAGTGAAAGTGACTAGCCAAGTAGTTGAAGACAAAATCATTTTTCTCTATCTAAACAACAACAATATTATAGAGTACCGTAATTCATGAGTCCACTGTGTACATAAAGTCTAACTTACTTCAACAAAAGACCTTGATTGCAGGGTTGAATCGAAGCCCTGAAACTTTGAAACATCTGGATTCCTAAGAAGTTCTGCATATTGTAGAGGAGTGTCCGTCACATCCAAATACTTATGCTTTCCGGATCGTAGTATAACTGTATATAGAAGTATTAACAATGAACGCAATTTGACAAAAATTATGAAAAAAATGAGTGGAAGTCTAGAAAGGTGCATAATAGATTTATTATAGAAATTATCATGGCAATTATTTCTAATGATTCTTCTACGAAATGTTTCAAACTTTACACAAAGCAAGGATCTAAATAGTCACTGATACTTGAATAGATTTCGTTTACGGACGGAAAATATAGAAATTGGTTTAAACTGTGACGTGGTACCAAAAATAACAGTACACAAGGAAAAATACAAGATGGAAATAGAAGTTGCATTAACTTCAAATGGGGTTTGAAACATGGGACCCAAAATACTACATGAGCAATCTCGTATTGTAACCTTACTGCTTTGATCATGAGTAAGATGGTGTACAAAAAAGTACCGTAGATCGAGAAATCATTAACTAAGGCGATGTCAGGCCAGTTTTAACCACACCACCTCACTGAATTCTTCGGAAATTCCATGTTTACATAGATATTTTAAGATAGATAATTCAAACAAATCAAATAAGATCAAAAAATATGTGAAGAATGAAAAAGATTGAGCGTTGATTAAAAGGCTCAGTATTCATGAAGTGGTCATTTTATTGAAAGATAAACAAAATAAATATAAATCAATTATGTATTAGAAATAGTGTTAAGTAACAATTGAAATGGCTAATGAATGACAGCTACCTCCAAAAATGAGCAGAATTTATATTTACTTTATATATTAATAAGATATGAATCGTATCAATAGATCAGACTTAGCATAAGAAAATAAGCAAATTGTCTGTAAGAAAAACATGACAAAACCAGATCACTCTAAAATATGTGATCCTAGTAGGCTTGATTCTTGAAGTCATACTCAACCTTTGAGCAATTTAATTGAGGAATGTCGATTGGGTGATATTGATACGTACTCAATAATTGCATTTATTTTATATTACTTTGGAAAGTGTAAAAAATCTACATTTACATGATAGGCTGTTACATACTTTAGGCTGTGAATTTATTTATTCATTTACTCCAGATATTTGAAATGTCAGCATTCAATTAGAATGACAAATGACAAAAATCGCTAAGACACAATAATTAACAATAAACAATTTATATGTTTCATATTTAAATGATTACATTATAATATATGGTGTCTCGTAACTTTTAATGCATTTACGGTAACTGGTATGGATAAGGTGAGAAATGAACCTTAACAAACAAATAAATCATTGAAAAATATAGTTTGCATCAGATTATTATAAGTTTATCTGAGACAGAGTGAACCAGAATCAGACTTCATTGCACTAATTGAATTACTAATCTTTTGGGATTTTATATCGAATTTAGCCATTTTGTTGACATCTTTGCCTTTCACTAATAATGCATTGTCAGTGGCAAATGCCTCTAAATTAAATGCTGTCACATCAACCGTTGAGAAATTATTTCCAAATTTAGTCCACTGATTTGTAGAGGGAGTATAAAACTCAATAAAAGTATATTGATCAAATCTTCCATTTGTACGCAATAAGCCACCAACTGCAAATATTTTGATAGGTAAACAGGAAGCAGCTGCTCCCCCATTACAACGTTCATACAACATATCATCAATCCTGTCCCAATCCCCATCAAATTCTTTAGCTTGCTTCTCAGTACCTTTCCCACCAAAAGCATAAATATGATCAGAAGATGCAGTGACCATAACCCCTTCTCCTAGTTGATGGCCCTCCTGTTCCTCAACCCAAGTATTTGTCTCAGGAATGAATTTTGAGAATTTTTCAGGCTCAATCAGGACTATACAACCTTTGAAAGTCACACATTTATAGTTTGAAGGTTCGCTTTCCAAGTTTGCTAAATTTTTCCACATACCACTGGAATATTTTATCAAACTTTGTTTGTGAAAAACGTACATCTCTTTGTCGATGCAAACGACATCTCTATGACCTCCTGAAAATTCTTTAGGTATTTTTGTAACTCTGGATACTTCAGCTCTTTGGCAATTAATGTTATACAACATTCTACCATGTTTTGGTAACAAGACAATGTGAGGAACTGGTTTACAGAAACCAGATTCCGCAGCTGATTCTGTTACTGGTGCCATAGCGATATCAAACTGATTTCTTTCGTTTTTCAAAGTGTGAATAGACTCACTTAACACGTTCAACAAATATGCTCTACAATCCTTAGATTCTTCCATTAAAGGTTCAGTTTGAACTTGGTCGTTGACAAAATTCTTCGGTAAATCAGCAAGACTAATGACACGCAGAAGATGAAGAAACATTGACGTACGATTTTCCATGTCTGCTTTGACCCATTTGACAGCAGCTTTCCACTTTAAAATTTCTCCTTCACCATAAGTGCCAGATAAGGAATTCATATACTTCTGAATTTCACCTAACGATTTTTTCTGGAAAACTTCTGTCGAAGTCATTTTATCAAAATTCTCAGAAATATATTTCTCAATCTGTTTTTGAGAATTTACATGATGATATTTTTGAGCCAACTCCTTGTAAAAAAAACAGTTTTTTGGATCCAAATTTTCTATCAAATACTCGAAATAAATGTCAGAAAGCTCTGTCAGATTGAAAAGCTCCGACACATGAATAAGAAATTCAGGAGAATTAGTGGAAAACAGCACTTTTCGGGTATAAATGAACTTTACACATTTTTTGACAGATTCTGGATCCACATCCTGTAGCTCAACAAACCCGTCTTTTCTTTCTTTACTATTGTGAGACAACATTTTATCAAAATAGGATGAAGATGCTGCAATAACATTTCGATGAACATGGATTTTCTCATCTCCAGCTTTGATTATGAAGTCACAATACTTTTCTTCTTGCCTTTGCTTTTCTAATATTACCAGTAGATCCTGTGGTGGACTTTTACTTTCTCTTTCATTCGCCATGTTTTTTTAACCAACAGCTTTTGGAAATGCTTATATATATATATCTAACAAACTTGTTGATATTTGCTATATCAAACCTAAACTTTTTTCATTGAAAGCAGCAATAACGCAAATAGGGTTAGTAAGGGTTAAAGAACAAGTTTTAAACTAAATAAATATTTAGTCTTATCATTCTGTTTCATCTCAGATTATGAATCAGATATTATTCCGACACCCATCCAATAGCAGATCAAAAACAAAAAACACTGAACACTCTCCTGGATAATTTCAAAGTACTGATCTTATATTATTGATTTAGGTACTTAAATGTAGAAACACACTCGGGTATTTATCATTCTGACAGTCAAGGTAATAAAACCAACAATAATGAGCTTCGTGTTGTGGATTCAACAATGCAGCTACCATCCTTACTGAAACAGTCATATATCGAAATCTGGTTTAGTTGTGCAAAGAGATGTGTGAAAGAAACAGATATCTTGTGTGATATTTTGACAGCCAAGTCAGCCAAAGACGAGTGAAATTTAGGTTATTTCGCGCAGCAAAAAAGGTAAATACAGATATTTTTGCAAAATGATGAGGAAACCAACCAAGAAGTTATCAAGATTGTAATTGGCATGTTGGCCACCACTGGTATAAAGCATCAAATATCTATAACTTTCAATGTCGAAGGGCAATGAGGCATTGTTCAATACCAGCCATATTATTATTAGCTTCTCTGAACAGGATTTCTCTACCAACTTCGAAGTGCATGTTAATTTTACAGGTTATTTCTTATATGTTTAGCAAAGTTCATCGTTTCATAAAATAAACATAGAAGCATATTATCGATTGTATACTGTATTATTTCAAGTCAAGTATCATGTTAATTTATTATTTGATAAGTTCAAACAGAGACCTGGACTCTGTTAATGTGATTGGTTATGAATTAACATTACCTAGCTCAACAAATCAAAACCCTTTTGCTGGTCCTTCTATCATTCAAGAAAATTCATTCCACTCTTGTATACATTTATTCAAGATAGATAAAAGACACTGACTCATTTATTTCAATCAAAATTCACTGCAAAACTTGTTTACATTATTGCACAATGCAGGTTACTTCAACATCGCATATTTTTCTACTTCGCATCACTGGCCTAAATTGTAAAGTATCGTTTCGCATGAATTAGAAATTGTAGAACGCCTCACTGGAGATAAATACCTACCCGGTTAAGAACGATCGACTTAGCTATTTTTAGCTAAGGGTACGAAAAAATTATCATTTAATGTCAGTCATCATATTTGATATTGTCGATATGATATTAATATAATTTTTGGAATTCTGTTGGAGTTAAAAACCTCACAACCACTAGTGCAGGTTCTATTGCAATATGAACATTTGACCAGATAATTAGGTAATATAGAATTCACAGATATATTAAGCAATTTCATCAAGAATAGTCATTGGACATGAAAGCTAAATAATCACTAAACCATAAAATTCATATTTACAAGGGACAGACAGACGATATAGAAAGGCCCACTTGCACCGTGAGAGGCTCGATGCAGGCTAATATAACAAGAAACAAGCATAATTAGAGATTTTCTTTAATGAGCGCTCCCTAGTTAACAAGTATGAATGAAGTGTGAAGTGCATATTATCAAGCAAATAAATCATTGCATCAAATTACTATAGTTTATCAGAGACAGAGTGAACTAGAATCAGACTTCATTGCAGTAATTGAATTACCGGTACCAATCTTTTGGTTTTTATATTGCATCTAACCATTTTATTGCCATCTTCACATTTCACAAATAATGTGCCGCCAGTAGCGAATGCCTCCAAAATAAATGCTTCTAGACTAGTGATCGTGATCAACAGGTTCGTGATCAACAGGTTGTATAACACACCTCAAAGTGTACCACATCGTATGCTGTAGGGTATACAGTAACACACGATATGGTATTTAAATGCACCGAAAATGGCAATGGTGTGTTATATCTATCTAACCTATACGTGCTAACTTATGCACAACGTATGTCTGGTATTTTCTGATATCTGCTTTTCCTAATGACATAATCCCTTTTTAGCAGTGCGATACCTTGTTAACAATACCCGCGTAATACGGGAAGCGTCTGTCACAGGACGAAAAAGAATAATAGAATGTTGTTTCGTCTGTTTTTTACTGATATGTGCTGTCAGGTCAATTCTGTTGTTATTGTGGTAATAATTTCGAGCAGAACATACATACATTACATAACTTCATCAATATCCAAGTTTATTTGAGTGTAACATTAAAAACATAATGTAATATATAGACGTTGGGATATAGTTCAGCAGCAGTTGTTATTTGGGATCATTTTATCAAGGTTTGCAATCAGAGGCACATGGTTAGTGTGGCGTGTTGACGTCTATATTTACATGATAGCCTGTTACATGCTTCAAGCTGTGAATTTATTTATTCCAGATTTTTGAAATGTCTGCATAGAATTAGAATGACAAATAACAAAAATCACTAAAATACAATAATTGACAATGTATAAAATTTATATTTACAAGGGACAGACAGACGATACAGAAAAGCCAACTGGTGACATGAGAGGCTCGATGCAGGGTAATCAGTCAACAAACAACCATAATTAAATATTTTCTTTCAATTAATGAGTGTTTAATAGTTAACTAGTATGAACGAAGTGTAAAGTAAATTTTATAAGGCAAATGAATTAAATGCCGTCACATCATCCAATACTTTGCGAGTATAAAACCCAATAGTAATATATTGGTCAACATTTCTTAGCCCTCTGAGAATTGTTCAGATATTTTTGTAATCCTGGATAGTTCAGTTGTTTGGCAATTAATGTTATACAACATTCTACCATGTTTTGGTAAAAAGAGGATGTGAGGAACTGGTTTACAGGAACCCGATTATGTTACTGATGCCCTAACGATATCCAACTTATTTTTTTATTTTTTCAATGTGTGAATAGACTCACTTAACACGTTTATCAAATATACTCTAAAATCCTCATAATCTTTCATTAAAGGTTCACTTTAATCTTGGTATTTGACAAAATTCACATGGTGATATTTTTGAGCCAACTCCTTGTAGAAAAAACAGTTTCTTGGATCCAAATTTCCTATCAAAAACTCGAAATACATGTCATAAAGCTCTGTCAAATTGAAAAGTCATGACACTAGAATAAGAAATTCAGGAGAGTTAGAGGAAAACAGCAATTTTCCGGTATAAATAAACTTTACACATTTTTCGACAGATTTATCAAAATAGGATGAAGATGCTGCAATAACATTTCGGTGAACATGGATTTTCTCATCTCCAGCTTTGATTATGAAGTCATAATTCTTTCCTTCTTGCCTTTGCTTTTCTAATATTATCAGTACATACTGGGATCAACTTTTACTTTTTCTTTCATTTGCCATGTTTTATAACTTACTGCTTTTGAAATACTTTTATGTGTACCACATAAACTTGTTAAAGTTTGCTAAATCAAACTTAACAGTTTTTGATTGAAAGCAACAGCAATGCAAAAAGGGTTAGTATCAAAGAACAAGTGTTAATAAACTACGGTAAATGCATATTTAGTCTTATCATTCAGTCCAACTCAGATCAAGAAGCGCATAACAAAAAATATAAAACACTGCTGAAACGCACATGTAGGATACCAATGAGCCAGTTGGATCGATATTTATTTAGGTACTTGAATGTACACAAAACACTCTGGAATTTATCATCCTGACCATAGAGGTAATAAAACCAACAATCATGAGCAATATAAAGCTTCATGTTGTGGATTCAACAATGCACCTACTCTTTTTGCTGGAACAGCCTATATATAGGAATCTGGTTTAATTGCACAAAAAATGTGAAAAAGTAACAGATATCTTTTATGACATTTTGACAGCCAAGTCAGTTAAAGAATAGTGAAATTTAAATGATTTCAAGTACCAGGAATCAAGTTTAAAGCCTAGATATTTTTGTAACATAATGATTTTCGAAACAATAAGTTGGAAAATAATTGTTTTTTTTCGATTTATGGATTTAAAAACAGAGTAAAATCAATATTTAAATCAATTTAACTAACAATCATGGGTGAAGAGAAAGAAAGCAAAACCTATTCAAAAAATCTGTTATCTTCATTAAAAAGGCAACAGAATGGAACTAACTATTGTGATTTCATGATAAAGGTTGGAAAAGAGGAATTTCATGTTCATAGAAATATTCTTGCTGCAGCTTCACCTTATTTTGATGAAATGTTATCCAATGAGACAAAAGAAAAACAGAATGGTTACATGGAAGTCAATGACTTAGACCTGGATGTGGTGAAACAGTGTGTTGATTTATATACACTGGTAAAGTTGTGCTAACAATGGATAAAATAGAAAACCTAATTTTTGCTGCAGATTTGTGGAAACTATGCGACCTCGTCGATACATGCTCCGAATATTTGTTGGATAATTTGAGTGTTGAAAACTGTATACAGTTCGCAAACTTGACTCAGGCATATAACCAGAAAGATTCAAAGCAAGATATAAGTGATTTTATCATTAGAAACTTTAAAAGCGTTATTGAAAGGGACGAATTTTTGACAATAAATAAAAAGGACTTGTGTGCCTTTATCTCCAAAGTTTCAAATGAAGTCTTAAAGTGGAATGCTGCTACAAAGTGGGTGAAAGTAGAAGACCGTGAAAAAGAATTTGTTGATCTATTAAGATTAATCAAGTTAGAGGAATTATCAAATGATTTTATCAGAGAAAACGTTAAAACAGAGCCTCTTATGAATGAGTCCATGGAATGTAAAGATTTACTGATAGATGCTATGCTTGAAACCAGGAGTGAAAATTTAGAGATACAGAAAACATTTCTGCAGGAAGTAGAAGAGTCAAATGAAATTGATGAAAATGAGGGACCCCAGCCTTACTTTGTGGTACTTCGTGAAGAAAGTCGCATCCTTCATAAATTCAACTGCAGCAAAAAAGATTGGTCACAGATTGTGAGAATACCAAGATATGTATCTGAACAAAAACCAGACATATTTTCAATAAACAACACTATTTATTTGCACCATGGAAAATATTTGAGAAAATTGAATGGCAAAGAATGGATAAATTTGGCATCTATGTTACATGAGCCTTCCTATTTCAGATGTGTTACTTTCAAAGGCTTCATATATGTCATTGAAGGATGGAAAACTTCGTCATATAGTCTAGAAGAAAATACATGGACTGAAGATTTAGAAGGTTGTGGATTGGGGCGAGGATTTGCAGTAACAACATCTGATTCATATATCTATGCAATGGGAGGTGAAGAAACAAGTAAACAAGCTAAAGAATTTGATCCCAATTTAAAAATATGGGAACCAATTGAAAGCATGGACACCTCAAAACATTTCTGTTCAGCAACATGGTTTGATGAGAAGATCCATGTACTTGGAGGTTATAGGTCTTTGAACAGATATGGGCATATTGATTCTTGGTCATCCTCTGAAGTTTATACCAATTCAGTCGATAGCTGGAGCAGCATGTATGAATGGAATCTGAAAAAAACTAACATCAAGGCATTTATAATAAAACAGGAAATTTATCTGATTGGTGATAGCAACTATGTAACAGTTCTATTCATGTCAGGTGGAAATTACAAGATGAAAAATATAGATGTTGGTGGGAATTGCTCTCCTATCGCATGTCTAATTTATGAATGAATAAAACATGATTGGGAAATCATTTTGATAGTATTTAAAAACAATTTAATATACGGTAGTATAAAGCAGTGGTGGCCACCAGTCTTTGATTGAGATAGACTGAAATCTTCATAATTCCTTGCAATCAATTAATTAATCTTTTTCTGACGATTCTCGAATCATAAGTTCAAAATGACCAGAAAAAAAGGCAAATAGCTGTTTTGTAGGTTCACTCAGTAACATCTCTGATTTGGAGTATTAAATAAATCAAGTTCTGAAAACTGACTTCAAAAAATAGCAGGGCAAGAAATAGCAGTACTGGCACTGTTGCATCAGGATCATCTGATTTTGATTAGCCTGTTCGGTGCGAAAGCTCGATAGCAAACACACTTATATTGGTTTAGTAATAAGGTGCTACATCAGGTTTTGACTTTTGTTCCAACAAATTTAGTTAAGTATTATAGTACTTCTTTTTAGAACACAAAACAGTAGTGAATACTGATTAAATGCAATTATTTCCAAGAAGTTATCAAGATCGTGATTGGCATGTTGGCCACCTCTGGTAGCCTATACAGCATCAAATATCTATATCTTATAATGTCAAAGGGCTATCAGGAATTGTTTAATAACAGCAATATTATTATTGAGTTTTCCTAACCTCTTTGAAGTGCATGTTAATTTCACTGTTTTTTTTATATGTTTAGCAAAGTTCATCGTTTCATAAAATAAACATAGAAGCATATTATCGATTGTATACTATAATATTTCAACTTCAAGTCAAATATCATGTTAATTCATTATTTGATAAGTCCAAACAGACATCTGGAGTAAAGTTACTCTACAAATCCAAGCTGTGATTGGTTATGAATTAATATTACCTAGCTCAGCGATTCAAAACCCTTTTGATGGTTCTTCTATCAATCAAAAAAATTAATTCCACTCTTGTATATATTTATTCGAGATAGATAAAAGACACTTACCGGTACTTATTTATTTCAATTAAAATTCACTGCAAAAGTTTTTTCATTATTTTTGAGCTATGGAGAATCTGAGGAACAGTTGGTTATGGGGCACAATGCATGTTATTTCAACATCGCTTATTTTTCTACTTTGCATCACTGGCCTAAATTGTAAAGTATCGTTTCGCAGGAATTACAAAATGTAGAAAGCCTCACTGAAGATAAATACCTACCTGGTTAAGAACAATTGACTTTGGGCTAAGGTACAAATAAATTAACATGCATTGTCAGTCACCATATTTTATATTGTCGATATGATACTAATATACCTTTCGGAATTCTGTTGAGATTAAAGAACCTCACAATCCAATAAACAACTAGTGTAGGTTCTATTGCAATATAAACATTTTATCAGATTATGGATATAGAATTCACAGATATTACACAACTTCATCAAGAATCATTGAAAAATGAAAACTAAATAATTGCTAAACCATTAAATTCATATTTACAAGGGACAGACAGAAGATATAGAAAGTCCCACTTGTGACGTGAGAGGCTCGGTGCAGGGTAATAGGACAACAAACAACCATAATTAGAAATTTTCTTCTAATGAGTGCTCCCTGGTTAACTAGTATGAATGAAGTGTGAAGTGCATATTATCAAGCAGACACAATATTGAAAAATACAGTTTGTATCAGATTAACATAGTTTATCAGAGACAGAGTGAACCCGAATTAGACTTTATTGCAGTAATTAAATTACCATTCTTTTTGGCTTTCATATTGAATCTAATCATTTTGTTGCCATCTTTACATTTCACAAATAATGTGTTGTCAGTCGCTAATGCCTCCAAAATAAATGCTTCTACCCCAATGGTCATCAACTGGGTGTATAATACACCTCAGGGTTTAGAAAAATTGTGAAGTGAACTTTATTAAGCAAATAAATTATGGAACAGTAAATTATAGCGTATATCAGCTTACTATAGTTTATCTGAGACATAGTGAACAAGAATCAGACTTCATTGCAGTAATAGAATTACCAATCTTTTTGGCTTTTATATCAAATTTAACCATTTTGTTGTCATCTTTACATTTCACAAATAATGTGTTGTCAGTCGCTAATGCCTCCAAATAAAATGCTTTAAGATGCCATATGGCGAAGTCATCTCCAAATTTTGTCCACTGATTTGTAGAGGGAGTATAAAACTCAATAGCAGTATGTTGAGAATAACCTCCTGTCAATATGCCACCAACAGCAAATATTCTGACAGGCAAATAGGAAGCAGCTGCTCCACCATTACAATGTTCATACAACATATCATCTATCCTGTCCCAATTCCCATCAAATTCTTTAGCTTGCTTCTCAGTACCTTTCCCACCAAGAGCATAAATTTGATCAGACGAAGCAGTGACCATGGCACCTGCTCCTAGTTGATGGCCTTCCTCTTGCTCAAGCCAAGTATTTGTCTCAGGAATGAATTTTGAAACTTTTTCAGACTCAATCACCAATATACAACCTTTGCAAGTCAGACAGACATAGTTTGAGGGTTCACTTTCCAAGTTTGCTAAATTTTTCCACATTCCATTTGAATATTTCATCAAACTTTGTTTGTGGAAAACATATATCTCACTTTCGATGCAAATGACATCTCTATGACCTTCTGAAAATTCTTCAGGTATTTTTGTAATCCTGGATACTTCAGATGATCGGCAATTAATGTTATACAACATTCTACCATGTTTCGGTAACAAGACGATGTGAGGAACTGGTTTACATGAACCCGATTCTGCAGCTGATTCTGTTGCTGGTGCAATAGCGATATCCAACTGATTTCTTTTATTTTTCAAAGTGTGAATTGACTCACTTAACACATTTATCAAATATGTTTTCAAATCGTCAGATTCTTTCATTAAAGGTTCGGTTTGAACCTGCTTTTTTACAAAATCCTTTGGTAAATCAGCAAGACTAATGACATGCAGAAGACAAAGAAACATTGAAGTACGATTTTTCATGTCTGCTTTGACCCATTTGACAGCAGCTTTCCACTTTAAAATTTCTCCTACCCCATAAGAACCAGATAAAGAATTCATATACTTCTGAATATCACCTAAAGATTTCTTCTGGAAATCTTCTGTTGAAGTCATTTTATCAAAATTTTCAGAAATGTATTTCTCAACTTTTTTTTGAGAATTTACATGATTATATTTTTGAGCCAACTCCTTGTAGAGAAAACAGTTTCTTGAATCCAAATTTTCAATCAAATAGTCAAAATACATGTCAGAAAGCTCTGTCAGATTGAAGAGCTCTGAAGCATGGATAAGAAAATCCGGGGAATCAGTAGAAAACAGCACTTTTCCTGTATAAATGAATTTTACACATTTTTTGACAGATTCTGTATCCACACCTCGAAGTTCTACGAACCCATCTCTTCTTTCTTTACTATTGTGAGACAACATTTTATCAAAATAGGATGAAGATGCTGCAATAACATTTCGATGAACATAGATTTTCTCATCTCCAACTTTGATTAAGAAGTCACAATACTTTTCCTCTTGTCTTTGCTTTTCTAATATTATCAGTAGATCCTGGGATCGACTCTTACTTTCTCTTTCATTTGCCATATTTTTTCAACCGACTATTTTTGGATTGCTTTTGGAAATGATTATCTATACATATAATAAACTTGGTCAATTTTGTTATATCAAACCTAAATTTTTTTTATTTTAATCATTATCATTTTCATAAATATTCATCATTTTGCCTCTGACTCAGATTATAAAGCAGATAATAAGAAAGATCATTCCAATACACATTTAACAACAGATCAAAAACAAAAAAGCAATGTGGAAACACTCCTGCATGATACCAAAGTACGGGTTACTTTAATATTGATTTAGGTATTTAAATGTGCAAACACACTCTGACAGTCGAGGTAATAATACCTACAATAATGAGCAATGTAAAGCTTTGTGTTGTGGATGTGGTGTGTACCAAAGGTAAACATAATTCTGGTGTATACAAAACGAGCCATGAATGACAATTCAGATCCAAACCAGACATGAGTTATGGGTCTTAATTATCGCAGGGTAGTAAACACAACCGGATATTCACTGCTATATAGGACATCATATACAGTAATTAAACCAACAATTATGAGTAATATAAAGCTCAAGTTTGAGGTTTCGGCAATGCAGCTTTCATTATTTATTGAATTCTGATTTAATTGTGCAAGAGATGTAAAAAAGGAAAAAATATCTAGGGCAACATTTTTACAGCCGATTCAGTCAAAAAAAGTGAACTATGATTGATTGGAAGAAGCAAGCAAGTTAAATACAGATATTTTTGTGAAAAGATAAGAAAATGAAAAACTTTTAATTATTTTCCCAGGTTGACAAAGCTATTTTTGAATTCTTGATTTTCGAAAAAATAAGTTAGAAAATGGCAATTTTTTTTTTCATTTTATGAATTTAAAAACAGGGTAAAACTATCATTGAAATTAGTTCAAATACCAATCATGGGTGGAGAGAAAGAAAGCAAAACATATTCAAAAAATCTTTTGTCTTCATTAAGAAAGGCCAGTTGGAAAGGAGGAATTTTACGTTCATAGAAATATTCTCGCTGCAGCTACATCTCCTTTTGATGAAATGTTATTCAATGATATAAAAGAAAAACAAAATCGTTAAATGGAAGTCAATGACTTAGACTTGGATGTGGTTAAACAGTGTGTTAATTTTATATATACTGGCAAAGTTTTCCCAACAATGACTAACATAGAAAACCTGATTTTTGCTGCAGATTTGTGGAAATTACGCGACCTCATCATTATATGCTTCGAATATTTGTTGGATAATTTGAGTGTTGGAAATTGTGTACAGTTCGCAAACTTGACTCAGGCATATACCCAAAAGAATTCAGAGCAAGAAATAATTGATTTCATCATTAAAAACTTCAAAAGCGTTATTGAAAAAGACAAATTCTTGACAATAAATAAAAAGGACTTGTGTGCCGTCATCTCCAAAGCTTCAAATGCAGTCTTGAAGTGGAATGCTGCTACAAAGTGGGTAAAGGTACAAAACGTTCAAACAGAGCCTCTTATGAATGATTCCACAGAATGCAAAGATTTACTGATGAATGCTATAGTCGGAACCAAGAGAGGAAATCCAGAGATACAGAAAACATTTCGAGTACTTCGGAAAGTACAAGAAAAAACAATAGAAAAAGATTCAGAAGTTGATGGAAATGAGGGCCCCCAGCCTTACTTTGTGGTTCTTCATGTGGAAAGTTGCATCCTTCACAAATTCAACTGCAGCAAAAAAGATTGGTCACAGATTGTGAGAATACCAAGATATGTATCTGAACAAAAACCAGACATCTTTTCAATAAACAACACTATTTATTTGCTCCATGGAAAATATTTGAGAAAATTGAATGGCAAAGAATGGATAAATTTGGCATCTATGTCACATGAGCCTTCCTATTTCAGATGTGTTACTTTCAAAGGCTTCATATATGTCATTGAAGGATGGAAAACTTCGTCATATAGCCTAGAAGAAAATACATGGACTGAAGATTTAGAAGGTTGTGGATTGGGGCGAGGATTTGCAGAAACAACATCTGATTCATACATTTATGCAATGGGAGGTGAAGAAACAAGTAAACAAGCCAAAGAATTTGATCCCAATTTAAAAACATGGGAACCAATTAAAAGCGTGGACACCTCAAAACATTTCTGTTCAGCAACATGGTTTGATGAGAAGATCCATGTACTTGGAGGTTATAGGTCTTTGAACAGATATGGGCATATTGATTCTTGGTCATCCTCTGAAGTTTATACCAATTCAGTCAATAGCTGGAGCAGCATGTATGAATGGAATCTGAAAAAAACTAACATCAAGGCATTTATAATAAAACAGGAAATTTATCTGGTTGGTGATAGCAACTATGTAACAGTTCTATTCATGTCAAGTGGAAACTACAAGATGAAAAATATAGATGTTGGTGGGAATTGCTCACCGATTGCATGTCTAATTTAGGTATGAATAAAACACAATTGAGAAACAATTTTGATTTATAATTCCTATAATTGATTAAGAAACAATTGACTCTAGTATAAAGCATCAAATAATAAACCCAAGGAAAACGCTGGGATATGAGAAATATTTTCAATAACAGGTATATTTTGTGAAAAAGGGATTCCTCTAACCACCTTGGAGTTTATGTTATTCTACAGGTCATCCATTACTGTTTCATAATATGACAATAAATTTATACATAAAATTAATAAGTCCAAACAGAGATCTAGAGTAAAGTCACTCTACACAGGCAATATGCCATTGGATATGATTTACTTTATTCAGCTTAACAATTCAAAATCTGTTTGCATGTATTCATCCTTGCATTATTCAAAATATTCACATGAGTAAACATGTACCTTCCTTATTTTATTCTGTACATTTTGAACCTTACTTAAGATTTTGTTTGCTCTCCTGTTTTCATAATCAGTTTTTATTTATTGATTTTTATCAATAATTTGATCTGTTAGGCTGATAATGGAGTTGAAATATACTTATTCAAGATGGAAAAAAAAAAAATTCATTTATTCTAATTAAAAATTTGTTGCAAAACTTGATTTTATTCATTTGGAGTTGTGCAGAATATGAGAAACAGTTAGTCATGGGGCACAATGCATGTATCTTCAACATCAAACATTGTTTGATTTAGAATTACTGGCCTAAATTGTAAACTACAGTTGCAGTTCATAACTATGGTATCAACATAGCTGGATCTAACAGAAAAGTAATTATCAGTCTATGTCAGTCACTATATTTTATACCATGTATACACAAATGTAATTCTGTAACGTTTCGTCTGACCAAAATCAGACTTCCACAGACACGCAGTTTACAACAGTGAAGAGAAAAGAACAATCAATACAAGAGAAGAACAATCATAAACCGCATGTTGTTCTTTTCTTGTCATTGTTGTAAACTGCTTGTCTGAGGAAGTCTGAATATGGTCATACGAAACGTTACATGAAATACATTTGTGTTAGTGTACAGCAGAGGACTCTTAGATTGCATAGTATGGTATTTTTATTCCTGCTACAGCATCCTTGCATTATACGCATACTAATCCACTAGCGTAAAGGCATTGAGGAAGGATTGGGAATTAGTCTCACGCAACCTAAATTGATAACTATATTTTATATTGGCAAATGTTGATATAATATTAATACAATTTTAGGAATTCTGCTAATTTTTAAAGGCATTATAGAATTCAAGGATATCACGCCATTTCCAATATTGTAAATAGAATGAGATCCCACACTTTAGTGTACTCTGGTTTTGCCTTTTACAAATGGACATATATACCATTATAGATGTACAATTTGGACATCCAGGAAAACATAGGATGAATTTATACGTGGTATTGGAAAAAATCGAGCCATTTTTTAACTACTTACTTATAACTACAATATCAAGAACTACCCAATACAAACCAGTTAGGTAAATAATAACTGAATGCTTATGCCCGTTTAAATTCTCGAAATTTATTCTCTAAAATGATCTTCAGTCAATTCACCTCCAGACTGTATTGTTATTCTTATTGTGTATCGTTTCAGCACCGACTGTCCATGATGCTCTAGAAAATTTGCTTTCATAATGAAATGATTAAATAGAGTTTGTTCAAATATTGGCATTGTAAACAATAGGCTTTCTTGCTCAGCTATCTCTTTCTTGCTCAGCTCTATCATTATTAATTAGACCAGATGATACCACAGTCTAGCATCAATGTACAGATATTAGACAGTACGATATGAGAGGTATCAAAAAGGAGTCAATGTGTACATTTCAAGGTTCCTTGTTACAACAGTGTTGATTCCAAGTGTATCAAAGATTTAAGCCTTTAAAATCAGCTGTGGAGGTTAATTTTAATTCACTTCATACAAAAATAGATATGAACTGATAAGAGGCAAGTAACAGAAAACAGGCAAAGTTGTTTAAAAGCCCAAATGTGTTACTGAATTTTTTGAATATAAAAGTCCAATATACTCTTATCCTGTTTTATCGCTTGATCATCTGATTACTAATCATATTTAGAACAGAACAATGGCCTAGCTTCAGGGCAGGAAATGCAGAACAGGAAGAATATCAGTCCTTCCAAATCCTACTAGATCCCTAGATATCGTTAGATAGTAATGTCCGCTTATACGGTGTCTTGTTCACATTGAAAGGCAATAGAAAGCACCGTATAAAAATATCATTACAATTCTGATAATGATATTACGCTATTCTACCAAGAACTATGCAGGCAATCATGAAATTGTTTAAATATTATGCAACAATGTGGAAGAATTGTAACACGGTTCAAGTTGACAATAATGATACAGTATCTGGAAAGATCACACACACCATTGAAAAAAGATTTAGCCCATATTTTCACCAAATAATAGGTCACAAAATGGATATTGAACTATTATCACTCAGATAGAGTTAGAGTTACTCCTGTGAGCCAGAGGGAAAGGTCTCTTTAACAGGGGAACGACATAAATAATGAATAAATAAAGCTTATGAATAATGTATATTGAATTTACCCACTCTTTAATATCTCGGTGCATTTTAGGATGATATAGAGAGTTTAATTTACTAATTAACTTGAGAAAAACTTATTCAAAATCAAAATAAAACTATGGGTGGCTCAGTGAGTGTTGAAGAGCGTGAGAAGGAGAATCATGCCAAAGACATTTTAACTGCTTTGAATGCACAGAGACAAGAAGAGGCATATTGCGATTTTGTCATAAAAGTTGGCGAAGAAGAATTTAAAGCTCATCAAAGCATTCTTTCTGCTTCATCTCGATTTTTCGAGGCGATGTTGTCTTCGGATATGAAAGTAAAAGAAGACGGATTTGTGGAAATTTACTGCCTTGATGCCAAAGCTTTCAAACATTGCATTGATTTCATTTACACTGGAAAAGTTGTTTTTAACTTAAATGAAACAAATGATCCGAAACAGATGATAGATGCTTCAGAAAAGCTTGAACTAACCGGCCTTACAGACGTATATTTCAAGTACTGGAAGGATAAGTTGACAGTACAGCAGAGTTTATTGTACAAAGAATTGGCCCAGAAATACTCCAGGAAAGAGGATGAAGAATATCTTGAAAACTTTATCATCAAAAACTTTTCTGAAATAATGCAACTTGAAGATTTCAAGAACATCGATAAACAGCAAATGATCGACTACATACGAAAACTTTCCGATGAAAAGCTGAAGTGGGAGGCAACAACAAAATGGATAGATGGAGATATTGAAAATCGCAAAAAAATACTGGTCGAGCTCTTAGACCTAATCAACCTTAAAAAACTTCCTAAAGGCTTCATCGTTGACAAAATTCTCCAAGAACCAATGATTCAGGAATCACATGAATGTAAAGATAAACTCATTATGTCGCTATCTAGATGAAGACTTTGACTAATACATTTTATTGGATCACATCATGCTTGAATGTATATATAAAATTTAATTATTCATCCCATCATTATGTAAAATGAACCATATATCATTAAATATTAATTTTTTTAGTAGAAATAATAATGCAATTGAAAAATTTCTTAATTAAACAACATTCAAGGCTGACATTGACAATAACACAGGCGCATTGCCTGCAGAGTGGAAGCATGAGCATAATTATTGAATTTAAAATAATGAGAGTTTTTTGGCCTGCCGAAAACACTTGGAATAATTATGTCGAGCCAATGTCGACAAGTGTGGAGTATCAAAGCTCAACCAGCACCACAAACATGTGTACTCAATATTAAAATATTATCCAGAAATCGGCTTCTAATAGGTCCTTGCAATATCTAACTAGTGCCTTTCATACATCTGTGTCTGTCATTGGCAAAATATTATCACAAACGACTGGCGCATTAGCTATAGAATCGCAACATCAGGCAATGTTGAATGCTACCTTACAAAATTGAATTTGTTGTAGCCTGTCAATGAGCCCAGAGTAAAAGTCCAGAGGCGCAGTAGCGAGCATATTTTAATCGCTTAGCACGATGTGCAACTTGCCAAACCCGAAATTCAAATCCATGATACTGAATTATCACAGATTGATATCAAGTTTCCAAATGTCCTAAAGATGGATCTGAAAATATCTGTGTTATTTCCTTTGTGGCTCATAATTATTCATATATGAATATAGACAGACCTTCAGTCTGGTGAATTTCAACATACTCTTCGGTGTCTTCACAGATAAGTACTTGCGTAGATCTGTTTATACAACGCTTTATACAACTTTTACTCTGAACAAAGCTCCGTAAGAGCATCCATTACCAGGTAAAAAGCTACTATATTTTGGCAGGACTGGGGTTTTAAATAATTCTGTTTAAAATTCACCTTTCTTCGAATTTATACCTGCATGGGCGGATCAACCAGCGATCTGGATATTTTACACACCCCTGGCACAAATCCATCAACAAATTAGCCACAAGACATTTAGATATAAAATTGAAATACAGCACAATGAAAAACAAAGCTATGTATGTTGTGTCATGTGTGTAATCCCAAATCATCAATATAGCACAACAAATGACGATATAACCTAATAAAGACAAACACTGTTATAACGATAATTCCTGAAGCCGTTTGCCAAACCTCCTCAGAGGTTATTTTTCAAAATATATAAACATTTGCTCAAAAATAGCCAAAAAATAATATATTTGCAAAATTTCATGATTCCAGTTTACACACTGTACTTTTAAAGCTGCCTCTTCTTTCTGAATAGCCACCACAGAATTACTATAAGAAAGCTTCCTGATTCGCTCCTCTGAGTTCTAATCCTGTCACTAATCAAATTAATTTGAAAATTGATAGTTATTTAAACCAGGGGTGTGCAACCTGCGGCCCGCGTGCCACAAGGAAATATTGTGCGGCCCGCAGAGAACTGCCAATTCTGAATGGTTTGCGGCCCCCAAGATGAACTTTTAATTTACGGTAGTTTAATCTGGTTCGCGCAAGTGTTTAATCCCTTTGCGCTGCAAAGCCTATACCCGAGTTCAATTTATTATCTATGTCGTTGCAATGCCTTTTTTGTGCCTGCAACTACCAGAAAGCCCATGTTAAATAAAAATTGTGATCTAGTTATTTGTATCTGGCCTTGCGAACCCCTGATTTAAAACAACGTAGAAGTGGTTCGATAAAAAGTAGTACATACCTGTACATTTATCTTCTATTTTATACTGAAGATTGAGCAGATGGAAACATATGACACATGGCATATGAATGGGTACATATTAAGTTAGTAATTATGAGTCTTTGCTTTATTGAAACCAAAAGTGAACAAGCACATTTACTGATACCTGCTTTTAACTCTGTTCCTCTCAGATGATCCCAGAGCGTTGATCTCACTAGTTCCATGTTCTTGTCATGTTTAAGTGAACTGTCGTGTCCATATGAGCTCCCTCTCTTTCCACATACAAATTCATCCTCACCCACTCCACTAGCCATGCTTAAAAGTATGTCAAAGTAGAGAGAAATCTGTAAAAAAAGATGTACAAAAGTAAGAATAGAGAATTATTGGTAAAATTCTATTCTAAGGACAGGTTCCCAAAAATTGATCAGCGAAAAACTTATCAAAATCACTATCATTTGCGAATAAACAACAAGGTTTAGGGAGATAAATTTGTAAAAAATATCGACAGCTATGCAGAAGACATTGACATTTTCAATACTAGAATTCAGAATCCATTTATTAGGCCAGTCGTAAAAGGAGGAAATTGACTTTTTTTTACAAGACACAACTTGACAAAACGAATCCTAAGCCTATTGATATATGATATTGAAAAAAGCAGGGTTCTCGGCGAATAGATCTCCCCCATTCAAAACAGGATGGAGCGAAAAAAATTAAAATTAAATGAAGGAGATTTTCTTCTTGTTTCAAGTTAGAACATTCGAAATATTTCCATATTGTAACTAAACATTCCATGGGATGTGGTCCATAGTAAAATTTTTATATATATTTTTATTATTTTGTAATTTTTTTATTTTTTTTACTTGACCTATGTTTTTACTTTTTTGTCGACCTTGAAGAAAGACACCACATGCGATAATAATAAACCACAGTCACTCAAATAAAAAACGTCAACGTGTGTTGGACATTGTTCTGCTTAAATCAATGTCAATTGTCAATTCAACATAAACCAAAATGCATAAAATAAAAAAATATGTAAAACTTCGCTCAATAAAATCACAAATCACCATAATTAAACGGTACTTCTCGAGTTTTCACAATTTGGCCAAGTTCATTTTGAAGAGTTATAAAATCCACCTATTTTATTAAAAAGCACTAGAAAAAAAAAATTTGATAAAAAAGTCACCTGTATTGGATCTACACCACTATCGATTCCCATGTAAGTGCAGGCATTAACAGGAGCATTGTTGTGTAACGAGAGAAGTTTAACTGCTGCCTATGAAAATTAAATCATTTTTTTATGAGCCAAATGTCATCTTCTATTAAACAAAAACATTCATATAAATTGTCTGAATAAATCACAAACTCTTAAATAAGTTCCAAATGCCCACTGACTTAACACCTATTTATGATCCCACTGATTTCTATGATTGATGAAAAGATAAAAACAGTGAGGGTGAGGAGAATGAACATACACCTTCATGTCCTACATTACGCTCAAGCTTTGAATAGCTTTAATTATGATTAGAACTTTTAGAAGATATATCCCAATCAACAATTGATTATTTTGATATACATATGAACTCCAAATGCCCAGAAAGATGATCACATTAGCTGAGCATAGGAGAGTTTTGAATTGAATTCATACAAACTTGTCTTACCGAAGTTGAAAAAAAGACAAATCCTGAAACTAAAGAAACCATATCGCCTGCTATTCCGTCACCTTGAGACTCAATCAAACATGATCTAACATTCTCCTCAGTACCTTGATATATAATATCAACCACAGATCCCTGGTCAACAAAGAAAATATTGTTTGTATTTTCACTAAAATTATATACAGGGTGTTCATAAAGCACTGTATCAAAGTTGATAAAAGAACTTCGATGTGGTTTGTACAACTAATGGAGGCCATATAGAAGTGTGTTAAATAAAGTAAAAAGAACTTAAATAAACATGGATTAAAATAAAAAAAGCTGATTAAATAACATGTATTAGGAAGAGAATTCATAAAGAAATTTTAATTCTAATAGACTTAATAAACACCCTACACAAAATTATAAAATTTTCAAAATGTCATATTTTAATACATATTTTTTGATCATGACTGAAAAACCTGCATATTTGAAAACAATTTAAAACTGGTTCCACAGTTGTTCCTAAATTATTTTTGGAATTTTTTATTTTATTTAATTCACGTTATTCATTCATTTATTTACACTTCAAAATCAAGTATTCCAGGCAATTGGGATTTGTCAAATTTGGCTCTGTGCTAGGCACAAATATACTGGTGAGAATATTTGCATGGTTTTTGCGTCAGATTTTAAAAATCTTTTCAATCTAATATTCTACACACAGATATATAGTTTCACGAAAAATTCACCTTTTCATCTATTTTATAAACTCCATGCTTCATTGCATATTCTACTGTAGCTGGTACAGATATACAATGTATACCAGATGAAAAATCTTCGTGACTAACATCTGGAAATAGAATTTTATAAGTACGTTGTGCAAGCATAATTATGTACCATAATATTTGCAATAATGTAAGAATATGTATACCTATAGTTATTACGAGATTTAAGATATAAAGTAGTTTTTGAAAACCAAACATTTCATGGTACATCTCACCCGTACCATAATTTAAAGAAAATATCTGAAGAAGGAGTTAGACATTGTAGAAGAAGACTTGTAAGATAAATATGTATAATATAGGCTATACCGTAATTACAGGATGTCCAAAACGAATTGATAATTCAAATTCATTCTAATTTCATTATATTCTTTATAGTAAATCTTTGAATTTAAGAATAATTTAAAACATTCTCATTAAAAAATTAGGGATTTTGATCCATCTAATTGCAAGATATCCCAATTTCTAATAAACTACACAGAAAAAACAAGGACCTTTATATTTATGTCGTTTTAGATAATAATGATTATGTAATTTTCCACATGAACTTGCCCCCAATTTAGAATGTAATCGATATTTCATATTCAATAAATAATTTCGAATGTGTTCGAAATAGTGAAATATTCGGGTTTGGGCATCCCTGGCATATAAAATTGTAATTAAACTAAGGATGGAAGTTTGCTATTTATTCCAGAAGAAAAGAAATTAGTAACATAAATTACATACGCCAAACCCATATGACCCCCTTCTTAATTACCTGCCCTGATAAGTTGATTTTTACGGTGCATGAAGTGGGACAAATGATTATGGTTCTCCAAACCAAGCATTCAAAGAAAAATTTTATATCGCAGAAGAGCATATATAGTATTAAAATTTCAGTGTTATAGAATAGGATTTTCATTTTATCCGAGGAAGATAATAGAGTTGACAGGACTACTCAGTAATATGGCATATCACAAATTTTTCTCCAATTGCCTGCCTAGAGCGGTTTAGTAAGTAGTTAACAAAGTGTATGAAATATGGACAAATGTCAATCCACTTGCACATAGTTAAATCCCACAGAATTGGGATATGCTAATCAAGGTTAGGTAATCAGCGATACAATGGCAAACCATTCCAAACGCTTATCATGGTGCAAAAAAGTGGAGCTTTTGTGAAATGCACAGAATTAAGTTAGTAACATGGTCAACAACAGTACTTTAAGAGATAAATTATGAGCAAAATTTATTTTAAATATCTCACCAATATCTGATGGTAGAGTCAGAATCATGTCGCTACTGCAAACCCAAAGTCCAGGTGGTGATTTGGAGTTCAACTGCATAGAAATATCAAAGTTAATATTTATTATTAATGCATGAGAACATGAGGGGGGGGAGGGGTACGTTCGTCTGACAATGTTAGCATGGCAGATAAGAAACCTCAAGTTTAATTCCCATGTTTCTTGCCTGATATCTCATACATCCAATTTTAAATTGGGTAGGTATGTCAAAAAAAAAGTTTGACCTTCAAAACACGAGAATCAGGATTACGAAACGAGGGTGTTTTAAAATCGGAAATTTCCATGCAATAGCTTCTCAAACGATCACTGAATTATCAAGCGCTCATCAGAGCCGACCATAAAATTATCATAGTTAATAAACACCCATAGAATTCACATTTCAAGCCAAACAAGTCTCTTATCAAGCAGCCACAGATATCTCACAATAAGTAAAAAGCTACTAATATTTCGGAATTACCGGAATCCTTACGGATCGGCATTGCCCTGACATACATAAATTATTACACCCTGGGTGAGGTGGGGGACATGGGTATTATATCAGAGATGTGTGATTTGCGATGCCAACACAATTAAGTCTAACACTTTAACGACTCCAGGATGGGGATTGGTTGTGATCCACGAGCCACCTGCTTCACACCTCTGGACTAGACCATAGCGTCACCCTATTAAAAAGCTTGTTTGCATTTCACCTGATTGGTGACAGTTTGATAAATTGCATCGAAAATTGTGAAAACATCTTCCATTTCTTCATTACTTCTTGAGACTGGAAGAGAAACGAATGCTCGTCCACACGGGTCATGAAAGAAATATCGGCCCTGAAAAAATCAACATGGAAGTAATCAGTCAACGTATTATTGAAGAGAAATGAAACACACTTCGGAAATACAAATTTTTTTTTCATCCAACTTTTATTAACTTCAATCCTGTGTTAGAAATCAACCATGTTCAGTAAAAGATAAACATCATTGAAAGAAAGTTGCAAATGACCTCTAGCATGCTGCTATGTACCAAGAGATCTGCTGTGAGGAGTAGGCCTATCATCCATTAATCTTTTGTTATACGAGAAACACAAGAAATTAATACAGTGCAAGAAGAAATAATATATATCAACATCTGTTTCAATGAAATAAGCAGCTTTTGGATCTTCCTAGTAAGTTGCCGAAACTTACTTTATTCAGTTAATTGTGATTTTTATCGAAAGTTCAAGTCTTGTAGTGAAATGATATAGATATATACTTACTAAATGGATGATCAGGATTCTTGTATTTTCAAGAATATCTGTGGAGACAACCTGGAAAAAACATGATATAATTTTTGTCCTTTTCTCCAAACATCGAAGATGAAGTGTTGAGAAATTGAATACATACTAGTATCACCACTTTTCCAATCTTTATCAAGTTTTGAAAAAATATATCAGAGATTACCAATATTGATGGAATAACTTCAAAATTTACTGTTTTTGCAAGAATTAATATTAATGTCGAAATGTTCAAGTCAAAATTTAAACTCTATGAAATTGAGAGAGTCAAAATTTTTTTTTACTCAACCTCACCTGTAATCATTTTAAATCTGGACTCAGCGCCAAAGTAATTTTTTTAATCATTATATCATTTATATGCAGCCCATGAAATTATTCACTGATTCAAATATTTATAGTATATCTTTCTGCATCAGCTAATTGGATATGAAGTCATGTGAGATTCCTAAGCATATTTATTAAAAGTGTTCAAAAAAATGAATGAAAACATAAAAAACAATTATAAATTTTTTATTTCCCTTAACTTACTGTTAATTCATTTTTCGCAGACAAATGTTCTGCAACCACAAGTAACGCATTCAATGTTGCTCCTCCACTTCCGAGCCCTTCTTGTGGATCTTCTACACAGAGTAGAACAACATCTCTGGGAAGCCAACCTCTCTTCTGACGTAAAACCAGCTCTAAAAGGAAAAGGAAATCATAAAAAAGGTAAATCCCAGGAAGCAAAGACATGCATGCAGGAGCGAAGCCAGGATTATCCAAAAGGAGGGTTCAAAATTGGAACTTCCATGCAAGGGTCTCTGAAACAGCCCCAATTACACCATTTCTTAAAAGAGTTGACTCTTCCAGCGAATAGTAATATTTCTGCTGCGCAAATATTCAATCCACGGCAGATAGCATTTTGAATGTCTTGCCATAATAAATTTATTGTATTCAACTTAACACATGCCTGAATCGAATTACTGAATCAAAATGAAGTGAATATTACACAAACATTTGAAAATTTTCCAAAAAATATGAAGACTATTTTTTCTTGGAAAAAGCAAATTTTACATAAAGTTCACAAAACTTTTTAATAGAAAATCAATTTCAAATTTTAAACCTGCCTATATACTTCACATTAAACATCTTTCATGAGTATGATTTTGTGTTCATATATCAAACCCTTAATGATGGCCGAGATATTTGTGTAACAATCGCACTGACCTTTTCTGACAGCATCTGCATGATCAGTTGTTTTACAAGTTACAGCAATCGCATCCCAGGACATTTTCAATTTATTTGTTGATGATGATGCTCAATATTTGAATCAGTTCAATATCTTTATTAACATCTTGGTTCAATAGGACCTTGTGCAAAATAGCTAGCAATTACAACTGAAAAAATAAGATGAGAGAAGTTGAACTCTTAGTATAGAACTGGGGTGGACAAAGGAAAGAAAGATATCAGATAGGCCTATATATTAGACAAAGTAAATTAAAATATCAACTGACACAAATTATAGCAGGTAATTAGATAGCCTACACTGATTTTTTCAAAACTGTCTGCAGACTTGGGCCTGAAATAGGCTGTTTTTTGGCTTGTTTACTTTCATTATGGAAAAAGTTTGTTTACATACAGGGAAGATGTGAACAGATCAAACATTTTACAAATATGGTATGCCTTTCCAAGATATGATTGTCAATAATGACCTGGCAAAAGCAGACATAGCTTATTAATGAGCTTATATCAAAAAAGAGGGGATTTATTGTTTCGTGCAATATTGCAATAATAATAAATAAGAAGGTACTATTCAGTACAGACTGGGGCTGTGGGTACGACATGTATGGTCATCTGAGTCAGATCTCCCATACAACTGTACAATGCCATATTTATTTTTATGTAGCCTATAAGCTTTAGAGTTAATGTATGTGAACAATGTAAAAATTACCGTACTAATTGTTGCAGAGTTGACTAGTTCTTTTACAGAATATTTTCTGTGTTGGCTTCTGATATTATTCTTAAAGCTATTAATATTATGTTTGAAATATTATTGAAATTATTTGGTCACCAAATGCGTTTTAGGCCGTATACCGGTAACTTTGATACATAGCAGCACACATCCTCCGTCATGAAAAATAGGAAAGCCATCTTTCCAAGCCCATGCACAGATACCCAGCAGTTGACTGCAAACATTGCAACTTGCACTAGTCTAGACTAGTTGGTCATTGCCGAGCAATTTCGATGTAACCCAATGCTTGCAACGCAAGGTTATTGTTGTTAAATGTCATCAACATTCAGAGAAAAAGTTGTTGCTAAATTCTATAGAATGAGGTGACGCAAGATGAAATAAAAATTAAAAAAATACAATATATGCAATAATTTTTTGATATGGCGCGGATGTATCATATTGCTGCATTTCACTATTCACTCAGTCGCGACACCTAGCGATTACTCAAAACAATGAAAACATGCCCTACGTTGCGGTAGAGAGTTGAAGTCAACAAGAGGGGAATCCCATTTTTATTGAGCATGTTCTCAAGAGATTGCTCCAAAGCGATACCTCAGTTTCGCTGTCTGGCTATTGCCCCGGCGGTTTAGCGGGATGCAGAAATATGCAGCGGGATGCAGAAAATTGCCCCGGCGGTTCAGCGGGATGCAGAAATATCGCAGGAAATTATTTGGCACAATCCATTAATCTTAGATAGGAATAAAACTGAACTAACTGCAAAATTAAGTTGGGTCCAAGCAAAAATAATAACAATTGGTGATATACTTGACAAAACGTTTGATAGCCTATCCAAAAGAATTTATCCGCAAATACAAAATAATACAATGAATACGTTTAGGAGAAATAGTTTACTAAATAAGTGTTCAAATGAGTTAAGGCAAGTATGGGAAGCTCTTCCGATAGAATGGAGAGAAATCCTATCAAGAAATAGAGAAAATAGTCCAACGAGGTTACTTATCAATAGGTACAATGGGTTGAAAGACTTATCCACTAAACAAATTTATAAGCTTTTGCAAAGAAAGAAAAACAGTGCATTTTTGAATAATCACAATGAATATATCATGAATAAATTTCAACTAACCAAGTCCATTAATTGGAACAAAATATGGAACATTAACATAGGAAATAAGTATAAGGAGTTGTGTTGGAAGGTTATTCATGATGGACTGCCAACAGGGGATAAAATAAAACACTGGTTCATGAATGAACCAGGTATATGTGTTATGTGTGAATGTAATATTGAAGAGACTTTATGTCATTTATTTTTGGAATGTCAATGGGCTGTTGATTTCTGGCAATGGTGCTGTGTAGAAAATAATCGAATTACTATTTTAGCAAATGATTCGGAATGCAAATCTAAATTAATCACAATAATATGCGGAAAATCAACAATTTGGGAATATAGAAATTCAGTAAAATATGATGAAATAGTTAAAAGTAAAAGTAGTATGCGCTCAATATTCAAATGTAAACTGATAGGAGTTTTAAATTTAATGAAAACAATTGAAAGAAATGATTTACTATTGTATGAACTATTGTATTGGATGATCTCATACATAGGTCAATCATGATGTGACATGACATTGACATTTTCTATGCAACACCAACTTAAATGGATAGTACATGAAAAGATTCCAATGTCCAAATTTATGCATCATTTTGATTTAATTCATACATAGATAGTGAATAGAGAAATGCCAAAAAACCCACTTTGGCTGTTTTCTGATTTTCTGTCTAATGTTCTAATTTCCATGCAAAAACTAACTAAATCGATTAATTATTGGTAACTATATATAAAATGTGTGCACGAATTGGATGACGACTGATAATATGGATTAACCTATATTCAATGGATATAAATTGGACTATATATGATACAAAACTCCGGTAATGGTATGGTTTTATATTTTAATTGTTACATATATTATTGAACTTGTGGGCAATGTGTTTTGAAATTATGAAATTGTTTTAATTGGGTGCAAATTATACTAATTCGACAATAAAATTAATATACGAAAATTCAGTTTGGCATTGGAATTTATTTGAAAAAAAAAAAAAAAAAAAAAAGGTTTAGCGGGATGCCTCTGCATCGTCAAATTAAAATATGATGGTGATCCTGTTGATGTAAACAATTGTTGCAAAAATATTCATAGAGGTATCTTGGCGAATTATGTAAAAACGTTCAATTTCAAGATTATGTGGAAAATTCTACCTTTAAAAACTAAACCCAAAATAAAGTTTATTGCGGGTAATGATATTTGTGTTCTATGTAATAAAGAACCTGCATTTGTTTTGGAAATGTTTATTCATACAGGACATATATGATTATATTTATGATATTATCATTAAGTTTTGTAATTGTCAATTTTTAAAAACGTTTCGAACATGCATAATGTTGGATCTGGGTGGACAGGAGTATCAAAATGCTACTTCTTCTCAAATAGAAGCTTTGATATTGCTCCTGTCTACTGTTAGATTTAAAGTATGGATGGAACGAAATAATGTTATATTTCAAGGAGTTGCTCCAGATGTAACAAGGGTGAAAGAAAAAATTAAAAGGGGGTTAAAACACAGACTTAATTTAGAAAGAAATAGAAATGATACCGGTAACAGATATGTTAATATATTGAATATATCATGCCGATGTTTATGATAGATGTAAAATAAGATTGTTTTAAATTAATTTATTACCAATAGTGTGAATTATTCATTTGCTAATTGTCATTTTTGTTTTTTATGTAACTATTGTTAATAACCTAAATATTTGATTATATTAATGATATGAATTTGAAAAAAATTGGATGATACTAATGCTGAATGGAACATACAATAATAATGATGGGGATCATATTGGATGATGAACCTTATTGTATTCTTATATCAACACATATTAGAAAAAAAAAAAAAAAAATATGATGATTATGGAAAAAATGGGATTATGGAATAAATGGACGATGATTGATTCTTCCTGTGATGTATAGCGATGTAGGCTATAAGCCTATAACGTATTAATAATGTACTGTTGGTAATTCTTTTTGATATTATTTCATTTATGTTGTCTTGCACTTTGTTTTCGGCATTTAGATAGATAGATTTCGATGATTCAACGACAAAAAAAAAAATATTTTTGCTGGATATCGGTATGGAAGAGGGTGGTCCAAATCCAGGCCCGCTGGCCACATGTGGCCCGCCGCTTCATTATCTGTGGCCTGTGTCGCATTTGCGCCAGGATGAACAAAAAATTGCATTTGGTGTTGTTTCGTCATAAAAACAACCAGAAAAATCTTTTAACATATTGTTACATCACTAATCTCACTGAATTGACCAGTGTTTTGGCTAGCTGAGGCAACTAGCAAAGTTGAATGATGTGCTTGGCAGTCTAAATTTTTTTTTTTTTTATAGATAAAATAATGGTATAGGTAAATCGTTAAATACAGATGAGACAGAATAAATTCCATAATAAATATCGAGCATTTGTATCCATTTTGTAGCATATCCGTTGTAAATCCCGTTTGTCAGTTTGTTGTCATCATCAAATATATGTTCCATGATGCCATTTACCATTATTTTAATTAATGCATGAAAAAGAAAATTTTAAGACTTATTTCCACTTCATTACGATAAACACTTTAGTCTAAATTTTTATCTAGCTTTTCATCTTTTTGGTCAGGAATATATGCTAACAAAATAGGCTTCATAGAAAACTGAGAATCGATTGAGGAATCTATTAGCCTAGGTTGGCTATGCCTGATAACTAAATATTAATGTTATGGCCGAACAATGCAATTACCGCCGGGTAGTTTTTGTAACCATTCTAAACAGTAATACAAAAAATGCTGCCTATATGTCAGAAAATTTAGTAATTACCCTCTTGTATCTCAAATTTGGTAATCAATCAATCTGTAGTTACTTGTTGTAAGTTATTTTGTAAACATGAGTTTGAAAATAAAGCTGACCCATTCAAACATATTTTTGACTGGGTGTGGGAGGGAAAATACCACAATACTTGCTTGATATGTCCGCAAGTTGTGTCGGTGACAATCTAATACGTCAGATTCGTATGACACTTTCTCAGTTTTAAAAAGTTTGAAATCTTACACTAAATGTAGATATAGTAAGATTTTTGCACCTTTTGTGAGTTTTTTTTTTTGTGGTTTTTGCATGCTTTAGCTTAAAAAAAATGTCAAATAATGATCAATGTATGTATCGTATCACAGGTCTGAACCGCAGACTGAATTACCATGTGATAAGTGCGCTTATTTTTTAATGCTATTCATAATTCAGTAATTTGACTGCAGTACTGCACCCTAATACAGTAATAGCCAAATGGTTGTCCTGATCCCTCTCAATGTTATATTGATATTTGAACTTCAACTTTGTTTTTCCCAATTCCGATCCATCAATTTAATATTTACCTAGAAAATAAACTAGGACAACTTTATTACCATACAATTTATTTTTTAGTTTTTGTTGCTTTTATTCTGTCAAACTATATCGTATAGTTTTTTTTTGTAAAAAGATGGTCCTGACACAGAAAGAAACCCATGCGTTGGTTAGAGATTTTTACAAATTTGCGAAAGAAAAATCGATGGTTGGGAAACCGATTGACAGATCGATTTTAAAGTCGGGAATTTATACTGAATTCAAAGAAATTAGAGTTTCAAACAATTTGAAGATTACAAGCCTGGGAACTGTTCTTCACTTTTTAAAACGAGATGGATATGCAAAGTCTGAAGGAAGAATGACAATTACTTTGATATCAAGCTCGACAAATCCTACTCCAAAGCCGGATGTTGTTGCTGATGCGATGGCAGTCGAAAAACGAAGAAGACGAAATAAGAAAGACAAAGCTAAAGAAGTTTTCAAGCAACTTTCAAACTATGTTGAGCATGGCAGTGAAGAAACTAAAAGCCTCGAAGTTATAGCCGTCCATCCAAGCTTTATCTGTAATGAAAAAGGATCAATTCAGTTCATTCATTCGGTTGAAAACAAGGAATCTACGATGAGAATTCAAATTAAAAACAATTCATCTAACAATATACTCATCTACAATTGTAGAGTCTTATCGAAACATGCCGAGTTTGATATAACTGATATATTTCCAGAGGGAAAGAAAAAAAGAAGGATAAGACCTGGTCGTGAAACTACTATTAAAATTATGTGTAAAAGTTACTTGGAGAATGTAGGTGCATTAACAACTGAATTACTGTTACAGTATTGCTCAACGGAATCACCAAAAAGAAAAATGCTAACTCGGGTTTATTTCATACGCTTTGAAAAATCCAATGATTTAGTTAAAAAGTTGATGCCAAAAAATCCATATGTAAAGCCTGTTACTACTGTAAGAAAGCAATATACTGAGATTGTTCCAGGAGTACGTCCACCGAGTTTATCAACTGACAAATTGGAAAGAAAGCTTAAATTAGCCGAATTCAATATTCCGACAAATGTGAAAAATGCTCTGAATGAAGGTGCTTTTGTTCGAGATGCCCAACCTTCTGGTTACAAAGCCATGAGAGAATTAATTGAGGCTTCGTTGGATAAAAGCAATTACGCAGAAAAGTTTCATCTCTTGCTTTATCTTGAAGAACTTCAAAACATTGTTGACATTCGTCGCTATGATATGTCATCAGTAAGAATGACGAAAGAGGGGAAAATGCTATTTCTTGAAGTCCCAGGACTGGCTGAAAAAAGGCCTTCAGTGCTACGGGGCGATCGCATTTTCGTCGCTGTGAAAGATGCAAATGGTTCAGAAATAAAGAAAGAATACGAAGGTTATGTTCACCATGTTGAACGGGATAGGATTGCCTTGGGTTTCAACCAGAGCCTCCTTTCGAAGCATACAAATAAAACAAAATACAGCGTTCGTTTCACCTTTAATCGTTTGCCAATGAAATTAGCTCACAGAGCTGTAGGAATGAGATTTTCTGATCAGATGATTTTTCCTCGTAAATGCAATGCTCTCTATTCTGATATTAAAATCAGAAAAGACGAACTGAAGAATGTGAAAATATCGTTAAATCCTGAGCAAACTATGGCTGTGAATAATATAGTTCGTGGAAAATCAACTTCAGTGCCATATATTGTGTTTGGACCACCAGGTACTGGGAAAACTGTCACTATTGTTGAATCAATTCATCAAATTATTCGTTTTTATGAAGGATGTCATGTACTAGTTTGTGCGCCCTCCAACAGCGCATGTGACCATTTGACCAAATTACTACTAGAAAACGTTCGCCATGATGCAATATTCAGAATGCATGCAGCCTCTCGTGCTTGGAAAGATGTTCCACATGAAATACGCCATGTCTCCAATTATAAAGACCGGGAGTTCTATTTTCCACCGAAAAGAGATCTCAGTAACTATGAAATCATTGTTTGCACTTTAATCACCTCTGGTCGACTTGTATCTGCGAAGTTTCCTGATGATCATTTTACGCATATCTTTGTGGATGAGGCGGGACAAGCGACGGAGCCTGAATGCATGGTTGCATTGGCTGGAAATCTTGCTCAGGGAGGACAGGTAGTTTTAGCTGGCGATCCAAAGCAGTTAGGACCTGTTATCATGTCTGCTGCTGCTAGGGAATACGGACTCGGAATTTCGTACCTTGAACGACTCATGGAAACAGAATTACTGTATCAGAAAGATCCTGAAACTCAGTCTTATAATCAACAGCATATCACGAAACTCCTAAACAATTACAGGTCACATAAATCAATAATAAAAGTTCCTAATGATTGTTTCTACGACAGCGAATTGCGATATTTGGCAACTGAAGTACAATCTTTTTGTAAGTGGACATGTCTTCCTCAACTAGGCTTTCCTGTCATCTTTGAAGGTATTTGTGGTGAAGATTTACGTGAGAGCAGTAGTCCCTCATTTTATAATCCACATGAGATATCAGTTCTTGTCGATTATGTTCGCAAAGTCATGGATTTCAAAATAGCCGCTCGGAATATTGGGGTGATAGCACCTTATCGAAAACAAGTAGAAAAAATTAAGCGAGAATTGTCCGATCCAAACATTAAAGTTGGCAGCGTGGAAGAATTTCAAGGCCAGGAAAGAGAAGTCATTATCATCAGCACCGTTCGTAGTGATTCTAAACATCTGTCTTTCGATGCAAAACATAATCTCGGTTTTTTAACAGACGCAAAACGTTTTAATGTTGCTATAACTCGTGCAAAGTCACTGTTAATAATCATTGGCAACCCTCATATTCTCGGCCTCAATTTTTACTGGAAAACGCTTCTTGAATACTGCATAGAAAAGAACGCTTATAGGGGAGTACAGTTTACTAAAGATGAAAAAAGAAGTATCGATGTGGATGAAATTGATAATTTAATGAACGAAATGGAAGATTTGGAACTTGAAGATGATTTCTCAGATTCTGACTAATTTTATTGAATTTTCCCAAAAAATAGCTTCGTTCTTTTTTTCTCGTACTTGCTGTAAATTCAATTGTTTTGCTATTATCACTACATTATACATTTCTTGTCGCAAGTATTATATCAATATATTTCAATTTAAGTCGAATTACTCAATTGTTGTCTTCGAGCTGTAGTTTTATCAATGTTCCAAATTTGAATGTTGATTCAAAATTGTACGAATTGTAATGTTGCGATTTTTATGTAGTTTGACCCTCAAATGATTTTTAAAACAAATTCAATATTATTGTTTTAAAAATATTAACTATTAGTAAATTTTTTGACATTTCGTATAGTGCTTCCGAAATTTCCACATTGTTAAAAACTGTACTGTTCTTATGTATTACTATTATGCAATATTTAGCATTTTTCATTTCGAATTCCTGCCTACTAAATTGATGAATTTTTTAAGAGTCATTGCACATTGGTATAGCAAATAATTTCTTTCATCCAGCTCTCAATTGGAGTCACATATGAATATGATAATAGCTACCCAGAGTGGGGTTAGTGTTGGCAACCACTCTCCATAGCAAGTATGCAAGCCTTAACCCCAGATCACTAGGTTCTCACTAACACTCAGACAACTTTTTACTTATTTTATGTTCAACTAAGTAGTATGGTTTATGCTGCATCACTCTGTACTTGCCGTACAGGGATATTCAAAACGGAAAAAATTAAAATCTATTTTTATTCTGATTCCTGATTTTATGAATCATTTTTATTAGTTGCGTTTAAAATTCAGCATTTCAAATTCACCTTTCATTTTATCTGTGAATGCTGAAAAATATAGATAGAACAATCGAATTATTTGTTTCCTTACATTATTTCCTAATTTACTGAATATCCATTAACTTCTGTGTTAATTTGATCATTTAAAAAATATTTCATATTTTCGAAAATACTGTTTTGGATCGTATTTAGAATAAATGGTAAATCATTTTCATAGTATGTCTACAAGCACCATGGTATCTCCTATATGTTTTTATCAATCATTTTTGTAGTCCGTTATGGTGATTCTGAAGTCGATATAAAAATTGACCTAAAACTAGGATAATCATTTTTTTCATTGCTCTTAATTCAGTGCTTTGCTTGCTAATACACTTTAAATATAAAAAAAATACTTTTTAGTAAAGCGTTTTGGTGACTTCCTACATTTTTTTAGGGTTCAGTTCAAAAGAATTGGGTTAAACCTAATCGCCATACTTTTAAGCTTCCGAGGATTTTAAGCAAAGACGGGAGGCCACTGTGTACGTGACAGAATATGAATACTCGTAGCTTAAAATGTCTATGAGTGATAGCAATGTAAACGAATGTAACATTCTTTACAGTAATCAATGGGGCAGTATTTGCATTGAGCTCAAAATGTAAACTACACGGCTCTCTCAGTGTAAGGTTAAGTGCTCAGGTGGATATTGAGATATTTTATCGGCGCATGCTGAACCTGTCATAACATATAGAGGCGCTTTGAGTGTGAATGTAAACAAGTTCGGCTTTGTATAATGACGATTGGCGTCGAACCGACCACACCGCGCAAATAAGTACCTCATCACTGCAATGTCGTCATATGTCACGTTTCTTAGTGTCTCGTCGCATTTTGGATAAGTGAACGACGACCTGGTTATGTCCAATTGCTAGTCCGGCCATTCGTTTCGAAATTTAGAAATGAATCTCATCGCGCCGCTCGGAGATGTTAAAGTGCCTGCGTCCAGGCAAAATGACCTTACTTTCAACGATAACTCAATCATTTCTTGTCGAAATGGGGTTATAATTTCTCAGTATATTATTCATTTGGCACCAAACTTTTATTGCGAGTTTCGAAACATTTCTACTATTGAAACATTCCATTTTTATTTTCATCTGGCCATTATCCCTCATTGCCTAACTTCGGACAGTCATATTTCTACTGAGTAACCGCTATTTAAGGAGATAAAAGAAATCCCTAGCTGAAGACATTTAAATTTAGTGTATGACACCACTTCCGTATCGACGGCGTCTACTGTATGTATAGGATAGCATTTCCATACAAGGGTTCATATGCGGCTATATATATATATTTATAATGTTAGGACTTTGGGTTTATATGCGGGTATATTTATTTATAATGTTAGGAAAACTTCTCCGGTCACATCTGGTCCGGTCATGGAAAACTTGAAAAGCAAATCACATATACGCATGTGCAATCTGTGACGTCAGTCTCGTTTCTTTTTAGCCACACCTCGTATATGTCTTTTCCGACATATTCCGTCTTTTCAATAACATTACCAGGTAATCTTGACATTCATTGATGTCTTTTCCGACATATTCCGTCTTTTCAATAACATTACCAGGTAATCTTGACATTCATTGATTTGCAATTGACAATTGGGGCATTAATTGAAGAAAAAGGCGATTTTTTTCATGACAATAGGAATTTTTTTAACATAAAGAACAATAACAACATATTAAAAAAACCATCCACTGGGCCACCCCATGTCCGTCAAGACATAATCACAACCTCGGCTACAAATTTGTCCACCTATTTCACTATTGCACATTGACAATCAGTACATTGTAATCTAAATTTAGAACCAAAAATATGGCCTGTTTCCAATCATTGCAGTATGAACCACAATTAAGGAGTGAAAGGATATTTATTGGGATTCCCATTCAACATTCCATGCAATGTTTACTGAAGTTAATCTGAAGTTTTACATACATGAATTCAGTGTGGTCGATATATTTGTATAGAACCCGCTACATTGAGTTATTAAAATGAATTAAAAATCTTGGATTGTATGATGAAAAAATTTTAGATTTCACCTTAAGAATAACCCAGTTATCCTATAGACCTATAGTCTAGTCTAGTCACTAGTGCCACAGGAATCAGTTATGTATTGTCAACATTTAATAATCTCAAAACAATTCTACATGAAACCGTCAAATAGTTGACTGAAAGGACAAAAAAAAATAAATTAGCTACAAGTCTTTCTATAAATATCATTTTCAACGCACCATTTGCTGTCCTTTTTCGTGATCCCAATTCAAGATATAAGTTGATGTAAGCTATAATTTATGAAAATAACATTGAATTGATAATGTCGCGGACCATAGCGTCAACGTTTATAATGTGTGTATATATATTTTTATGTTTATGAACTGTTATGCTGAGCCTTATTCAATGCTGGTTTGTCGGATCTGGTTTTGATTTTACTGACTCGAGCTACGCGAAGATCGAAAGATCTATGAGAAGGTACGGGGGAAACCGGGAGTCTAGTGTAGTGTATTTCTAGTGGGCGTGGCGTAACAATTTTTGCATATGTTATTTTTGACTACGTCGTTCAAAAATTACGTCACTGCCAGGTCACAATCACATGAATACAAGGAAAATTACTGTCTTTAGTGAGTTCGTTCTCATAGACGCCATCATTTATATAGGATTATTTTCCAAAACTTTAAGCTGATCCCGGAGCAAAGAAAAATACGTAACCAATAGTTAGTAACCCTGGAGGTAATTCCAATTTTTCCAAACACTTGCAATAGTTTGAAAAAAAACTTGAATTTCAGTCGCAAATCGGAAGTTTGTTCCGGGAATATCACAGAGAGGTAAACTTACATTCTGAATTCTTGCATATCTGTTTCACAGCTTTATCTATCGTCTACTCTACCCTCTATGATACAATTATGTCACTGATGCGTTGTCTCTGTTTTTCTAAATCTGAAAGATCACCAGATCACGCACGAAGAATTTGCGATGATTAATATTTTTCACTAATCTGAGCTCCTTATTATTGGATGTTATAAGTGAAAATGCCATTTTGTGAATATTGAAAACAAGCGCAAAACAAAGTCAGTATTCATCAAATTGTTCGAGTGATGGATACAAACTGAGAACATTTTCATAGAAGTTCATGAAAAAAGTTAAACCAAAATTGAATAATTTTTCCATAACAACTTAATATTTGTTGATATAAATAATAGTTATCAATCAATTTATCAGGTAAGATGCATGATCAATCATACTAATGCTCTAATTTGCATATTTCTTTTGGATGATACGTTTCATAAGAACCAAAATTAAAGAAGTTTATAGTTTGTATATCGAATGTATGTTTGATGAATAGAACGCATACGGAACTCAAATTGTCACTATGTTTTTTGTCCAGGTAATAATATGGAGGTGATCTTTGTGTAAGCCTTGAGTATTTGTGTAGCTTCGATGAGGTTGGTATTTTCGCTTGAAATTCGTTGCAAACTAAATCACAAAGAAGGTAATGATATACGTACTTGAACTTTATTGACTCGTTGCGGCGTGATAAAATGCAAAACAATTACAAAGACAGTATTGGACACGCTTTTTGAATCAAGGTGGAAAGCAAAGTCTTCTTTTGTTAGAACTGTCAATCAAATTTTTCAATTGTAGCTTAAAATGAAGACTATAGATGGATCGCAATCCATTTGCAAAGAGTTCTGTGTTTTTGAAATGTTCTACATCATCTGCATCAGGCCAGATGTCAATGTGATACCTTTGTTGTTGGGAAATCAAAAGATGACTTAGACTTGCTCAATATTTTATCTAGTATATGACATTCCACCTTTACTATTAGCTTATGTTAGACTTGATCATGAGTATATGTTATCATGAATTCCAAACGTATCATTTTATCTCCCAAACAATAATATTTAGAAGAGGTAAACCGCAGCTCACACTAAATGAGCTGTGGTAAAATTTATAATGAACTACGTGAGTGCTTGGAAAAGTTGGATTAACTCCGGGATTACTAACTATTGGTTACGTGTTTTATTTTGCGTGTTCAGAAATCAGCATAAAGTTCTGGAAAATAACCATTTTTTTTTTAGTTTATTATATGTATCCTAATATATATTTATATTTTTTACTTCAACTTGTATGAATAGAAATATTGACACTATGTTGAAAAATATAAGTAATTTTTTAAACAAGCAAACTATATTGACAGTTCGTCATTATTGCTCGATGTTGAAGAGGTCTGCTAAAGTGTTATATCAAGATACGGATACCAGGTAAAGTGTTAGCAAAATTAATTTGCATACTGCTGGTATGTCTATACATAATGGTTTTATGCGGTAAATTCAGAAGAGTGGGGTCGGTCGTAAGACAGTTATATTTTTTATAGGACGTAGGGAATGATTAAGACAGATAATAATAATAAGAGAGCAATGATTATATACATAGACACGAAAGACAAAACTAAATATTTCACCCACTATTCCCCCAAATCCATATCCTGAATGAAGCTGGAATTATGAAACGGTTACCGAATCTGTGGGTCAACTTCAGTTTAATACAACAAGTATTTTCAGTTGTCGTAGTACAATAACAATTTTTGCATTGCCCCTAACTGACTAAGTCATCCAAAAAGTACGTCCCTACGGCGTCACGTAGTAGAGCTTGCCAAAGTATAGCCACAATTGTCTGTAATGGCGTATATGAGAACGAACTCGACGACAACATTCTTTAACCACTGAACATTTCAAAGCAGTTGGTCTAATTACTTATCCTATTAGTTAAAGGGGAGAGCGTTGTCACAACAACAAGAATAGGAGAATACAAACAACAACAACAACATAACAATAATAATAACAAAACGATCCGTAGGTCTACTCCAATTAGCAATAGAAACTCAATGTAATTTGTTTATTGCCGCATCAGCTGTCACGATAGGCCATAAACACTATAGCTAAAAGTCTGAATCATGAAGTGTATTTCGTATTATATGTTGCATACATAAATTCCACTAAGATAAGAGAATGAGCAAATGTCTCTTGGTTTACCCTTTACTATCCCTTGAATGACGAACACCTGTGCTTTCCTTGAACTCAGTCCTAGTTCGTGTAACGGTTCAATACTTTGGGATGGTTGTAACATTGGTCTGTGGACAATGAAGCCATTCTTGTATTCATTTTTGTAAGTTGTGTCCCCAACATACTGAAACAAACCAAAATGAGAGATGAAACTTTATACATACACAGGTTTTGGAGAGTTTTACTACCTCGGAATGCCTCGCCATCGCAATCTTAAGTTCCCAATCTTTCGTGTGTTCATACACTATTTAATATAATAGTAACACTTTCAATGTTATCAGTTTAGAGCTCGTGTTGTCGGATGGAAACACCGAAGACTGGAAGTCGTTTCTAAATATTTGCGAAGTGGCATTTCATAAGGACGTCATATACAAGCAGATGTATCCAGATTCTGAACAACGTCGGGAATTTTTGAAATATTACTATGAATATTACTACAGGTGCGCATACAAGAACGACTATGGGAAGCTTGCTTATATTCAGGTAATTTATTTACTTCAGGGGTATACAGAAGGCTTATTTAATACAATGCGTATGATATGGTACCACGACAATTTATGGGAATTTTTTACATTGCCAGTATAAACGTGGCTCTGCAGAAGCAGCAAATCGCTAAAAAAGAGCGGTCAGCACGTGTCCGTTATGACATTGTCTGTCCAATTCATTGCGTGTTTTTGTACATATTCAACACACGCTGAAGCGCGCCGAAAAGTATAGTGAACGAGTCACTTCATCGCGGTTAGAAGCAATTTCATTGCATCTCCATATACCAGTTGACTCACAAACTATCAGATTCAATCTTCACGTATAAAAGCATGTGGAAGTGTAAGGAATCCCACAATAATGAAGTTTACGAAATTTACGATGTACGCTTCAACGCATCAAATGTAGAGAAATAGACATAAAATAACGCGCATTATTTCTAATTCAAGGCAAGGAATTTATCTTCCAACACTACAAATATGGTTGGGGGACTAACAATCGTCAATGGGTGGAACGAACGTGAGCACGAGGACCCTCGAATGGCAAAGATAAATGAAAAAGGATGGAAAACATATTTGAGGTCAATTATTATAATTTAATGCTTGGCCATAGCGGATAAATATAGTTTTTTTTTTTTTATAGTGTGCATCGTATGGAAGCTGAATAAAGTATTATTTTCAATATAAATATAAATTATCATCTAACTCCGATAATTCAATGTATGATCAGGTACCAATAGTGGTTTGATTGCCTCTGTTTTATATTGTGTGCTGCAACTGAAAACAATTCAGTAGTTAACCAACTTTGATAAAATATCCACACTACATTAAATCACCAACATGCGTTGTAAACCTTGATAGCATTGAAACAAAAAAATACGATACACAATAGACCCAGTGATCCCAATATTGGAAGACTTAAGAATCTTAATCGCAATAAACTAAAAGATACCTTATATAATTATATTCTCTTCTTTATCTAATTTCACGTCTGTTTGGCATTCTAGATGTATCTAACACAGTAATAATAACTTACATATTAATCCCATGAGTTGTGGCACCAAGCTTATATCAGATTTTTATACAGGCGTAAAAGCTGGGAAAATGCCAACATATTCAGAAAATTTGAGAAGATTTCAAGAACTTTGAACAGAGAGTTGGTATACATATCAAGTTTCGTTCTATTGAACCAATATAGGAGCATCATACCAGCAGGAAGTTGGGGAAATCAATGTCTAAAGCTTCTGTTAGAAGAATATTACGGGAGAAATTGGAAAAATCGGAGTCTTCCTTTTTTCGTAACTAGCTACGGTTATCGAGCGCGTCATTTCACCAGATATCCATGTAAATTAGTGCAAGTTTATCGATGTCACGATGGAAACAATTTCAAAGATACTACGGGCGAAGACTCACTGATTTGGGCTATGGTATTTGGTATTGACGACGTTGGTATCGTGAAGTATATCACTGAGCAGATGTATAATTCTAGTTCGATGGATGCTACCACCCATGACAGGTGTTTTGAAGATCGAATCTGAAATATTAAATACTATTAGTGGAATGTATGTAGAAACTATATGTCAGATAATACAAACTTTGATGAAGTCAACTTCCAAACATTATTAAACTTTGCCTAGTGGGAAGAATTGCTATAAACATTTTCTCATTACATTATTGCTTGAAAGATAAGTTTGAAACACTTTTTGGAATAAATAAATTCAATGTCAACGACGATAATATTTAAAATAGTAAATGGGTAAAAAAGGAAATATAGGAAACGTCGACCCTTCCAAAATTTAGGATGCCATTAACTTGAGAGCTTTATCACGAAACTTCTATAACTGAATAATTTAAAAAAAATTATTTGTGGATTCAACTCAAATGTAGATCACATATCCATACAATATGGGGGAGTAGTTTGATGATAAGAGGAGTTTTCATTATCATTTCAAGGGTCATCTTGAAATCATCAAGAATTTCTGTTTGCTTAATTGCTCCTAAAGTCGATCGGAATTTTGTTGCTCTGTTGTATCGGATCTATCTGTTTCTTTCTGTCTTTTTTACATGCATCATCAGACTGTCGAACTTATCGTGCGTATTTGCACCATTTGTTGCGTTGTGAGAATAGAAAAATGACTTAAAATGCATCTAAACACATGTAATGAATAAGGCCCGTAAAACAATTCTCATAATATGAGACACTGGATCAGATTGACGGTTTTGAGGCTTATTGTATAACATTTCCTATCAATTCAATGTTATTGTCATAAATTTTAGCTTGCATCAAAGTTTTATGTCTCAAATTAGGATCACGTATATATAAGAATCGCACATGGCGCGTTAAAAATGATATTTATGGAACGACTTGTAGTCAATGTCATTTCAGTCAACATTTGAAGGATTCATGTAGAATAGTTATGAGATTATTAAATGTTGGCAATACATACTGATTTCTATTTTGTATCATTTCCCTCGTCATTTGACTGTCAACTTATTTTAAATATTAATTCAATATTTATGTGTCACTGTGTGCTATTTATACTGCACGAGAAGAAATGTTTGGAGGTGAGAACTTTGCAATAAATTTAATAATAATATTTCGTATAACATGCACTGAATATGATATTTATAGAATAAACAATAAAAACTGGTATGTTGCAATCACTTAACATGAACCAAACAAATAGAGTCGGAATAACAACTGTACTTTTTCTTTCACAAAGCGAGGTATCCAAATAGAATATAAACATGATTGACATCAAACATTTAAAGAATTGTTAAATTGTAACGGTAATCAGCGTTTGATTATCTTGTCTTTATGATCTCTTTCATTGAAACGAGATGATTGGGAACGAGACGAGACACCAAGTTCATGAAGTTTATTGTAGAATTCGATGACACTATTTCGAGACGGCTTTGGTTGCATGAAGTAGTACCAGATGATCCATTGTCCTGTGATAAAGCAATAATCAAGAGTAAAAGTGAAAAGAGCGAAAGTTTACTATGGCGACATGAAAGTAACGTCTCTGATGTTCACAGCAAAATCAATCACTCAAATATGTAGTAATCAGTAGTTTATTTTATCCACCATACATGAAAGACCATACACTAATTAATACAGTATGTACAAAGAGGCGAAACTGGTACGCCAAGGTGAAAAGGAGTCGCGAGAAACCAAGACTGGTTATCGAGCAGCGACACCCGTGAAAAAAACCTAACAGTAATTGATAATAGCATAAAAAAAATAGAAAAACTAGCAAAAGAAAATAGGAAGAAATTACAATTGAGGCGACCTGATTTTCCAGGAGGCGCCCGATACACAGAAACAAATAACGACTCCTAGCACCGATGTTCAAGTTACCATGGAAACAGCAGCAGGAGTGCAAGGCGACGACAAAGTATTACTCATTGCCGTTACTGCGTTGCTCATAATGGATCGTGACGCCGGTGGTTGTTGGATGGTAGTTTCCATATTTATCTCAGGAGAGTGAGAATGCCTTTAAGAAGGCGTAATACCAGTCGGAGGTGTTTGCAAGTGTTTAGGTAAGGTGCTGGAATCGTCATAAGTTATTATTAGAATACATAAAATATAAAAAAAAAAAGTATAATCTGAGGAGAACAAGTTCCCTTAATAAAATAAATGTAACGTAGCAACGAGAATATCGGTCAGAGCCCGAAGACTTATCGGTCGAAAGTTAGGGAATCCCCACAGCGCTCTTACTCCATAGTGACACCTTGTGTCCCATCACTAATGAACAATAACTCGCTAAGTATACGACATAATTCATCCAAAATCAATAGGCTTCTGGTCCGACATATGATGAATGCACATGCAAAATCTGGAGCAGATTCAATCTCGCTTCCGTGAGATACTGCGTGCATCTAACAGACAGACAGACAGACAAATACCTATCAACATACTTACCGATTATAATCGATAAGAAATAAGTAGCATTGTGAGTTGGCCAACATATGTACCGCATTGAAATCAGGAGTATTATATACATTGAATATCAACAATGGTATTAGAGAAATATCAAAAACAAAGTACAATACCAGTGAAATTGGAAATATGCTAGCATCTTACAAGATAGCTATTAATTTTTACTTGAACAGAGACCAATAATATGGATCATAAGCAAGACAAGATACCGGTGTAAGATTTGACTTCAGCCTATAAAAGCCTATCAGTCCCTTACAAAGATTGTGAAATCATTAATGGATTTAATTATCATTGTAGTACTCATATCCATGCAGTAAGTAGTGCATGGAATGCTTTATAAAAAAACAGATGAGCATAAATAAACAGCTTCAATATTTACAAGAAACATTCACAGAGTCTTTATTTCAGGCACTGTGGACACACTCAAGCGTTTTGCTGACAGTGACAAGAGAAAAAGCTGTTAGCACATCAAGCGGATGTACTGACAGAAAACAGGTGAGTTGAAAGCATAACTTTTTTATATTTTATTTTGAAAGAGGCATAGGTGGAATCACGTAAGCTTTGGGGAATACTATTCCAAGTTATGACGCCTTTGTATTTCAGGAAATTTTGGGATGTGCTCAGTGAAAATCTTGGTACAAAAAGATTAGACTTGGCCGAGGAGCGGGTGTTATGTCTAAGCACAGAGCTGAGTGAAACAAAGTAATTGTCAAAAGCTGAGGGCAGGTAATTGTTATAAAATTGGTGCATTATTTTAGAAATTCCCAGGTTATGGATATTGGACAGTTTCAACACCCTAGTTTTATGGTATAGGGTGTTTAAGTTTGAAAAAATAGATGCTCTGGAAAGGGTTCTAACAGCTTTATTCTGTAAAATCTCCAATGTATGGATGTTAGTTTGAGTTACAGAGCCCCATGCACTTATGGCGTATTGGATGTGTGATTGAAAAAGAGCAAAATAAACAGTTCGTAGGGTGTTATCCTGTACATAATGCCTAAGTTTTCTCAGAATTCCAACCGACCATGACAATTTCTTATGCAACTCGATAGTATGAGTGTTCCATTTTAAATTATTATCGATATAGAGCCCGAGGTATTTATAGGATTGAACAACTTCTAGGGCAACCCCCCTGATTTTGATCAGAATGTTGATTGTTCCTTGTTTTAGAACTGAATTCATGATTTTAAAAATTTTCAACGTTCACAGTAAGTTTGTTGCATAACATCCACTCAAATATTTTATCTATTTCACTGTTCATAGTATGTTGGAGTGCCATCAGATTTTTGTCCCTGCTAAGTAAGCAGGCATCATAGACAAAGAGCTTTGCTAGAAGATTCGCGCAGTTCGACAAGTCATTTACGAAAAGTAAGAAAGCCAATGGTCCGATGACAGAACCTTGGACAATTCCACATTGGATGGGCAGCATCGGCGATCTATGACGACCTACTTCGACAAACTGAAATCGACCCCTCAGGTAATTAGCAAGTAGTTTTATTGCATTGCCTCTAAAACCATAGTGCATCAGCTTTTGGATAAGGATTTGATGAGTGTCAAAGGCCTTCTTTAGGTCCAGGAAAGCACACGAGACATACTCACCTTTATCAAATTTATCATATATAAACGAAATTAAATCAAGGATGGCATGAAAAGTCGAGTGGTTAGATTGGAATCCAAATTGGCACTTGTCAATCAGGTTAAATTTGTTACAGAAATTGAGCATTCTTCTATAGACTAATTTTTCTAGGATGATGCCGATGGAGGGTAGAATAGAAATCGGTCTATAATTAGATGGATCATTTTTATTACCATTTTTGAAAATAGGTATTACCCTTGCAATCTCTAAAGAGAAAGGAAAAATACTTAAACTAAATGAGTAATTAAATAAATGACTCAATGCTGGGGACATGACATCGGTACTATTTTCAAGAAAAAAGTTGGAATATTATCATGCCCAACTGCTTCGCCTTTTTTCAGGTTTAATATTACTTGGTGAACCTCCAAAGGTGTCGATTGTTCAAGGAAAAAAGAATTCTGTGTCGGAGCACCTAAAAAGGCGGCAAAGGATTTTGTACAATATGTAGTTTTACCATACGTCCCGCTTTAGGCGGGACAATCCCGCTTTTTAGCGTCTTGTCCCGCCGTCCCGACAAGTCAGCTAAAAGTCCCGCTTTTGCGTTAAGCCATCCAGCATAATACAAGAACATGTTCTAGTTACTGTTGTTGCTGCGTAGCGCAACGCTAGCCTACTTACTGAAGGTGAATGCGTTATATTTTCAAAAAGAAAAATGAGCTATAGAACTTCCGTCGACATTGTCTGCGCATGAAGGCATTTGGGCTGGATTCCAGACATGTCGTCCTGATCCGTGACGTAAAAAAAGTGAATGCGTTATTTTGTTTGTTTCGTTGTTTTCCGCTAACATTGTTAGCGAACGTATCACATGTAAAATCAATTCTAATTGGCCCTGTTCGGACGTTCACGTGAATGTATTATTGAACAACGTCTTTTTGAAGGTGTTATTTACAGAAAAGCATGCTTGGGCAAATAAGGAAATTCTCAATGCTTGAAAACGGCAGACTATTTCATTTTTCTTTATTCCTTTTGCTGTACATAAAAAAATCTAAATTCCGATCATTTGTGTCGTTAGCGTCTATTCCTTTCTATTTTTCGAACTGAACCCGATATTTAGACAGAGAATATGCGCATGAACTCTCGATGACAATATGGTCAATGAAGACAGCCGGGATGGCTTCAAATGT